TTGCAACATATTGTTCAACACGATTAAATACCAAGATTTTCGAAACTATCGTAAACCTGTCGCAGATCGTTCAGAGTTACGATACCTATCGTAACTCTGACAAGGAACTCATTTGTGTTAGAGATTGAAAAAGCGAGGTGCTGACGTCACGGGGATTTCCCAGCTGCTGACAATAACAACAACATAGATAAGTGACACGGAATTCATGATCACATTGTCAGGTCACATTGTTTAACATGCACATATTTGAGTGAAATTCTGTACAATCCTACATATGTCCTACATGTAGACGTGTTGTTCTTATGATAAAAGATGCCATGACTAACCGAACACAAAAAGCATTCGTGTGCCATGCAATAGCATTTTTTAAAGCCAAAAAATGTTATAATCAATAAGTATAGCGTTACCACACTTTAGCTATTAGAATGGAAATAATGTGCCAAAAGATAGTTCACAATTTTCCCTTCAAATGGTCCTCTCGTGACCGCGCAGAACTTTATGATACAAACACATCGCGTACAAAGTCAAGGACGAAAGTAAGGGACGTTATTCTAAATGACAATGACGAGACCTTTGATCGAACAGCATATGCGTTCAGCATTTAACATGCGTGTTCAAGTCTGATGTTAAGTGATGTATACTGTATATGTTTGTGTTTATGTCAAAAGTCAAGTTTATATTAGTGTTAACACCAACATTATACGTGGAAACACTCAAAACAAAAATTGTTCAGGAAGCTGCGCACCCACAAGCAAGATTTTATGACAATCTAAGCTTGTTAAGTTTGTTTTGTTATTTATGTATCCAATATATTTCACGAATTAACCAAGGACTTAAATACAATATCAAGCTATAAGTATTTAGATGATGAAATTATTTTTTATCTATATAGATCCATAATTCTTTTCAAAATTTATAAGTGACACTAATTTTCGTTCGCAAAATGAGATAATTTCGGAATTGTCAAGTTATGTTGTCTCATGGAACACGCCACAAGTTAACGTAAACATACATATAATGTAGTCATTTTCTATCCTTTTAAATTAAGTAGAGCTAATAAACTGATTTGTCCGATTTCATTTAAATCTGACTAAGGAGCGAAATACTTTGTAATGTGTCAAATCTATTCCAGAACGTAGTTCAATGATGTTTGGCTTGTCTGACAGCATTGCTGAGGATCATTTACTAGTATTTGTCCGTTGACCCTAAACGTGACAACGATTTTATTGTTTGAATGGTCTCAAGTATATCTATATATTTTTTAAACATAAAACGGGAAGATGTAGACTTAAATATTAAAAACACCAAAATATTTTTAAACCGGTTTATTGAATGCAAAGATTATTGTGTTGAAAATGTGTATTTTATATTGATCAGTATATTTCATTCAATAAACTTTTTTTTCTGCGAACATATATTGGAATTTGCAAACTATGCTACATTTTGACGAGAACCAGAACGAGCATGGGAACCCATTTTTTATTTGATTTGTCGATACGAAAATCTGTGCTTAACTTTTACTGTCAAAATTTCAGTAAATTGTTATATTTACTTGAATACATCTATATGCCGTTAATCAATGTTTTTTAAAGAATGCAATTGTTCAACAAACAGTTTTTAATCATTTTTTTTTCAAATATTTGTCTTTCAAGATGATATAGATAACATAGGTATTGAATTTAAAACGAAACAAATTACAATTACTTTTGCAAGAAAAATATTAGATATTGAAAACAAATATTTGATCACATGTATTTCCTTGTTAAGTCAATAAATACTACACTGTATAGTTAAAATTCAGTTATTAAAACCACCCGTCCCACACGATTTTAGATGTAAAAACTTATGCGAAACCTTTATGGTTATTTTTACATATGTAGATTGATATAATTTTATCAAATGCGAAAATAAAGACTAAAGCATTGACACAAATGCGATCCAGAAAATATAACAGCGGAACTCTGCGCTTTATGAAAACTGTACCATTGAGCAAGGTGTCCCGGGCGAGTACAAAGGGAAACCACTCTCAGAAAGAGTTTGAACTAAGATTAGCTCCCCCTGAGTTATCAATGAGGTCACGGTCATTACTGTAGCCTGCCGACACCTTCCCTTTTTATCCCTCCCAAATTATCGAAAAGGTATGTTGTTTCACACTTCTTCTGCATGGACTCGGATAGAAATATATTGTAAGCTATCGACTCCACAGTTATGTGGATCGCCTTCGCGATTGAGAAAATTTTTGACGCGAAATCCATGATGCGTTCTTTTTGTTTTTGAAGTGTCAATTTGAATCACTCAGTTTTACCAAATGAAATGTCAATGTTTGAACGTAAAGCAGACTTATTGTTTGGCAAAATATCTATGGAAAAGTATGCCGCCATCTTGGATGAAGATAAAATAAACTTACGACAGGTATAGGGCTATCTTAGATTTACGACAAACTTAAGATATCTGAGGGCTACGATAGTTTCGAAAATAGGCTACGATAGCCTACGATTTCCTTACGATAACTTTACGATAATCTTAGGGCTAAGATTGTTTCAAAATCTAGGCCCAGGCTTCTATAAAGTATGACTTTGTTCAATAAACAACACATGTTAAACAACGGGGTTGTATGAGAAATTTGTAATTAGTTGTCCTCATAATCACATGTATGGCGCTTGCTGTGCATAGTTTAGCACAGTATTGTTTCAAATAGTTCACCGTTTGTAATGTATGATTCATACCGTTTCATTCGGCGGTTTACGGTTCTGCGTGGTTTATTGCTTTGACAGTTTTTTTTAACTCCCGGCAGAGATGATACACCCGTATATGTTCTTTGCTTCTGGATACATGGGAAATCAACAGGTTGGTCTGTAGTTTGCCATTATTTACTGTTGCATGATATCTTCACGATGTTTGGGTTGAACATAGTAACATTCTTCTAAACATACCTCAAATCTAAACCGGAAGCAATCACAACACAAACCCAGTTAACCAAACGGAACTGTACACAAGAGTGAGTGAGGGAGTTGGGTTTAACGCCATTTTGAATAGTATTCCGTGTCAGCTTGATGTGGGAGGAAAGTGCTAAGTGATGCAGGTCTTAGACGTTCACTACTTTGGTGAAGCCAACGAGCAAGGGTTTTGTGCTGACAACAAAATCAGGGCGAACCGGGATTCAAACACACTGTCATAGGTTTCTGGCGTGCCCAAGGGAGATAACTCTGCATAGCGAATTGCAGCGCCTTCGTCGACTGGGCCAACCGTACACAACTGTAAGAAACTATCATACAACAAAGATGTTTTAGATGAGATAAATATTGCGGAACATTCCTTGAAGAAACAGTGACAATATTACACTATCACAAACTACAAAATACATGCACAATAAACGACAATTAAAAAACACAGGTACATTCAACATACAAAGGAGGTACATTATAACGATTTTATTTCAAAACAAGTGTATCATAACATATAGAAACAATATGAGAAACAATATGAGAATTGAGCAAAACTATGGCAATGTTGTCCATACAAGGAATTTGTTTGTCATTGTTGACATGATAACATATCTTGGAAGATGTTTCTGGATAACTGTTGGTAAAATTATTAAGAACTGTTCCTTTTAACAGAGTGTACCAAATTCTCAAATGCTCTGCAGCAATCTCTAGTGAATTCAGCTAATTGTTAACGCGAATTTGCCCATGCCTTTTGGCCTGTAAAGTCGTAGCAGGTGTGTTTATGTCACTGACAGTGAATGGGTTGTGTTTGCCGCCGCTTTTAACAGTATTCCAGTTCTATCACGTCGTGGCAGGTGGGAAAGCAAACCCACACGCACGCACACGTGCACGCACCCACACCCACACGCACGCACCCACACACACAAGCTTGCCGTAAAAAACGAAAAGCTTGTCGTAAGAGACGACCAACGGCATCGGGCGTTTCTTATTCCCCAAATGCAGCACCAGGCCATGGATTCTTTCTCTAATGTCACAGGGATGTTCGCTTGGTAATACATGCACCTTCGTGTGTGTTATTTTTTGGCTCTGATTGTCGGTGGGTTTCGGTAGTGAAACATGAAACTTTGAATTCCATCAGATGATTTGTCTGTCTGTTTGTTTGTTTGTTTGTTTGTTATTTAACGCCGCACATTCCAGCTACATGACGGCGGTCTGAAAATAATCGATTTTGGGTCGGGAAATCCAACCGATCCCGTTAGTCGCCTCCTACGACAAGCATGGGTTGCCAAAGACCAATTCTAACCCGGATCTTCGCGAGGGTCATCGGTGATCTCCGTCTCGCGAGGATCCCGTGTCCCAGAAAATCGTCACCACTCGCATCTTTCCGTAACCGATAACAAGCTTTTCTCCGAATGTCCACACGTACCTCGTTTGTTGGTTGGTTGGTTGGTTGGTTGGTTAGTTCATTCAGCTATATTCCAGCTATAAGATGGTGGTCTGTTAATAATTGAGTCTGGACCAGACAATCCAGTGATTGATATCATGAGCATCGATCCACGCAACTGGGATACGATGACATGCATCAACCATGTCAGCGATCCTGACCACCCGATCTTGTCAGTCGCCTCTTAAAACGAGCATAGTCGCCTTTTACGACAAGCATGGTTTGCTCAAGGCCTATACTAACCCGGATCTGAAATGAAAATATATAGTGTCCCTGTTGACAATATTACATCACTGCAGGGGACACCAGAAAGGGGCCTTACGTTTACCACTTCGGTGAAACTCACGAGCACGGGTATGGTGCTGACAAACCTAGAAACATAATCGGGGCGAACCGGGATTCAAAACCCACAATCATATGTTTCTGGCGTGCCCAAGGGACGCAACTCTGCACAGCGAATCCCGGCGCCTTAGACGACTGGGCCACCCGTGCCCCCGTGAAATAAGAATACTATGACTTGTACAATGTTTAAGCATTAAAACTATGACAGGTTTGCATGTACCTACATACATACAGTCACTGGTTATCCTAACAAATGCACAATGAAAAAATTAAACCCAAACACCTTTATTTCAAACAAAATAACAACAACGTTTGAAAAACAGTTTGTACAATAATCACTTCTGAGACAGTGCGATTTGCACACATTACGTCATATATATTTATTTTGTAAAAAAAGATTGGTACAAAATGGCGAAGACACAGCAAAACACAAAAATGATAACAAAATGATATATAGCAAATACTTTTGCATGCAAAAAATTGAAAAGCATTTCTGAGTTATTAATAATGTGATACTAGCAAACAGAAATAAAATATTGATTTGGAGTACTAAATGTATATAGTGTTACCTTTATATTTTTTAAACGTGGATAAGTCTTTTCAGAATAACTTATAAAAATGTTCAGTGGCAACGAAATACTGACCTGGTTGTATTACAAATTTAAAAATATACGAGCACCACACATAACCATTACAGATGAAGAACACAACAACATGATTGAAAACACATGCGACTTGAAACTGGAAAGCATATGAAAAGTGCCATCCCTATTATAAACTGAGTTTAATAAACACGACAGACGTTTATTCATATCAACATGTTATTCACACTTGCGATGACGTTGTAAAGCTGTTTCGTTTAACATTGTTGTTTGTTGTTTAACGTCATACTCAGCAATATTCCAGTCTGTAAAAAATCTAGTCTGGACCAGATAATCCAGTGACTAATATCATGAGCATCGATCAACGCAATTGGGATACGATGACATGCATCAATCAATTCAGCGAGTCTGCGTTTAACATTCGAAAGTGTCTGTTATGAATGGACTAAAAAGGAATAAGAGTGGTTCACGTGAAGTCTAAAATACACAAATTAATAAAAACTTGTCGAAAACGAAATTGAAAAACTACAACTTTAGGAGAGGGGCTGCTTTTCGTGACAATTTGTTTACCATTTGGAAACAACAACTCCGAACTCAGTATCGAAAATATGTCACAACCCATGTTGTCATCACTTCGGTGAAACCCAAGAGCACGTTTATGGTGCTGACAAATCTAGAAACATAATCGGGGCGAACCAAGATTCGAACCCACAATCATAGGTTTCTGGCGTGCCCAAGGGACGCAACTCTGCACAGCGAATCGCGGCTCTTAGACGACTGGGCCACCCGTGCCCCCTTACTGGAACTTACCGCTACACACAGATGGGATGAGGAGAGTTGTGACCACAATGAACATGAATGGGGGATATTTTCAAAGCATACTGCTCCATTTTTTATAGAGATAATCAAATAGTATAAATATCCCTAACAAATGTTGAGTGGTATATTCCAGGGTTTATGGAAATACATTGGCATAACAGGTGTACGTGTTCGATTTTACGGTATGCTTGAGTGAGTTTCGTGGGTTGAGGGCGGTTAAAGTGTTCGCTCGTCACGCCTAAAACCCAGGTTCGAATCCCGACATGTGTACAATGTGTTAAGCCCATTTCTGGTGTCCCCCGCCGTGATATTGGTGGAATATTGCTAAAAGCGGCGTAAAACCACACTCACTCACTCGTGGGTTGAACAAATGAATACGACCGCGACTGAAGCCTTGGACAAAGAAACAGTCACCGTTTGAGTGCTGCTGTGAGCGAAACAGTAGCGTGCAAGTGGTTATCACGTGTGTATACTGCGCACGTGCCCTGCGTGCAAATGAAGACTGTATGTGCAGTTATTGAGATCGCACGTGGCATGCTTTCGTGCCCACGTTTCTCAAACGCGTCACTACCATAAGTTTGATGGTAAGTGAGTATTGCTCGTGATGTGATGACTTTTAAATGCACATTCAAAATGAGAATTCAATTACGGTTTATGACGGTTTTATAAATGAGACGTGGACGGCTAAAACGAAAAAAAAATCGTAGATATGCTTACACAATAAAAATAACAAACTGTCAGGCGAATACAGACCACAAATGTCAATGATATGAAAATGTAATTATAAAGTTAAATATATACAACGACAAAGCGGGCGATTGTGTCTATTTAAACACATCTAAATTGAGACTTTGGGCCAGTAAGAGGTCGTTGTTTAATCACGTGTGCTTCACGTGGTAGAAAATACTTATGTCCGACTAATATACCGTCACTCGTGTTCTGTATATCACAAAGTTAAGAATCGATATATGAGCGAACGAAATAAAAGGTTACGTCAACATAATCTCACACAGGAATATATCAATGCAAATTAAATCACAAAAATTATCACAGATTTGATCAGTAGAAGTAACAAGGCAAAAATCAGCTTGAGCATGCTTTGGCATTCGAAACAGAGAAACTGGCAAGTATTCTCAACCCTGTCCTCATAGATATAATCACCGACGCAAATTCGGAGGCTTTACCCTGAAAAATTACATACGTTAAGCAACGTCCCATGGCAGTAAGAAAATAATAGTCCGGCCAATGGATCCGTGCTCACTCGATGTTTCATTCTCAGCTCCCGGGGATGTATACAACCGGAGCTGCATGTGAGGCGTTACAAAGCTAACACTCACATTACCATCTCATTCTACCGGGTACCCAGTCACTGCTGAGTGAATATTTTGTAACCTGTATTGGAAATCTGAATAATACTTTAAACCACAAAGCGATGAGCGCTACGGCTGTCGTAAGAATGTTGAAATATGGGAGTTACGATCGCCTGAGCGCTAAGGCGGTCCTAGCGTTGAGGTCGCTTTGTGTAGCCGGTCCTTAGGACAGGATAACGTCTTGAGGGAGCGTCGCCCCAATTATGTTCTAGGTTAATCAGCACCATCCCCGTGCTCGTGGGTTTCACCAAAGTAGTAAACGTCTGACACCTGCAACACTTCGTGCTTTACTCCGAAATCAAGCTGACACGCCGTGATATAACTGCAATACTGTTCAAAGCGGCGTTAAACCCAACTTTGGTTAACGCCGCATTTAACAGTGTTTCAGTTATATCACAGCATTTCAGTTTGATGTGGGAGGAAAGCCGGAAGTCATGTGAATTTTGACGGGTTTTTTGTAACCCATGAGCACGTGTTTGATCAGCGCAAACCTTGGATTCGAACCCAAGATAATATGATACTAGCAGTGACGTCATTCTGAATCAGTATTGTTTTCAAGCCGAGATGGAAGCCACACATGACTAAAATCACAGATATGCTCTGACATTGTGTAATAATCTCAAAGTAAAACGACACAAAAACGTCAATAAACAAACTCGCCAAACCTGTATCCGGTTATAAATCTTAATCGTATTGGCGTGTTTCTACGCGCATGCTGTCACACAATTTATTTACTAGTATCAATTAATTAATCTCCGACACGTATTGATGAAGAGGTTATCGGATTAAAAACGTCACGATAAGCCATATCGGGATTAGGTTTAATTGGATTAGCGAAGTCTCGAAACATAATATACAAAAATAATCTCAATTTCGTGACAAGTTACTTTGCAAACACTAACGAATTCGCCGCTTCATGATTTTCAACTGCCACGTTTCGTCTCTTGAGTTCCTGTTGTAGAAGATATGCCTGCGCCTTGCATAACGGCATCCTCTTCGGCTGGAATGTCTCACTGTAGGCGGTGGAATAGTCCATTGAATGCTTCGTCTGCGGCTGCGTGGCCTTGGCTACTCCATCCGGTTTGAAGCTCTGAACAGGGTCGGCGTATTTGGGGACGTATGTGGATTTGGTGACACTTTCCCCCTCAAATCTGACAACAGGGGCGATGTAGGGTCGGTTCTCGTGGAAGTCGCCGTATCTGACTCTGGGTGCCACGCCCCAGTCTCTGAAGAACTCCTTGTTACTGGTTCTACCGTCAAACTTGATATCTGGCGATGTGTGGAGCTTGGTTACTGGGGCCACTGCTTTGGGTGCCATGTTTTGAGATACGTCAATTGGTCGGAAATCCCTCTGTGAATGATGACAAGTATCAATGTTAGGACAAAGATTTGAAACCACGGTCTGCATACCCTAACACAACAATGGAACAATTCACCAGCCCTTCAAACACGACCCGTGAAGATCCGGGGTAGAAAAGGCCTTCAGCAACCCATGCTTGCCGTAAAAGGCGACTATGCTTGTCATAAGAGGCGACTAACGGGATCGGGTGGTCAGGCTCGCTGACTTGGTTGATGCATGTCATCGTATCCCATTTGCGTGGATCGATGCTCATGATATCAATCACTGGATTGTCTGGTCGAGACTCGATTATTTACAGACCGCCGTCATAAAGCTGGAATATTGCTGAGTGCGGCGATAAACAACAAACAAACAAACAAAACCCTTCACATTTACAAGCAGCCACACACACGCACGCGGGGAAAACGAAGTACCATGTATTGATAGGGATTGAAAGGCGACTAAATTGATCGGGTATCGACTTGTAAAAGAGAAGAAATTGATTTGTATCCGGTAGGGAGTGTAGATTGGAAATGATCCCCAGTTACCTCTGCTATGCTTAATTGATCGGTGGCTTGTTTGATCGCAACGCTTAACATAGTATTGCTCATTGGTTTGGTGCAGACATGATTATTTACAGGCCACCGTTATACAACAGACTGTCGCACTACCGTGTACAATAAACCCCGTGAAGATCCGGGGTAGAATAGGTCTTCAGCAACCCATGCTTGCCGTAACAGGCGACTATGCTTGTTGTAAGAGGCGACTAACGGGATCGGGTGGTCAGGTTCGCAGGTTGATGCATGTCATCGCATCCCAATTGCGTGGATCGATGCGCATGATGTAAATCACGGGCCCATCTGGTCCAGACGCGATTATTTACAGACCGCCGCCATGTAGCTTGAATATTACTGAGTGCGGCGTTAAACAAAAACAAATAAAACAAATAGTGTAATAAAGACATCATCTCACCCTCTGCGAACTCTCCGCCTCGAACTTCATGGCGGAGGGGACGTATGTTTCATCGTCCTTCTTGCAGGTGATGGGAGCTGGATGCTGGACCACGTCGTGGCCTTTGAACGTTGACCTTTGCTCTGTCTGAAAATTCCTCCTGCTAAAGGAAATAAATTGGAGTAAGTGAGTGATTAGTGTATCGGCGATTTGAACAGTATTTCAGTTCCATCACCGCGAGGAAACTCCAAAGTAATACAGGTCCTGAATGGTGCTGTCAAATCAATTACGTATATTATAATCAGGGAGAATCTGTGACTAAATTCTTCGATCATATGATCCTGGCACGCCAAGGGGACGCAACCCTGTCGAATTTGACGGATGGCCATTGGCAACCGACCAGTTTAATAAGGCTTTGCTGTCACCGATATATTCAGGTCCAGTGCTGTAGCAAGTCGGCAGGGCAGTTCCCCCCCCCTGTTAAAAAAAGTCAACTTCGGCCTTGAGGTCAGTCATCTCATTTTTTTTCTCTCAACCATCAGGTCGACTCACCTGTTATCAAATCGCAGGTCGATGGTAGCGGGAGCCGGCTCGGCTGGTTTCGGCGGAAGCGGTTGCCCAGACATGTAGCCGGGGAAGTCCCGTTTAGACTGCGACTCCCCGTTAAACCGCTCCCTGCGATGAAGCGGTAGGTCGGGCTTGTTTGTGATCGGCTTGACTCGGTGATCTCCGGTTATGTTCTGAAATGTCCTGTTGTGAGTTGTGTCGAATGACATGTCGCCTGCAACAGAGACATATGTTGAATTTTTATGACGTCATAATGGATTTAATATTATTACAATTTAATGAAATACAGTCAAACACTGTTGAGTCGAAGTTAAATACTTCGAGTTTTCCAAGGTTCGACACAACTGAAATTGATGAATAAAGGAGGCATACGCATGGGCCAAGCTGATACTTCGAGACAGGCGTCAGTTCGACATATCCAAGTTCGACACAACGGCGTTTAACTGTACAACAACAAAGATATCTGTGGAAATCATTTTATACATAATGTATATTCATTAACAATCACTCCATTCGATTCGATCCACTGGACATCTCGACTGCTAGTGTTAAACATCTATATTGGTTCTTATCACGTGACTATCACTTGACAACCTGGCAGCGCCCGTGATCCAAGCGTGGAAGTTTGTATATCTTTTCCTTTTACTCTACATCAAAGCACGTACCTATTTTCTGTTATGAATACACAGGTATGTTATCGTCCGTCATGTTATCTAAACGACGGATCTGGGAGTACTCGGATCCTATAATGTCAGCTACAGTTGAACAGGGGATATTCAAAATACACTTTGCACGACATTGAGTGCGAGTGACATTTATGTGTTTGGCTGTTTGTTGTTTAATGCCGCACTCAGCAATATTCCAGTTATATGACGGCGGTCTGTAAATAATCGAGTCTGTACCAGACAATCCAGTGATTGACATCATGGTCAAACTGTATATCATGTATATACCGTTGACACTAACCTCAGAAACAACCACGCACACTGTATATCACGTGTGTTCCGTTGACACTAACCTCAGAAACAACCACGCACACTGTATATCACGTGTATTCCGTTGACACCTCAGAAACAACCACGCACACTGTATATCACGTGTGTTCCGTTGACACCTCAGAAACAACCACGCACACTGTATATCACGTGTGTTCCGTTGACACTAACCTCAGAAACAACCACGCACACTGTATATCATGTGTATTCCGTTGACACCTCAGAAACAACCACGCACACTGTATATCACGTGTGTTCCGTTGACACCTCAGAAACAACCACGCACACTGTATATCACGTGTATTCCGTTGACACTTACCTCAGAAACAACCACGCACACTGTATATCACGTGTATTCCGTTGACACCTCAGAAACAACCACGCACACTGTATATCACGTGTGTTCCGTTGACACCTCAGAAACAACCACGCACACTGTATATCACGTGTATTCCGTTGACACCTCAGAAACAACCACGCACACTGTATATCACGTGTATTCCGTTGACACTTACCTCAGAAACAACCACGCACACTGTATATCACGTGTATTCCGTTGACACCTCAGAAACAACCACGCACACTGTATATCACGTGTGTTCCGTTGACACCTCAGAAACAACCACGCACACTGTATATCGCGTGTATTCCGTTGACACTAACCTCAGAAACAACCACGCACACTGTATATCACGTGTATTCCGTTGACACTTACCACAGAAACAACCACGCACACTGTATATCACGTGTGTTCCGTTGACACCTCAGAAACAACCACGCACACTGTATATCACGTGTGTTCCGTTGACACCTCAGAAACAACCACGCACACTGTATATCGCGTGTATTCCGTTGACACTAACCTCAGAAACAACCACGCACACTGTATATCACGTGTATTCCGTTGACACTTACCTCAGAAACAACCACGCACACTGTATATCACGTGTATTCCGTTGACACCTCAGAAACAACCACGCACACTGTATATCACGTGTATTCCGTTGACACCTCAGAAACAACCACGCACACTGTATATCACGTGTATTCCGTTGACACTAACCTCAGAAACAACCACGCACACTGTATATCACGTGTGTTCCGTTGACACCTCAGAAACAACCACGCACACTGTATATCACGTGTATTCCGTTGACACTAACCTCAGAAACAACCACGCACACTGTATATCACGTGTATTCCGTTGACACCTCAGAAACAACCACGCACACTGTATATCACGTGTATTCCGTTGACACTAACCTCAGAAACAACCACGCACACTGTATATCACGTGTGTTCCGTTGACACCTCAGAAACAACCACGCACACTGTATATCACGTGTATTCCGTTGACACCTCAGAAACAACCACGCACACTGTATATCACGTGTGTTCCGTTGACACCTCAGAAACAACCACGCACACTGTATATCGCGTGTATTCCGTTGACACCTCAGAAACAACCACGCACACTGTATATCACGTGTGTTCCGTTGACACTTACCTCAGAAACAACCACGCACACTGTATATCACGTGTGTTCCGTTGACACTAACCTCAGAAACAACCACGCACACTGTATATCACGTGTATTCCGTTGACACTAACCTCAGAAACAACCACGCACACTGTATATCACGTGTGTTCCGTTGACACCTCAGAAACAACCACGCACACTGTATATCGCGTGTATTCCGTTGACACTAACCTCAGAAACAACCACGCACACTGTATATCACGTATATTCCGTTGACACTAACCTCAGAAACAACCACGCACACTGTATATCACGTGTGTTCCGTTGACACCTCAGAAACAACCACGCACACTGTATATCGCGTGTATTCCGTTGACACTAACCTCAGAAACAACCACGCACACTGTATATCACGTGTGTTCCGTTGACACCTCAGAAACAACCACGCACACTGTATATCGCGTGTATTCCGTTGACACTAACCTCAGAAACAACCACGCACACTGTATATCACGTGTATTCCGTTGACACTTACCTCAGAAACAACCACGCACACTGTATATCACGTGTGTTCCGTTGACACTAACCTCAGAAACAACCACGCACACTGTATATCACGTGTATTCCGTTGACACTAACCTCAGAAACAACCACGCACACTGTATATCGCGTGTATTCCATTGACACTTACCTCAGAAACAACCACGCACACTGTATATCACGTGTGTTCCGTTGACACTTACCTCAGAAACAACCACGCACACTGTATATCACGTGTATTCCGTTGACACTAACCTCAGAAACAACCACGCACACTGTATATCGCGTGTATTCCATTGACACTTACCTCAGAAACAACCACGCACTCTGTATATCACGTGTGTTCCGTTGACACTAACCTCAGAAACAACCACGCACACTTTATATCGCGTGTGTTCCGTTGACACTAACCTCAGAAACAACCACGCACACTGTATATCACGTGTATTCCGTTGACACTTACCTCAGAAACAACCACGCACTCTGTATATCACGTGTCCCGTTGACACTAACCTCAGAAACAACCACGCACACTGTATATCACTTGTTCCGTTGACACTAACCTCAGAAACAACCATGCACACTGTATATCACGTGTATTCCGTTGACACCTCAGAAACAACCACGCACACTGTATATCACGTGTATTCCGTTGACACTTACCTCAGAAACAACCACGCACACTGTATATCACGTGTATTCCGTTGACACTTACCTCAGAAACAACCACGCACACTGTATATCACGTGTATTCCGTTGACACTTACCTCAGAAACAACCACGCACACTGTATATCACGTGTATTCCGTTGACACTAACCTCAGAAACAACCACGCACACTGTATATCACGTGTATTCCGTTGACACTTACCTCAGAAACAACCACGCACACTGTATATCACGTGTATTCCGTTGACACTTACCTCAGAAACAACCACGCACACTGTATATCGCGTGTATTCCGTTGACACTAACCTCAGAAACAACCACGCACACTGTATATCGCGTGTATTCCGTTGACACTAACCTCAGAAACAACCACGCACACTGTATATCGCGTGTATTCCATTGACACTTACCTCAGAAACAACCACGCACACTTTATATCGCGTGTTCCGTTGACACTAACCTCAGAAAACACGCACACTGTATATCGCGTGTATTCCGTTGACACTAACCTCAGAAACAACCACGCACACTGTATATCACGTGTTCCGTTGCCACTTACCTCAGAAACAACCACGCACACTGTGTATGGCGTGTATTCCGTTGACACTAACCTCAGAAACAACCACGCACACTGTATATCACGTGTTCCGTTGCCACTTACCTCAGAAACAACCACGCACACTGTATATCGCGTGTTCCGTTAACACTAACCTCAGAAACAACCACGCACACTGTATATCGTGTATTCCGTTGACACTTACCTCAGAAACAACCACGCACACTGTATATCACGTGTCCCGTTGACACTAACCTCAGAAACAACCACGCACACTGTATATCACGTGTCCCGTTGACACTAACCTCAGAAACAACCACGCACACTGTATATCACGTGTCCCTTTGACAATAACCTCAGAAACAACCACGCACACTGTATATCACGTGTCCTGTTGACACTAACCTCAGAAATAACCACGCACACTGTATATCACGTGTCCCGTTGACACTAACCTCAGAAACAACCACGCACACTGTATATCACGTGTCCCGTTGACACTTACCTCAGAAACAACCACGCACACTGTATATCACGTGTCCCGTTGACAATAACCTCAGAAACAACCACGCACACTGTATATCACGTGTCCCGTTGACACTAACCTCAGAAACAACCACGCACACTGTATATCACGTGTCCCGTTGACACTAACCTCAGAAACAACCACGCACACTGTATATCACGTGTCCCGTTGACACTAACCTCATAAACAACCACGCACACTGTATATTACGTGTCCCGTTGACACTAACCTCAGAAACAACCACGCACACTGTATATCACGTGTCCCGTTGACACTAACCTCATAAACAACCACGCACACTGTATATTACGTGACCCGTTGACACTAACCTCAGAAACAACCACGCACACTGTATATCACGTGTCCCGTTGACACTTACCTTAGAAACAACCACGCACACTGTACATCACGTGTGTCCCGTTGACACTTACCTCAGAAACAACCACGCACACTTTATATCACGTGTCCCGTTGACACTTACCTCAGAAACAACCGCACACACTGTATAGCCAATCTCATTAAAATCAGATCTTAGTTCTCGCTACCGCTAAAACTAAGATCTGAGGACATCCCGTTAGGGGTCACGTCAGAACGACCTTTCATCCGACCAATCAGAGCGTCGCTTACCAGATCATGAAAGTGACACTGGGAATGTGATTTCTAATCATGCAACCTCGAAAACTTTAAAACGGGGTATTCCGAACGATAGTTACGGGTTGAACGACTGAATCCATACAATCTGGACCATACATTTGCTATTCCAGAATGTTCTTTTTTCGGGTTTCAAATTTTTAATCGAGAATTTGTCAAAATATGTTTCGAAGCGTAGTCGCCAATTTGAAATTAGTGCCGTAAAGCACGAGAAAGCTGCCTTCTGATTGGCTAATGTCGACTTCTTGTCATTCCTTTCATTGGTCAGTCATTGGTCGCGCAAGGTCGGTCTAACGTGACCCGTAATGGGATGTCCTCAGATCTTTGTTTAGCGATAGCCAGAACTAAGATCTGATTTTAATGAGATTGACTGCATATGGCGTAGGGGTGACTATTGAGGCATTTTTGACTATTGCGATACTATTGCGATAGTTAAAACAACTTTTGCGATACTATTGCGATAGTGGCCCTACTATTGCGATACTATTGCGATAGTTTTCACTTGCAATTATAGCAGGCTTTAGAAGCATATATTTCAGCATTGTGACTGACACCATCAACATAATTATAACTTTCTGATACTATTTGTAAAGAAAACAAGAAATGAGAAGAAAACAAGTCCAAATTGACCTCTCAAAAACATTTTAATACAAACTTTCACTTCATGTTACTGGTAAAGTCTGAAAAGTTACTGCAGTGTTTTAGAACCAATGTGAATGAATGTGATTGAATGACTAGTATTTGACTATACAAACTGTCAAACTCTTTAATTGTCACATTGGCATTCACTGAATGACTAAATGCGATTCAACATATCAATTAGGAATCAAAGTTGACAAAAACTGACATGTGGCGTCCGCCATCTTGTCAATGTTGCCTAGCGACGAATAGCTAAGGGACGTAACTCTAAATCAAGCAGACAAAGTAGTGCAATCCAAACGAAAGCACGACAGAGGTTAGATGATCATAGGAGTTGTTTCTATGTTTTTTTAAGAAAGTAAATGTACCAAACAAATTAACTATCGAAACTATCGATAGTTAGACAAACTATCGCCAATAGTATCAATTTTTTCAAGTTGCAATCGATAGTGTACTATCGTGAGACAAGCAATCGCAATCAATCGATAGTTCGATGTATCGTTACACCACTAATATGGCGTATGAACACTAACCTTCAATCTTGATGTTGGTGATGCCAGGTTTGATCTGCTCGGCGGCAGGGGCAAACCTCCCCACGAAAGAGTTCCTGGTTGTACTCTCGGGCAGGTGATCCTTCTCGGGGAACAAGATAGATCCTGGGGAGGCAAGGATATATATCATCCAAAACTGACTTCCACGTGTGACACGCGTCAAGTGATATGTCCTAGGAGATATCGCTACAATTAATTACATTACCATACATTGCAAGCCATTGTGATGGCATCGTTACCATGACGTCCAAATCACTGACATCACTAATCTCTCTGCCATTGAAACTGATTCGGTCTACGTGTTAAACTCATGACACTGGTTATCACTGTTTACAAACAGAAAAAAAGTACATAATCGAGACTGGGTCAGACAAACCCAAGATTAATATTATGACCCACGTGGTGGCCAAATCGTCTAAGGGCCGCGATTCGCTATGCAAAGTTGCGTCCCTTGGGCACGCCAGAAACCTATGATTGTGGGTTCGAATCCCGGTTCTCCCCGATTATGTTTCAAGGTTTGTCAGCACCATACCCGTGCTTGTGGGTTTCACCGAAGTGGTAAACGTCTGATACCTGCATCACTTCGGGCTTTCCTCCCACATTAAGCTGACACGCCGCGATATAACTTGAATACTGTTCAAAGCGGCGTTAAACCCAAATCACTCACTCACTCTTTGCCACTGAAACTGGTTCGTTCTACGTGTTAAACTCATGACACTGGTTATCACTGTATAAAAAAAACGGAAAAAAGACATAATCGAGAGTGGGTCAGACAACAAACGGAAAAAAGTACATAATCGAGAGTGGGTCAGACAAATCCAAGATTGGTATTATGAGAAACGTCACGTGTTGTCGGGGAACGGTGACACCAGTCACAAAAATCGTGACCATTTCAAGGGTGATAATTAGCGCTTATTACTGGCGCATTGATAAAATAATTACAATCATTTCAAGTGAGGTAAATCCGTAGGGACGTTTAAAGAAATTGGGTCAAGTTGAGGTCACTCATGCACGTGAGTGACAAGCATAATCGCCTTTTATGACAAGCATGGGTTGCTGAAGACCTATTCTACCCAGGATCTTCACGGGTCCCCTTACCTACTGAACTCGTTCGATTCGGTACTCTGGTAAGCAGCCTCACAGAGAAGTCATCGTTAAAGCTGATTAGGTTCATTTATTGACTGAATCATGAATAAAAAAAAATTCATGAACACAATTAACAAGCTATTGCACCTGGACTTTGTAAATTATTGGTCAATCAGAGGTTATCAAATCACGTACATGCAGTTTACTGTCCCCGATTAACCAATGTTCATGAATGACTCTCCTTCTGTAAGACGCCACAATTCGCTCTGTGGCGTAGCGTTCCTTGAGCACACAAGAAACCCATGATCATGGGTTCGAATCCCGGTTCACTCCTAATATGTTTCTAGGTTTGTCAGCACCATACCCGTGTTCGTTGGTTTCACCAAAGTGGTAAACGTCTGAGACCTGCACCACTTTAGGCGTTCCTCCCACAGTAAGCTAACAGCCGTGATGTAATAGGAATATTGTTCAAAGCGGCATAAGACCCAACTCACTCTCACTCAATCACTGACACAGAATGATATAACGTATATGATCTAACCGGCAAAGCTGGGCAGCTCCCCGAAAGGCACACTTGGCTGGGGCACCCAGTGCTTGTAGTGTTGTTGGTTGGTAGTTGAACTCTCAAACTTAGCAGACGACATTTTCAACTTGTCTCTCTTCGGGTAGATCCGTATTTCCGGTTCCGCTTGTTTGGGAATGAAGTCCTTCTGGTATGACGTCGTAGCGTCCAGCGGGATGTCGAGACGCTCATACTTGTCCTCCTGTAGAAATACAACCACGTCACCTAGATTCTAGACGTATAGTTTTGTTTGTTTGTTTGTTGTTGAACGCCGCACTCAGCAATATTCCAGCTATATGACGGCGGTCTGTAAATAATCGAGTCTGGACCAGACAATCCAGTGATTAATATCATGAGCATCGACCCACGCAATTGGGATCGATGACATACATCAACCAAGTCAGCGAGCCTGACCACCCGATCCCGTTAGTCGCCTTTTACGACAAGCATAGTCACCTTTTACGGCAAGCATGGGTTGCTGAAGACCTATTCTACCCCGGAATCTTCACGGGTCCTAGACGTATAGGGGCACAGGTGGCCCAGTCGTCTGAAGCAAGAGCGATTTTGCTATGCAGAATGGCGTCCCTGGCGTCTCTAGGGCGTGTCACCTGTGCTCATGGGTTTAACCAAAGTGGTAAACGTCTGACACCTGCATGACTTCGGGCTTTCTTCCAACATCAAGCAGACACGCCTTCACATGACACGGCGTGAAACCCAACTCACTCACCCATTCGCTTCAGTATACAAAAGCTGCTTTTCTAAAGGCGTTGATTTTTGTATTGATTTGTTAAAAGAAGAATAAAGTCCGGAAATGAAATCAACCTAATAAATACTTTTAAAAATAGCTTCGGGAATGTTTTAGATATTTTAAAATATAATATTTACAGATCTATAAATATGAACATTTTAATCGCCTTTAACTCTTTGTTTGTATTTTGAGTTTCTTCTGGTCAATCGTTTACGTTCTGCATACATGACAACTTCTCCCCTGATTATTGCTTGTAATTTTAAAACACATGTACCCACCTGAACAATAGGCTTCACCCTCTCAACATTGGTCGGACGTCTGAACTCGAATCGCTGGTTCGTCTCAAAGAACATAGGCTTGCCGACATTTTCCGGTGGGGGGCTAGGAGGGGGGCGCTTGGAAGAGCGGGGTCGGGGATGTTGCACTGCCTGGAACGTTGCTTGGTAGTCCGACATTGGAAACTTGTCCCGGCGTCGGGTCGTTTTTGTGAGTTGTCCCATCCTCTTGTGGCGACTGCAGGAAAAATATATGATTTTTTTAGCCATTTACCTCAAAGCTCCATTGGTTCGTCACGACAATAATCCGTGAGGATACGGGGTAGAATAGGTCTTCAGCAACCCATGATTGCAATAGGCGACTATGCTTGTCGTAAGAGGCGACTAACGGGATCGGATTGTCAGTCTCGCTGACTTGGTTGATGCATGACATCGTATCCCAATTGCGTTGATCGATGCTCATGATGTCAATCACTGGATTGTCTGGTCCAGTATCGATTATTTTTCAGACCGCCGTCATACAACTGGAATATTGCTGAGTGCGGCGTTAAACAACAAACAAACAAACAAACGTTACGACAATATCATACACATTTGAAACAATCAGAGTGAGTGAGATGTGTTTTACGCCGCATTAAACGGTACTTCAGATAATTCACGGCGTGTCAGCTAAAATCGTATTCGTCTTCATTATTAAAGACATTGTTACATCAGTTTTCACAACATTTTAGCTGACACGTGCAGCAGAGTTGCCTCCCGTTTGTTGCCAGGATCCCGATCCTTCGTTTTTCATAACCATACCCGTGGGGGGTGGGGGGTCACCAAAGTGGCAAACAGGTAAGCATTACTTACTGCGGGCTTTACTCCAATATGAAGTGGGGCGGTCGGGTAGCCTAGTGGTTAAAGCGTTCGCTCGTCACGCCGAAGACCCGGGTTCAATTCCCGACATGGATACAATGTGTGAAGCCCATTTGTGGTGTCACCCGCCGTGATATTGCTGGAATATTGCTAAAAGTGGCGTAAAACCATACTCACTCACCCCAATATGAAGTTGTCACGCCGCGCTATAACTGAAGTGCTGTTCAGAGCGACGTTAAAACGAACTCACTCACTCACTCAGTAGTGTTGTTATTTTCAGTATCCCTATTGCATGTTACATATGCACGGGGTGATTCCAGAATGGTAGGAAATGATATTCAGCAACCAATGCTTGTCGTCAGAGGCGACAAACGGCGACTTTTACCGATCGTGTTTGTTTCATGATGAATCTGCGAAGCTACCTTACTGCTTATCCTTCTAGTTTTGATGAATGTTTGTGTCGTCGCTATCTGACTGACAGTCGCAAGAGGGATGTGAAATATGAACTCACTCACTCTATGAGAACACGACCAACGTGAACTACCGTCTTCCTATCCAGTTACTTCGCGGAAACGGATCTGTATGGCCGTGAAACATGTCTCCGTCGAGAGCCGAACTGGCCATAGCAACCCAACGAGATAATCCCCTCCTTATGTGCTAAAGCACTAATCTCCAAGTATAATCTCACATCCAAACCTCCAAACATTGCTTTCAATAGCTATGTAATCCTAATAGACGAAAATCAATCCCTCCAATTGCCCCGGTTAAAAAAGAAAACCCGTCAAATTCACAAGCACGCATGCCAACAATAAAATGTACATTTTTTTCAACCATTTTCGACGTTGTGATTTTCTGGATAAATTACCTTTGAGATCGCTCCGACCTCGTCGATACTGTAACACGCGAGTCAAAATCCCGAGGGGTCAGAAACGTTTTGGTTGGTAGGTAACGCACAATGGGCGCTCCGGGGACGGTGCTTATCTCATTACAGATAAGCCTAGGCGTGTTGTGGCATATAGCTATAAACTTATTTTGTGATCAAGTAACATTATTCAATCGACACACATTACCTTGAATGGCCGTGGGTTAGACATGGGGCAGCTGTATGAAAGTTGGGATTAGGTTTCAGTTTCCGGGCTACACTGGGCAACAACAATGCACATTTCAAAGCAAATAGCCTCGGTTATGTGAACATGCATGCATTCAGATAAGGCGAACACTGATATGGCGGTTCAGGTGAAAGGTTGCAAGATCTGGGCGTCGTAGGTCCTGTGTTAGAGGTGATTAATTCACTATGCGTATTGAATGTATTTTTATTGAGAGTGTATACCCAACAGTACGTACCTTTATCAGAACGGTTAATGTACTGTTATTGTTACCGTGCCGTGTCAGTACTGATATGAATAACGGTGCTTTACAGTTTGAATAGCCTGGTTATTGTAGAGGTAGTGTGGGGGTTTGGTCTGTTTGATGTTTAACGCCGTACTCAACATTCAGAGGTGGGGAGGGGGTCAAAGGATCCGGACCCCCACCCCCCTTTTGAAAACCAAATGTTGTATGTTGCAGTCAGTAAAATTATCTGACAGAGGATTTTAATATTTTTGACCCCTCCCTTTTAAAAAAAATGATGGATCCGTCCTTATTCAGCAATATTCCAGCGATATGCTAAATGCCTCTCAAAGAAGTTATATGAAGGCGGTCTGTAAATAATCCGTAAGAGGCGACTAACGGGATCGGGTGGTCAGGCTCGCTAAATTGGTTGATGCATGTCATCGATCCCAATTGCGTGGATCGATGCTCATGATGTCAATCACTGGATTGTCTGGTCCAGAGTCGATTATTTACAGACCGCCGTCATATAGCTGGAATATTGCTGAGTGCGGCGTTAAACAACAAACTCACTCACACTTTAAATAATCAAGTCTGGACCATACAATCCAGTGATTGAATCTGGTACTAGAAGAGGTAGAGTCTCAAAAAACATATCACAGATTTTTTTGATTTTTAATATAAAAATTTATTCAGTATATCACAGATTTTCATTTAGAACCAAACTAGTAAGGCGGTCTGGGCAGGCACTCTTTCCACCATACCACGGAGGCGGTGACAAAAAACGAAGGAATCTTTTAAATGCCATTCCAAAAAAACCACGATCCACGAGTCAACTGCACTCGGTTTATTGAGAAGGTGCGGGTATACGACCCCCGATAGAGTCAATATACATATGATTGCAAGGAGACGAAATAGACCTCTTGTCAGTGATGTATAATATAATATATTGACTATGAAAGGAAGCACTGTAAATAAAATACATGTATTTATCTTGATGTTGTGAACCTAGTGATTACGCCTCAACTTGACTATACATCAAACGTAGACACACGATACCGGCAATCAAACCCCCAATACACTGTACAAACACACCCACAGAGCGCCACGGAATCGATTGCACGTCACGACGAATTGATTTAAAATAAATGTTTTTATTTCATGCCGTGCAGGGGTCGTATCAACAGTTCAATAGATGTTTTTCTATATTGATTTATGAAAAGCAATACAATATGTATTTAGAAAGCAAATAATTGAATGACATCGATATGCTTGATGACTCACTCAGATTTAATCCTTACGACAGATTTAACAACATCGGCATATTGAACTTGTCATGCGATCTCATGTTACTGTCGGGCAAAGAATGTAAACACCCAAGTTTGATGGTGGCTTAAAATGAAGCAAACAATAACCGGTTTTTCCATGGCGATGTATTTGATACGGATATTATAGTTATGTTTTGGACATGAAGTTTGCAGCGTTTCGGCGACTGTTTTCATCCAAGTCACCTGCAGATAACGTTTGATAAACCACGCGAACATTGGCATGGTGGTGTCAAACCAATAAGATCGGATTGAAACCCAAGATCAGCGGATCCTGGTACGACAGGGGGACGTTACTCTGAAAAGTCAATTACAGCGTCTTAGATCACAAAAGGCAATCTGTGTTGCTCTAGATCCAAACAGTGGTTGATTTTGTGGAGATAAATTTCATACCTGATACTAAATCAGCTATTTCTGTAGTTTTATTTATTTATTATTATTATTTATTTATTTATTTTGTTTACTCCGTACTCAGCAGTATTCCAGCTATGTGACGGCGGTCTGTAAAGAATCGAGTCTCGACCAGAAAATCCATTGATTAATATCATGAGCATCGATCCACGTAATTGGGTTCGATGTTATGCATCAACCAAGTCAGCGAGCCTGATCACCCGATCCCGTTAGTCGCCTCTTACGACAAGCATAGTCGCCTTTTACGGCAAGCATGGGTTGCTGAAGACCTATTCTACCCCGGATCTTCACGGGTCCCCATGTGTGTGGACACAGGGTGTGAAGGCATTATCGGTGTGCGCATTCGCTTTCTCGACATGGGTACGATGCATTCGTGACCAACTCGTGTTATTCCGGGACAAGCCGAATTACGGAAAGGGGCGAGAGGTGACGAATGGGGTACGATGTTGCTAACCCCGTTAGCCCGGACATTCTAGGGTTATTTTTAAGGTTTACGGATTTTTAAACCGAAAATTCAGATAGGTAGGTAAAAAAAAAATCAAATAAAAAATCCGACTTCAAATATTTTTGTTTAATTACCTTAAATGTTAAGTAGATATGGAAGAAAGCAGACCCGGAAGTTTTAAAGATAAATTTTCAACAGGTTTTAATTATAGTATTTTAATTAATATATTTATATTGATAGCGACAGTAAATTAGTTGTTGATTTAACTTTGTGCTTTTTCTGGTCGGCGGAACAATAAAAAAAACACTGCTTTTCATTTTTATTTTTTCACATTTAATTGTTTTTAAGTCGGTTTAAGAATAACCTATCCTTACGCGAGTCCCTCGTCTCGCTAGTGCTGGACTATTGTAAAAAGCGGCGTAAGCTGTATAATGCCACTCAAATATCTTTCGCTCAGCCTAAGTAGTTGCGCCAAGCCGGGTTCATGACCGCCCCTCCGACATGTATACAAAACTTGAAGGAATGTGTATATAAATATACACACGTTTACTGTACTAAGGTTAACGTTCCTTCGTCTCGGGCTATTAAACAATTCCCCTAATTTATCACCAATAAACCTCACAGGCAATAAAACAGTTCACGGGAGCCAACAGATAATAAAACATTTTTATCGGCAATAGTTGTTTGTTGGTAGATTGAATGCCTAAGAAACGTGATTTTGACGTTGTGTTATATTACTGTTTGTTTGTTGTTTATCGCCGCACTCAGCATGGGTTGCTGAAGACCTATTCTGCCCCGGATCTTCACGGGTGTGTTATATTACTGGTGAAAATGTTTGGAAATATAGTATGGTTATTTGAGAGATTCTTTGAGTTAGAGCTACGCGTTTTGTAACTCGGGCGAATATCAACAATAGTTTATGATGAATGGGGGTTAAATATTAATCATATTCAAGATTATTCAAGTGTATGGCTGTTTTGCGCACCGCAGTCAGAAAGATTCCATTGAGGGCGTCTTGCAGGGTTAAGTAATAATTCAGAGTTAATCCACCACACCAAACCCCATCCCGCTGAAAAAACATATTTTTAATAGCTTACTAAGGTCGAACAGTTATTTAGGAGACCGTAGATGAGAAAATACAAATTCACATACATATCGGGTAGACATACTTTTCTGACTCCTTTGCAGGAGAATTCATAATGAAATATTTTATTAAAGTTTTAAAATGAACATCAACACGTCAAAAAGGAACCTTCCACAAAGCGAACTTCGCGTAGTTCGAGGCATTCGACATTCAGAAGTGCCGATAGGAATACACCTGAACCATATACTTACTTCGTCTTAAACGATTTAAAAGTAAATTGGATTCGACGTAAAAAAATAACAATGTTTCACTGTGTGATATGATGTGATGTGAAATGATCTTCCTCCGTCTCTTCACCTGCCCGACATTGTCAACAAGCAACTTTAAAATTGGTAAGTCTAACCTATTGTTCATTGAGATGCTTCAGGAGGTTTAGCATTGACTGTCACCCCACAGTGTGTGTGTGTGTGTGCGTGTGTGTGTGGTGTGTGTGTGTGTGTGTATGTGTGGTGTGTGTGTGTATGTGTGTGTCTGTGCGTGTGTGTGTGTGTGTGTGTGTGTGGTGTGTATGTGTGTGTCTGTGCGTGTGTGTGTGCGTGTGTGTGTGGTGTGTGTGTGTGTGGTGTGTGTGTGTATGTGTGTGTGTGGTGTGTGTGTGTGTGTGTGCAATATCACGACGGGGGACACCAGAAATGGGCTTCACACATTGTACCCATGTCGGGAATCGAACCCGGGTCTTCGGCCTGACGAGCGAACGCTTTAACCACTAGGCTACCCGACCACCCCTTCGAATATTTAAAAGACATTATCAACAAGAACATAAAATAATAAAACTTTAACAGATACACACCCACAATCGCAAAGGTCAGCAACGTTGACATTCTCCGGGAAATCTTCAACGTAAGTATCCATAGCACACGGTTTGCTCCCAGACATGTTGTCGTTGATAAAACAGTCACGTTTTAGCTTTTGAATTGCAGGATATTGCAGAGTCGAAAGCAATCGATGCTACGGGTTTTAGATTGAACTGGCTTTCAATTTATATTCTTCTACTCTAACAATAAACTGCGAATTGTTAAAATCTCAAAGGTATATAAATCTCGACACATTTTCTGTCAACAAAATCCTTTCAGGCATGTTCTTTCAATGGCCCGTCAAAACACAAAACCGGGCACCCGCTCAAAAGTGTTCCTAGCAACGCCTTGTTTGACAACGGCTGTTCCGTTAACCTCCCCCCGATTCTTTCCTTTTCTTTGAGCTCTGCTTTTCATATGATTTGGGATAGTTTATTTCATTTTATCAAAGGATGACAATTACATAATGTTATACTTTATGAAGGTTTTAATAACTTAATGTACTGGAACGGTGTTATTAAATAACTTACAAATGTGTACGCTTACAACACTGATTTATTAGCAGTTGATTTTATTTTGGATTGTTTTGATATAAATAAAAACATAATAAATCTTAATGATATTTCATTCGTGAAATAATTTTATCTGTTGGATGAGCCAAAGACGTATGAGCGTTTTATTGTATTTTACATGTTGTATGCGGCTAACTTGTGTCACATGACAATCCAAAATGGCGACGATCGACATTCGCCTGAAGAAAGTGAATAAGGTTTATAAGGAAGGGGTAAGTGTGTGATTCCTTTGTGAATATATTTGCCATCTTGCAAAGAACATGTTCTCTCGTCAGTGAATAAAGCCAGGAACCTATAAATCTAATTGTTAGTTTTGCAGTATTTACATGATAGACATTTAGATGTTCTGTTTTCGATCACATGATTGCCCCTCCCCTTTTCGTTTCACGATCTGGAAAATCAACCAGATTCTGTGTTCACGTTATTTCGACATGCCTTTTAGCAAACCAATATACAGTTACTCTACTGGTACCTGTTGTATATGTGACGGAACAGACATTAATGCTGATTTATTCTAACTGTTCAGGGAGAATTTGGCTAGCTTCAGACATTAGAAATTGGCACTAGCCCTGTAGTCCTTGCCAAACTGGCCAATAGTTAAGGTATCATAAGGACTAGTAGAAATGTGCTATTTTAAAGGGTTTTGCTATATGTTATCATTGTAAGGACTAGTAGACTAAAACTGTTAGTTTCTACCCCTGCATTAATGCGGATTTATTCTAACAGTCCAGGGAGAATTTGGCAAGCTTCAGACAAACATTTTCATGATTTAGTTATCAACTTTTGACAAAACATTTTCAGTATCATTACCATGTTTCATAACAAGTTATAGTGTATCTTTATAACAAACATTCAGCTTCCTAAATAATGAACGGATGTGAAATCACAAAATCACTTGAACTTGTTGATTCGATGCAGTTATAGAATCTGTTTGTTATCCATGGCAAATAGCAACATTAAAAGTAGATATATATCAAGAAAACTTCTTTAGTAATGCTGCACCCTTCTTGCTAGCCTCTTTGATCTTTAGGGTTAGTTGTGTTAGGGTGAGATAGGTTATCCTTGTAGCCCTTTGATGAAAATATTGACGAACATATTCTATAGCTGCTTCATTGATTCTCCAAGGATGTCGTGTCCGGCGTGGTGGTGGTGCAGAGTCGTGGAGAGCTGCAGCACCAGGGCATCACCCTTGCCGTAGATGGTGTTGTTAATCTACAACTCAGTGCCAAGAGTGTTGGAGTCTTTGAGGCCTTCTACAACTCTCTCAAGGTAGGCAATTTCAGACACTAGTTGCGACGAGCCTAACAGTCAAGACTTGACCCTACTCCACCTACTTATGCCAGAAGGTGGTGAGTCCGTGTTCAGCTAGTAGCCTGCAACCTCGGGGTATCGCGGTACTATCATGGCAACATTTATCATAATTATCACAATTATGTATACTACACTGGGATTTATCAGGTGGTCATGGACGTCAAAATTTTAAATCACAACAGAACGCTAACTTACTGAATTATTTCAATAAGGAGACATAATGGCAATGATACAAATGTGAGCTGTTGCATAATTGTGATAATTATGATAAATGTTGCCATGATAGTATATTGATAGCCAAAATGTCACAGTTTGTCGAACATTGTCCCGCTTGCGTGCCTTGTTGACATTGTGATGTTTGCCATGTGCTGTCCAGCCACCTTATGTACTCCAAGCCTTGAATTCAAACCAGAAGTGGCGAAGTGTAAAAAAGGTCAGTAGGTCATAACTTGACTGTCAAGGTCAGCTCTTGGCTAAGTGAAGTTAATAGAGTAAACTATGTTTATAACGAACACGCTTAGTACATGACGGATAAAACAAAATATTTTTAGGGGGTCCCTTCCATTTGCTGTATGTATGTTGTATATGTGCTAATAACAAACGACCATGCTTGTCGTAAAAGGCGACTATGCTTGTCGTAAAAGGCGACTATGCTTGTCGTAAAAGGCGACTATGCTTGTCGTAAAAGGCGACTATGCTTCTCGTAAAAGGCGACTATGCTTCTCGTAAAAGGCGACTATGCTTGTCGTAAAAGGCGACTATGCTTGTCGTAGAAGGCGACTATGCTTGTTGTAAAGGGCGACTATGCTTGTCGTAAAAGGCGACTAACGGGATCGGGTCGTCAGGCTCGCTGACTTGGTTGATGCATGTCATAGATCCCATTTGCGTGGATCGATGCTCATGATATTAATCATTGGATTTTATGGTCAAGACTCGATTATTTACAGACCGCCGTCATATAGCTGGAATATTGCTGAGTGCGGTGTTAAACAACAAACCAACCAACCAACATAACAAACTTCAGTTATAATGCACTAAAATTAGTGTTCTCTTTGAGTTCGTTATAACCATACTTTACTGTACTCTCATTTTCCACATATGATGGTTGTCACGACTCACTGATGTATTGATGCATTGGAAATTAACATCTGTTGATGGATACATGATTCATGTTTTATCATTAGAATTAAAAAAATCAGTCAGACAACCGGACTGGCAGCTTTTCAAAGTTATCAGACCAGATAAAATGTTGCCAGTCCAAAATTTTCTAGACTAACCAACAAAAGTAACAAGAGGGTAATGTAGGAATAGTACTGTTTAATGTCAGTATTGTCAACTTAATAACTATAACTTATTGAAATTTTATTCAACAATCTGTGTTTACGCTTTACAGTTAATTTACCTTTTATTGAATTATGAGTAGAATGCTTAGGAAATTTAGGGAATACAATATTAGCCCGACCATTGGGTGTGCAACTTGTCAAAACTGACCCTCAGTCAGACAGTCTCAGTTCGTATTTATAGACCCTGATCATTCTGATGATTCATGGTTTAAAATTAGAATTAAAAAATTCCTAATGCATGTTTACATAATATACTTCTCAAAACAAGGTAAAGAAAATGACATGATAGATTAACTATAGTAAATGAAAGAATCGGGTGTTCTTTTGAGAAGTATGTAGCTAGTAGCTACTTTTGTGGCTTTGTTTGTTTATTTGTTGTTTAAAGCTGCACTCAGCAATATTCCAGCTGTATGACAGCGGTCTGTAAATAATCAAGTCTGGACCAGACAATCCAGTGATGCATCAACCAAGTCAGCGAGCTGACCACCCAATCCCGTTAGTTGCCTCTTCCATCAAGCATAGTCGCCTTTTACGGCAAGCATGGGTTGCTGAAGACCTATTCTAGCCCGGGTCTTCACGGGTATTGTGGCTTTGTAGAGATAGCCTGTATTTCCCTTATAACAGGACAATTAAAAACGAATAGGTTTTAATACTTGTTTTATATTATTGCATTCTCAAAATACAATGTTAAAATATCTCTAAATTTGGGGAAATGAGAACTTGTAAAAACTCCCAGTTTTGAACAAAATTTACGATTTTTCCGAATTTGTCAGCCTGTAGAATTACGTAGTCTTCGTATAGTTGACTGTTCGGTTTTATTGGTAGTTTTGAATAATAGGTGATTTTAAGCAGAACAACAAGCTTACACAGTGATTGTGATCAATGTCGACTTGATCCAGGGGAACAACAGGATTTGGGCTCAACCCTCAAGGGTGGGAGTAAATTCCTTACCACAACAAAGACACCCCTTCTTGGCAACTTGGACTGGTCCGGTGAGTCGTTGTGGCTCAGTAATCTCAAATATTAGGTAGTCTGGGATCAGTGTTAATTAGGTGATGTGAGATTCAAGTTGTTATGAGAATTAGGTAGTTCTCCACACAGAAGGTGAATCACAACAAATACACAGGTGTAGTAACATTCTGTTTGGTCCAGTAAGCTCAGCTGATAAAAGTCCATATGATTATCAATTTTTCTAAGGTCGACCAGAGCTCCAGATAAGCTTTTGGTGTTGTGGGTATTTTACACATGCATTTTAAAATCATTGGGTATCAGTAATTCTATCCGGGTATTCAAATTTCTGTTACCCACTAGTTTTTACACATGTGGGTATTTAAGTTAAATATTTATAAAACACTATTCATCTAGTTCCTGCAAACTGATGTCCTGTGGGTTTGGGATCTTCATAGGACTCAAAAATACCACGATACTTCCACAAGAAAGTGTGATGGCAAATGATCATGATGTAACTGTCATCGTGGAGTTTGGCAAGGTTGACGGAATGCCCGTTTATAATTTCAAAAAAATTTGCGGATTTGCTAAATGAATACGCAGGGTTACTTCACAATATTTTGATGATACGCACAAGTTTTAATTTTGTTGCGTATCTGTAATGTTCGTTGCGTATTTGGTACGCTTGGATTTTACTTTACTGCGTATTTCTGCATTTGTGATGTGTATTTCACGCATATACGCAGCTTATCTGTAGCTCTGGTCGACTGAAAATGAGGCTTTGAGCGATGGTTGGGCAAGTAGATTTAAATTTGTTTACTTCAGTAATCAATGGCATTTTCACAATCATCATTTGGCTGATACATTCTCTACCGGTGAAGGGGGGCACGGGTGGCCCAGTTGTCTAAGGCACCGCGATTCGCTGTGCAGAGTTGGTCCCTTGGGCACGCCAGAAACCTATGATTGTGGGTTCAATCCGGATTCGTCCTGATTATGCTTCTAGGTTTGTCAGCACCATACCCGTGCTCGTGGGTTTCACTGATGTGGTAAACGTCTGAGACCTGCATCCTATCGGGCTTTCCTCCCACATTAAGCTGACACGCCGCGATATAACTGGAAAACTGTTAAATGCGGCGTTAAACCCAACTCACTCACTCACTCACTCCACCAGTGAAGACCCAGGTTAGAATAGGTCTTCAGCAACATATGCTCGCTGTGAAAGGCAACTATGCTTGTTGTAAGAGGCAACCTACAGGATCGGGCTAGACTAACATCTAGTCTCTGAAATGAACATATCGTACAGAAAAAAAATAGTTGTTTAATTATCTTAATACAAACTTCATAAAAAGGAGCCCAGAGACTCTCTTCATTCCTGATACTGCATAAATCTAGACTTGCCAAACATTATAGACTTGCATGGGCAGTATTTGTTATATTTGTATCAGGGTCTGTGAGAGAGACTAATGATCGGGTGGTCAGGCTCGCTGACTTGGTAGATGCATGTCACCGTATCCCAATTGTATGGTCATGCTCATGATGGGTATCACTGGATTGTCTGGTCCAGACTCTATTATATAAGGACCGCTGTCATAGAGCTGGAATATTGCTAAGTGCAGCGTTAAACAACAAACAACCAAACAAATTTAGTGTGTAACTGTGATCGATACTTGTGTCAGGAAGACACAGATCACGATCCAACGATGCATCTTCCCACAACTACTAAACGACACCAGTGTCTGTGGGTATGATGACATGCTATCAACCAAGTCACCGAACCATACTACCTGACTCCCTGACCACCTGACTCCCTGACCACCTGACCCCCTGACCCCCTGACCACCTGACTCCCTGACCACCTGACCACCTGACCCCCTGACCACCTAACCTCCTGACTCCCTGACCACCTGACCACCAGACCCCTGATCACCTGACCCCCTGACTCCCTGACCACCAGACAACTGATCACCTGACCCCCTGACTCCCTGACCACCAGACCCCTGATCACCTGACCCCCTGACCACCTGACTCACTGACCACCTGACTCCCTGACCACCTAACCACCTGACCCCGACTCCCTGACCACCTGACCCCCTGACTCCCTGACCACAAGACCCCTGATCACCTGACCCCTGACCACCTGACTCCCTGACCACCTGACTCCCTGACCAACTGACCACCTGACCCCGACTCCCTGACCACCTGACCCCCTGACTCCCTGACCACCTGACCACCAGACCCCTGATCACCTGACTCCCTGACCACCAGACCCCTGATCACCTGACCCCCTGACCACCTGACTCCCTGACCACCTGACTCCCTGACCACCTGACCCCGACTCCCTGACCACCTGACCCCCTGACTCCCTGACCACCTGAACCCCTGACCACCTGAACACCTGACCACCTGACCACCTGACTCCCTGACCACCTGACCACCTGACCACCTGACCCCCTGACCACCTGACCACCAGACCCCTGATCACCTGACCCCCTGACTCCCTGACCACCAGACCCCTGATCGCCTGACCCCCTGACCACCTGACCACCTGACTCCCTGACCACCTGACCCCAACTCCCTGACCACCTGACCCCCTGACTCCCTAACCACCTGAACCCCTGACCACCTGACCACCTAACCACCTGACTCCCTGACCACCTGACCACCTGACCACCTGAACCCCTGACCACCTGACCACCTGACTCCCTGACCACCTGACCCCCTGACTCCCTGACCACCTGACCCCCTGACCACCTTACCTCCTGACCACCTGACCCCCTGACCACCTGACCCCCTGACTCACTGACCACCTGACTCCCTGACTCCCTGACCACCTGACTCCCTGACCACCAGACCCCTGATCACCTGACCCCCTGACCACCTGACTCCCTGACCACCTGACCACCTGACCCCGACTCCCTGACCACCTGACCACCTGACCACCAGACCCCTGATCACCTGACCCCCTGACCACCTGACTCCCTGACCACCTGACTCCCTGACTCCCTGACCACCTGACTCCCTGACCACCTGACCCCCTGACTCCCGACCCCCTGACCCCCTGACTCCCTGACCACCTGACCACCTGACCACCTGACTCCCTGACCACCTGACCCCCTGACCACCTGACCCCCTGACCACCTAACCTCCTGACCACCTGACCCCCTGACCACCTGACCCCGACTCCCTGACCACCTGACCCCCTGACCCCTGACCACCTAACCTCCTGACTCCCTGACCACCTGACTCCCTGACCACCTGACCCCGACTCCCTGACCACCTGACTCCCTGACCACCTGACCCCCTGACTCCCTGACCACCTGACCCCCTGACCACCTTACCTCCTGACCACCTTACTCCCTGACCCCCTGACTCCCTGACCACCTGACCCCCTGACCACCTAACCCCCTGACCACCTGACCCCCTGACCACCTGACCCCCTGACCACCTTACCTCCTGACCACCTTACTCCCTGACCCCCTGACTCCCTGACCACCTGACCCCCTGACCACCTAACCCCCAGACCACCTGACCCCCTGACCACCTGACCACCAGACCACCAGACCACCAGACCACCTGACCCCCTGACCACCTGACCACCTGACTCCCTGACCACCCGACCCCCTGACTCCCTGACCCCCCTCAACACCCGACCCCCTCAACACCCGACCCCCATAACACCTGACCCCCTCACCACCCGACCCCCTGACCACCTGACCACGTGACAACCTGACCCAGGTTGATGGTGAAGCAATTCTCTTCCGGAATCCCCAGATCAGTACATTTATGAAAAATGTGATTATTTTATCACATTAATATTTCAGCCTATGCAGTTGATCAACTACAACCTCGAGGTCGCCAAGCCAGGCAAGTTACCATCAGGGAAGACTGAGATCCCCTTCGAGGTACCGCTCCGAGCCAAGGCGGGGAAAACCCTGTATGAGACGTACCATGGAGTCTTTGTCAACATACAGGTGAGGTTTCCGTTAGTTGGAGTAGTTGGAGGTACCGCTCCGAGCCAAGGCGGGGAAAACCCTGTGTGAGACATACCATGCTGAGGTATAATATATAAACTCCCTCCCTAATTGCAAATAGAAAATGTTTACATGGATAATGAGACCATTTTCTGAAAGCAATAAAACAGGGCTCAATTTAGCTATTTCAAACATGCACCATCACACCCAATTATTGGAATATGCAACCTAATATTTATGTAAAAGATATTCATTATTGTGTCCACACAAAATCGTTCTTTGATCACACTCAATATTTCTCAAGTGTATTTACCATACTAAATTACTAATCTCTGAGTTATGTGTAATTTGCCATGCTTTCTTGGGTTTGAAGTCATCAAACTGTGGGTACTTCAAGATGTGCACATTCCTATTATGCTTTACAGCAATGTGTCATTCATTTATGTGACACTGGCAGCAGACCGGCCTATGTTTCAACTTTGATAGGTGTAATGGACCAGGGTGCAACCTGGTTTTGTTTGGTGCAACTTGGTTTTGTTTGGTGCAACCTGGTTTTGTTTGATGCAACCTGGTTTTGTTTGGTGTGACCTGGTTTTGTTTGGTGCAACCAGGTTTTGTTTGGTGCAACCTTGTTTTCATGTCAACATCAACCTGGTGCAAGTTAAACAATAGTATATCCTGAGATTCAACAACAAGTTCTGCAAGTTCTGCAAGTGACAGAAATCTGGGTCTAGGGTATTTAAGTTTATAGAAAATATTATACCTTGGATAGCAGAGGATGAGTGTCAGAGGTGGTACCAGGGTCATTTCCACCGTACTGTATTTGCCATATTAACAACCTGCTCAAATTCCAGACCAATCTGTAAATGAAATTCATAAGCGCCCCTGCTTAGACCAAAAATTAATTTGACAGCCTGTGTTGTCTTGTGTATATTACAGAAACAGTGGCGAGGATGAGGTCTATAATTGCATTGTAATTATTATGGAAAACATTTTAGTTTAGTCAGTGTTTGAACTAACTTTGTCCACCACCGCACAATCTCTGAAAACCAACTGAACTTGGGCACTTTATTATGAACCCTACCTCTAAGCCTTTATTGCTTGTAGATAATGACTTGATCTTAGTTTCTCCCTGTTACAGTACTGTGTGAAGGTGGACATGAAGAGGTCACTGCTCAACAAGGACCTACAGAAGCAGACAGAGTTCATCCTGGAGTATAAGGTACATACGACAATAGATTCGGGGTAGAATAGGTCTTCAGCAACCCATGCTTGCCTAAAGAGGTGACTATGCTTGTTGTAAGAGGCGACTAACGGGATCGGGTGGTCAGGCTTGCAGACTTGGACGATGCATGTCATCATATCCTAATATGCGTAGATCGATGCTCATGATGTCTATCACTGGTTTGTCGGGTCCAGACTTGATTAATTTCAGACCGCTGTCATATAACTGGAATATTGCTGAGTGTGGCGTTAAACCCAAAAAACAAACAAAACAAAAAACCACTGGTTGCAATCCTTGACTATTTATGCAAAAGGTTTTGGTGATATAGTTTGAATATTATAGACTGCGTAAAACAACATTCACTCTCAGGCTGCTGTGATATTGTCAACAGCAGTAGACAACAGCATTGACACTGGAATGCAAAGCATCAGACACAAGTGGAATTGATCGTTGTTGATGTTTACAGTCACTTTTTTACATGGTCAAGACATGATTATTTATGGACTTTCAGGATATAGCTGGAATACTGCTGACCATCCTGACCGCAGTGTAAAATTACATTCACTCACTCACTAATCAGTCTCATTAAAAGTAAACAAGTGAATGACAGCATGAGCAACGAGCCTGACAAACCCACCCCATGGTAGTCGGCTCTTTGGCGTTGGGCACAGACTAACAGGATCGGGTGGTCCGGCTCGGTGACGAGGTCGATGCAAGTCATTGTATCCCAATTGTATAGAGCGATGCTATATCACTAAATGTCTGATCCAGACTCCATTATTTACAGACCGTCGTCATATAGCTGGAATATTGCTCAGTGCGGCGTTAAACAACAAACAAACAAGCAAACAAACAAACACTCTTGATCTGTTTGTTTCAGGAACAAGAAGAGAAGTCCAAGCCCAAACCTGTCAACTTCACGATTACTCCAGAAACATTGTCAAACATAAAGGAGGTAATTACCATGGTTACATCCTCATCCTCCAACCCAATTTGTTCTTACTTTTTGTCCACAAAAATGCTTGTTTAGTCATGACTGTCCCCAAGATGTAATTATATAAATATCAAAGAAACTTGCTCAACAATTGTAGGAAGATAGATAGGGGCTGTGTACTCTATGCCCACTATGTCGTGAGGCAAGATGTTTGTTTGTTCATTCAAGGTGACTGCCTTCCGTGGTCTAGAGGGGCGGTCGGGTAGCCTAGTGGTTAAAGCGTTCGCTCGTCACGCCGAAGACCCGGTTCGATTCCCGACATGGGTACAATGTGTGAAGCCCATTTCTGGTGTCCCCCGCCGTAATATTGCTGGAATATTGCTAAAAGCGGCGTAAAACCATTCTCACTCACTCACTCACTCCATGGTCTAGAGCTTCCGCCCAGAGAGCGGAAGGTTCGGAGGCGGTTCCCGAAAAAAAAGAAAAAAAAAAAGACCTCAATAGATGGTACTTGTTGTTACCCTGTCTGGCGCTCAGCATTATGGAACTAAAACAAGGACTAGTCGGCTGGGAGTCAGTATACTGTGTCTGAGTGGGGTATTCATGTTAAACTGCGGCATGGTATCTCAGTGGGACTAGTACAAGCAGCCACACGCACACTCACGTGCATGCACAAGTATATAAGTGCAATAATCTTGGATGCAACATTAAACCCCATTTCACCTCACCTCATCTCATTCAAGGTTATTGCTCTTATGTCACAACATGCGTGCACTGTCTGTGTGTCTGGCTGTCTGCTTGTACAAGTCCAGACGTATGTCATTTTTATAGAGCTAGCCCACTAAGACACCATGCCGCAGTTTAACATGAATACCCTCTAAGATCCACTATGCTGACTCTAACCCAGTCTTTTTCTTATCCCCTTGATACCATACAGAGTAACAACTTGTACAAACTTAGTTTAGTGTCTTTTGGTATGACCCAGCCAGAGATTGAACCACGAATCGTCCGCTGACACTCCACGGAGGTGGTCTCCCTGTCTGGTAGTAACTGGGTCTTAATCATACCCCAGACCTAAAAGGGTCGGGGTATATAGTTATACCAAGGTCTCGTCCGTCCGTCTCTCCGTCGGTCCGAAAACTTTGTCCGCACGATTTCTCTTAAACTATTCAGTGGATTCATCTCAAACTTAGTACACATAATCTGTGTTATATGGAGGGGTGTAGTCAAAAGAAAAAAAATGTTTTTATTAATTTTCCATTTTTTTTATGAATTTTTCAAACCCTAACCCTATCCATTTTATAATGAAACAGAGTGACTTCCATCACGCATCTCACACAGTGCAAGTTGAGCGTGATGGACTGGTTGACACACTAGGCGGGTCGGGGGTATTAGTGTGCCACGCTCACTTTTGCCCTTGTTGGTTCATTTCTACATCATTACCCTCCCTCCTATCCCCTGTAGTATGCAGGGTTCTATTTATAACTACCAGGTGTTTCAGAACACTTTGGAAGCAACATTGGGTAGGTGGTCAAAATAAGGATCTAAAAACTACAGCTAATATATGGGAGCTAAAAGATGAAAGGGGCGTTCGGGTAGCCTAGTGGTTAAAGCATTCGCTCGTCACGCCGAAGACCCGGGTTTGATTCCCGACATGGGTACGAAGTGTGAAGCCCATTTCTGGTGTCCCCCGCCGTGATATTGCTGGAATATTGCTAAAAGCAGCCTAAAACCATACTCACTCACTCACTCACTAAAAGATGAAAGGTTTATAAGTCTACAACATGACGTGAGTGACTTGAGAAACCTTATAGAATAGATGCAGCAATGGTTTTTAAAATGGCTAGTTCTCGATCTGATTGAAAAAATAAACTGCTTCCTTGTTACAAGTTTTTAAGATATTTTAAAGAAAAGTGACTTTCTGAAAGCCATTGTTGATCAATCAATGTCTTGTCATTGCAGAAACAAAACGTGCCAAGGTTCAAAGTTAAAGGAAAGCTCAGCTCTTCCAATCTGCAGATAACGAAGCCTTTAACTGGAGAGGTGAGTCGCTCCGTGGGTTACCATCAGACGCCAGCGATACAATCCACACTGGGTACTAGGACTGATACAATTCACTCGCGTATTCGGTGAATCGAACCGTATCCATTTATGAATTGAATTCATTATTCGTGGCCACAAGAATCAAATATTTATGAATATGCAATCAAGTGCATTTACATACCCTGTACCTAAAAATATCCTTGAGAACATGTTATATGCATAGATTTCTTCCAAAACAACACTCTTATGATATATAATTTAACAGTATTGTGGTCACTGATCATTGTCGCATTTGAGCAGATACTAGTACCTGGATAAGTGAAGTGTATAAATGTATGATATATTTATAATTAACAAACGATGTCAAATAATTTATGTTGTTATTGTTTCACTGAATATGACAAATAATACATAAACTGCTGACTTGTTATTTTAATTGTGAATTAATATTCGTATTCATTACCCATATTCGTGATACGAATCGTATTCGCCGCATAGTGTATTCGTTGCAGCCCTACTGGGTACTGATACATAAATTTAGTTGTTACCAGTATCTGAGAATCTTCCCGAGGCAAGAGAGTTAGCTGACTAAAAAAGTCCAGTTTCCACCCTTGCCAAGCGTTCGCTTGTGACACCAAAGGCCCAGGTTCGATTCCCCACATGGGTACAATGTATGAAGCCCAGTTGTGATGTCCCCCGCATGATTTTGCTGGAATATTGCTAAAAGCGGCGGAAAACCATCCTCACCATATGCTAACACAGAGTTATCCCCCCTTGCTGTAGTTTAAATCTGAAACTATTTTATATCACAATGAAGTTTTTTGAAGCTTTAAATTGTTGCTTGATGACAAATGGATGGATAGATAAGCTGATTACGCTATATTTCCTGCATCATACAGCATGTAGTTTGTCTTTGTTTGTTTAGGCCTTATTAGGAAAGTTAATGGCACTTTGTGACTCAAACGTTATTGACTCAGACTGTAGTTGACTTACATCCTCCACTGGTAAAGATCTGGGTTAGAATAGGTCTTCAGCAACCCAGGCTTGTTTTGAAACGCGACTATGCTTGTCGTAAGAGGCGACTAACGAGATCGGGTGGTCAGGCTTGCTGACTTGGTTGATGCATGCCTTCATATCCCAATGGCTTGGATCGATGCTCATGATATCACTGGATTGTCTGGTCCTAACTTGATTATTTACAGACCACCGTCATATAGCTGGAATATTGCTAAGTGAGATGACACTGATGGTTACTATTATTAACTGCTATTTTGTCATATTAATGATTGCCATCAGTCCTTAAACATTTGCTATTTTTTATAGTTAGATCAATTGTTACCTCCTACAGTATTGTAGCAACATACTGGACTATAATTATCCTGTACAAACAGATGCATATTGCAATACTGTTTTAGATGGTGATAACGTCTGTCTCCCAGCCCAAGAGAATAAATTATTAATGAATCTGACTAAAGTTTACAATGTTTTGTCAAGTAAGATTGCCACTCGGCAGAAATTAAACATCGTTGTGGGTTCCATTTGAACTTTGTTTCATATTTTATATTTATATATTTTATGTAAGATAACTTACTTATTGGACGATTTGTCTGTCCACTGGCGATATTCACAAGGAGTTATCTAGCTCTGTTCAAAGGCCGATAAACCCCAAGTCTACAGCAGATGTCATAGAATATGAAACATTCGCAAGTGTAAGTACAGTGTTAAAATACCTATGAATTTAAGAACATAAGAACTTTCAGGAAGCAAAATTTAAAATGATGTTGTTGTTACTTGCTTGCCTCTTCTCTGTTTGGTCCAGCTGCAGGTGGATCAGTGTGATGCACAGATCAAGTCTATCGAGATCCAGCTGGTCCGAGTGGAGACGTGTGGCTGTGCAGAGGGCTATGCTAAAGATGGTACTGTACCTTGTGTGTGTGATAACTCACGTATAATGAACACTTACACATGATAGCACTTACTTACGACGAGTGCGTACATACAATGTGCTTAAGTATAAAGTGCAGTTATGTATGCTGTGCACTTATGTAATAAACACTTGTGTATAATGCACACTTACACATGATGAGCACTTACATACAACGAGCACTTACATATAATGTGCACTTAAGTATAAAGTACACTTTTGTATGTTGTGCACTTATGTAATAAACACGTGTGTATAATGCACACTTACACATGATGAGCACTTACGTATAAGCACTTACATATAATGTGCACTTATGTATATTGTGCACTTATGTAATGAACACTTGTGTAAAATGCACACTTACATACAATAAGCATGTACATATACGTTGCACTTATGTATGATGTGGGCTTATGTGTAATGAACATATACGTATAATGCACACTTATTTGTATGCGAACTTACCGTATATCACCGTCTATATGGCGACCCCTCGTATAAGGCGACCACCCTGTACAAGCCTTCAAAATCGATGCTTATTTATATACCCTGTCTATAAAGCGAATCGGAATGAAGCACGTCACCAGCGCATACACAATACCTACATTTGCAATAAAAAAAAAAAATTTCTTCCGCAGAAAAAAATTAAAATAGGTCTTCAGCATCCCATGTTGCCACAAGAGGCGACCCTACTTGTCGTAAGAGGTGACAAACAGGATTGGGTGGTGACTTGATTAATGCATGTCACCGCATCCCAAATGTGTAAATTGATGCTCATGATGTCAATCACTGGACTGTCTGGTTCAGACTCTATTATTTACAGACCCCCTTCATATAGCTGGAATATGCTGAGTGCATATAATCTGATCGACCATCAATATCTATATTATGATAAAACAAGTTTTACATCGCCAAGTGCATCAAATCACTTGAGCACCTTGATTAAAAAAATGAAAAGATTTATAAAATATCTATTGACAATGTGTTGGCGGTACACATGCTTTGCAAATTCTGCAATCGACTGAAATCTGCATGACATTTTACGAACCGGATTTCGATTTCGTTGCACGATTTTGCATAGACTTATTAGTCCAGCCAAATTGTAACTCCATAATACCAGCCTAGTTCGGCAAGGGTGGAAACTGGACTTTTGTAGTCAGTTAAATCCCTTGCCTCTGGAAGATGCTTATGACCAAGTATCGATTCTAAACAAGCATCTTCCCGAGGCCCAGGTCTGATTCCCCACATGGGTACAATGTGTGAAGCCCATTTCTGGTGTCCCCCATAATGATGTTGTTGGAATATTGCTAAAAGTGCTGGAAAAGCAAACTTGCTCACTCGCTCACTCACTCACTCAGTCACTCACTCACTCACCCTCACTCACTCACTCACTCACTCACTCACTCACTCACTCACTCACTCTCCCTCCCTCCCTCCCTCTTTCCCTCCCTCCCTCTTTCCCTCACTCACTCACTCACTCACTCACTCTCCCTCCCTCCCTCTTTCCCTCACTCACTCACTCACTCACTCACGCACACACTCACTATTCCTGCCACAGAGATACAAAACATCCAGATAGCTGATGGGGACGTGTGTCACTCACTCACTCACTCACTCACTCACTGTTCCTCCCTCCCTCTTCCCCTCACTCACTCACTCACTCACTCACTCACTCACTGTTCCAGCCACAGAGATACAAAACATCCAGATAGTTGACGGGGATGTGTGTCACTCACTCGCTCACTCACTCACTCACTCACTCACTCACTCACTCACTCACTCACTGTTCCAGCCACAGAGATACAAAACATCCAGATAGCTGACGGGGATGTGTGTCGCTCACTCACTCACTCACTTACTCACTCACTGTTCCAGCCACAGAGATACAAAACATCCAGATAGCTGACGGGGACGTGTGTCGCGGACAGAACATCCCCATCTTCATGATCTTCCCCCGTCTCTTCACCTGCCCAACATTGTCAACAAGCAACTTTAAAATTGGTAAGTCTAACCTATTGTTCACTGAGATGCTTCAGGAGGTTTAGCATTGACTGTCACCCCACAGTGTGTGTGTGAGTGTGTGTGTGTGTGTGTGTGTTGTGTGTGTGGTGTGTGTGTGTGTGTGTGTGTGTAAGAGAGAGAGAGACCTGTGGTCTAAGGGAGGTAATTCAGTATTTATTACTTTAGATTCTCTCCCTTTAACCTATCACATGTCAATGCTTTTGAGAAACAGGAGTATTGAAAGAAGCTAATCATGATTTTCAGGGGACAAATGATTTGGAATGATATAGAAAATATTCTACCAAAAAGTGATAAAAGCAAGGAAATGTTTGTTTGTTTGTTTGCTTGTTGTTTAATGCTGCACTCAGCAATATTCCAGCTATATGACGTCCGTCTGTAAGTAATTGTGTCTGGACCAGACAATCCAGTGATTGATATCATTAGCAGCGATCCACACTATTTCTTCTAGTTACCACGATGAAATGCGCAAGGAAATGTGTCAAGCAGTATCACTAGTAATATGTTTATGGTTTGGGGAAAACAAAATTTAGGAATTAACTTTGCTACAATTTAAAGTTAAATTAGCACCTGATTCATTCACCTGATTGAATAAAGAAGTTCCCTCCCAAATGTGCATCACTTGTGAATACCATTCAAAGACTTCATGAAACAGTAGTCCATGAGTGGGTGTGGCTAAATTTGTTTTGAATTTATGAAAACATACATGTACAGTGAGTGAGTGAGTGAGTTGGGTTTAACGCTGGTTTTAACAGTATTCCAGTTATAACACGGCGTCTCAGCTTAATGTGGGAGGAAAGTGATGCAGGCCTCAGACGTTTAACACTTTGGCGAAACCCACGAGCACGGGCATGGTGCTGACAAACCTAGAAACATAATCAGGGCGAACCGGGATTCGAACCCACAATCATAGGTTTCTGGCGTGCCCAAGGGACGCAACTCTGCACAGCGAATCGTGGTGCCTTTAATATCATTTATTTACTGGGGTGTTCTTGTTTCAGAGTTCGAGATCAACATTGTCCTGGTGTTCCACGACGACCACCTTGTGACTGAGAACTTCCCCATCAAACTGACACGCTTCTGAACAAAACATGCAGGTGTTCCTTGTCAACAATTTATTTCCATGGTGTTTCAGTACTTATTTCTTTTAATTTCCTCAGAATTGCAAGTATAAAAAGGTACATTTATTAAATATCCTTTGTTGTTCTTGTTAGTGCTGTTATTTATTTTATTATTTGGAAATGTCATTTTTGTTAAATCGGTGAAAGTGATGAAAGAATAGTTTCAAGCAACAGGACTTTAGTAGTGCTCGGAAGATTCTGTTGGCCATCTGTATGTTTGAATGAATGTGAACATTTGTAAATACAATATTGTACATATATGTCATCACTTATGATATGTAAATAAATGAATGTAAACAAATGCTCTTTTGTTTTGTCACAGAAAATTCAAAAGTATGTTTTCTTCAAACGTTCTACATTCTACATTGACCCGGGATTGATTCCCCACATGGGTACAATGTGTGAAGTCCATGTCTGGTCTCTCCTGATGTTGGGGGCACGGGTGGCCCAGTCGTCTAAGGCGCCGCGATTCGCTGTGCAGAGTTGCGTCCCTTGAACATGCCAGAAACCTATGATTGTCAGTTCCAATCCTGGTTCGTCCCGATTATGGTTCCTGGTTTGTCAGCACCATACCCGTGCTCGTGCGTTTCACCGAAGTGATAAACGTCTGAGACCTGCGTGACTTCGGGCTTTCCTCCCACATTAAGCTGACACACCGTGATATAACTGGAATACTGTTAAAAGCGGCGTTAAACCCAACTCACTCACTCACTCACTCACTCACTCTCCTGGTGTGATATTGCTGGAATATTGCTCAAGGCGGCAAACATGAAAAATATCACTTTAAGATGTATATAATCATGATCATTCACTGACTTCCACCTGTCAATCAAACCATTTTGACCAATCAGAAAGTAATACATCTTCCCGAGGCAAACGTGTCCACTAGCCTTTATCAAAGCCAAGTTTCTACCATCTGCCCGAGGCAAGTGTGTCCACTAGCCTTTATCAAAGCCAAATTTCTACCATCTTTCCCGAGGCAAGCGTGTCCACTAGCGTTTATCAAAGCATAGTTTCTACCATCTTCCCGAGGCAAGCGTGTCCACTAGCGTTTATTAAAGCCAAGTTTCTACCATCTTCCCGAGGTAAGCATGTCCACTAGCCTTTATCAAAGCATAGTTTCTACCATCTTTCCCGAGGCAAGCATGTCCACTAGCCTTTATCAAAGCATAGTTTCTACGATCTTCCCGAGGCAAGTGTGTCCACTAGCCTTTATCAAGGCATAGTTTCTACCATCTTCCCGAGGCAAGTGTGTCCACTAGCCTTTCTCAAAGCATAGTTTCTACCATCTTCCCGAGGCAAGCGTGTCCACTAGCGTTTATAAAAGCGAAGTTTCTACCATCTTCCCGAGGCAAGGGAGTTAACTGACTACAAAAGTGGAAACTGGACTTTTATAGTCAGTTAACGCCCGTGCCTCGGGAAGATGAGTTTCTACAAGACTTTGATGAAAAGGCTGGTGGACACTCTTGCCTTAACAGGCGACTATGCTTGTTGTAAGAGGCGACTAACGGGATCGGGTGGTCAGGTTCGCTGACTTGGTTGATGCATGTCATCGTATCCCAATTGGGTAGATGGATGCTCATGATATCAATCACTGGATTGTCTGGTTCAGACTTGATTATTTGCAGACGGCCGTTATATAGTTGAAATATTGCTGAGTGTGGCGTTAAACAACAAACAAATAAACATATGTAGACATTATTAGAAATGAGCAAAACGCAACAGAAATTCTGGTTATGCAGCTGAACGCCTGAGGTCGCCTTCCACCAGAAGAAATAGGGCGATTGATAACGTCTGCAGACCGCCTAACGCCATCTCCAGAGTGACCAAAATAAGCACCCAGCTGCACTATCATGACAGTGTCAAATTATGTTGGAAATGCAAACGTAAAAGAACAAATATACATTCACAATGTCAATATTCTGATACCTTTATATAAATTATACAATTTATTATACAGTTTATATAATTTGTACATATTAAACTAAATAATAAACAAAAAAGAAAATGTCTATCCTTTTTACATTCTTATTTGAAATACCGCTTCGGGACCGTCGCTTAAATGTCTTTGACAGGCCTTGAGACGATCCCCGTGCTTGTAACAACAAAGGCGTGGTTAAGGAACCGTTATACAGCGTGAATAAACCGACAGGCCGTGATATAAATGGAATACTGTTCAAAGAACAGTCGTTTCACGAACCATAATTACGTTAACGGGCCATTGATTTAAAGGAGGTTTGGAGGTACCTTACACAAAGCATTTTAATGCGACCTCCCCTCATAATAAAATAAAGAACATATTATATTATTGCACTGTTTATTAAATACACATTGCAAAGAATTTCTATATACACATTAATGTTAATATTTCTTTCTTGCATAATCATAACACTGTCGTACATAACAAACCGTGATGACATCAAGGGAAGATATGGGTATAGCGCTGATATCGCTGGACTAACACAATAAGCAAAGAAATGATATCACAAACAAAGAGTCAACGGAAGAATGAGTGAGTGAGTGAGTTGGATTGCACGCCGCTTTTATCGATATTCCAGTTATATCGCGGCGTGCCAGCTAAATGTGGGAGGAAAACCCGAAGTGATGAAGGTCTTGGACGTTTATCACTCTGGTGAAACCCACGAGCACGGATATGGTGCTGACAAACCTAGAAACATAATCGGGGCGAATCGGGATTCGAACCCACAATCATAGGTTTCTGGCATGCCCACAGGACGCAACTCTGCACAGCGAATCGCGGCGCCTTAGACATTATTTTTGGGGCACGGGTGGCCCAGTCGTCTGAGACACCTGCATCACTTAGGGCTTCCCTCCCACATAAGCTGACACGCCGTGATATAACTGGAATAATGTTAAAAGCGGTGTTAAAACCCAACTCACTCATTCACTCACTTATTCACTCTCCCTAGACCGAAAGTGCGTACCTCATCATGGAACAAAGTCCCTTCGTTAGGTTTTCTTTCAAAGTATACAACTCAACGTTTGATAGGGATTACCAGCTATGTCATTCTAATTAATTATACACTTGACGAGTAACATATTTTTGCCTGATAAGGTAACAAAAATTCCCTATCAAAAGCTCGTGGGTTTCACCGAAGTGGTAAACGTCTGAGACCTGCATCACTTCGGGCTTTCCTCCCACATTAAGCTGACACGCCGTGATATAACTGGAATACTGTTAAAAGCGGCGTTAAACCAAACCCACTCACTCACTCAAGTAATTATACAAAGTAAACGCGGACATTCGGAACACACCTATCAAATGTTGGGTAGACTGTCTCCTAACTGGTAAGGTGACGATTTACTATACTTAACAAAAAAGTTAGAGATCATGAATATTTGGGGGAATAGTTTACTGTGTGCTCTGTCTTCACTTAAAAAATATAACCCCAAAATATTCCTAATCTCTAACTTTTTTGTTCAGCGTGCCTACTGGATTGACCAGAACGTGCATCTAAAACTGACGAATTGCGTGGAGCTCCCATAAACATCATCTTTATATCCTTGCATGTATCGGAAATCTGCTATTTACATAAAACAACAAATACACACATATATAATGTTCCGTTGTTAAAATAAACATAAAGTTAACGGGAAACCATCCTCTAGTTGAAGGCACAACCAGAGACCATACAATAGATATATTACAGTATACGGGCACTTCGTTAATGGTACAAGTCTCGCGACATTCACAATAATCTCGCGAAACTTGACAGCATGATAGGGAGCGTATCAAAACGGTATACACAATAAGTGTTAATATACAACATTAACGTTCAGTCAGTTGTATCACAGCAGCGACAGCTGATGTTAAAGTACTCATGGAAATGAAAAAAACCTGTTTTGCTGGATTTAATAATCGACATAAAACATTACGTAGATGTAAACACAAATCACTAACCACTAACAAATAACATGCACGTGGGTTTCAAGCACCTGTTGTCAAGGTGTCATAGGTCATGGACATTCACCTTGATCTACTAACACCTGGTTATGCTCAGTTTCACAATAGTCTGTTTTGTTCATATTTTTACACACTTTTACGTGTAAAAAGACATAAAAACCTTTGATACGCTGTATTTGTGCCAAGGCCCAATTAGTACTAATTGAGTTGTTTGAATATGTATATATTTTGTACATTAACTGCATTTATATAAAATCTGAGATCGAATAAACAGGTTTTTTTCATTTGCGTGAGTACTTTAGTTCGTCATGGTTAGGAGTTCACAATTGACGGTTTATTCCATCCTGACTATTACTTCTAAAATCGTATGTTCGCGCACCGTGACGTTGAAAAGTCCTTAACAGGAACTATATACATATAACAAGACTAGTATATACCTATTTTGAGGCACAGTCGTCTAAGGCGCCGCGATTCGATGTGCAGAGTTGCGTCCCTTGGGCACGCCAGAAACCTATGATTGTGGGTTCGAATCCCGGTTCGCCCTGATTTTGTTTCTAGGTTTGTCAGCACCATACCCGTGCTCGTGGGTTTCACCGAAGTGGTAAACGTCTGAGACCTGCATCACTTCGGGCTTTCCTCCCACATTAAGCTGGCACGCTGCGATATAACTGGAATACTGTTAAAAGCGGCGTTAAACCCAACTCACTCACTCACTATACCTATTTTGATAAGGGCATTTGAAGTTGCGTTAAACTGATAACTGTAAACGTCAACTATGAATGTATTCTGTCATATAACAGTCGCTAATAACAACAAAAACTTTTCGCAATATGTTAAGTTTAACATTTTTTTATAAAAACAACAACAAATTAACTAATACACATGATTCGTTAAAAATAACAAGTCGGGCAACTTTTTGAAACAGGTCACAGTTTGATAATTAAGGAGCTCAAATGACCAGATCCGCCCGCGGCCTTGTGTGCATCTGGTGGTACAACGTCATCAACGTCACCACGACGACCATCGTCACGCCAACGATACTTGACAGCTGGGGAAGATACATACAACAGTCACAATTTCACTGAGCATCTTAATTATCTTTTGTTTGTTTGTTTGTTTAACGTCGCACTCAGCAATATTCCAGCAATATGACGGCGGTCTGTAAATAATCGAGTCTGGACCAGACAACCCAGTGATTGACACCATGAGCATCGAACTATGCAATTTGGTTACGATGACATGCATCAACCAAGTCAGCGAGCCTGACCACCCGATTCCGATAGTCGCCACTAATGACAAGCATGGGTTGTTGAAGACCAATAATTATTCTAACCCGGATCATCACAGGTCGAGCAGGTTGTGCAGATATGTGTTGCCATTTTGGGAGGGTTTACCGTAGCATTCTAAAACTTGCTAGATTATCAAATAATCATTCTTTTATAAATCTCCTGTAAATAACTATTGGCCCCTTCCTGTGTATTTGAAATTAATTTGAATAATATGATATTTGTCCGTTTTGTTTGCAATGATATGAAACGTGTATAAGTGAGGTGAGTACCTTCATCCAAATATGGTATCGTGTCCACACGTCTATCATCTGTATTTTCGCCAGAGCGAGGCTGCAGGGGAGGTAAGCCTCAGTCTTCCGGGATTCCTTGCACCTGCAAACACAACCCATTCTTCTTTTTTGTTTTTGTTTGTTTGTTGTTTAACGCCGCACTCAGCAATATTCCAGCTATATAACGGTCTGTAGAATAATCGAGTCTGGACCAGACAATCCAGTGATTGACATCATGAGCATCGGGGCACGCAATTGGGCTCGATGACATGTATCAATCAAGTCAGCGAGCCTGACAACCCGATCTCGTCAGTCGCCTTTTACGACAAGCATAGTCGCCTTTTACGGCAAGTATGGGTTTCTGAAGACCTATTCTACTCCGGAATCTTGACGGGTCCCCATTCTTCTTAACAACTGCCTCAATATATAATACTCAACGAGGCAGCGGGGATTATAATTACGCCGAAGACATATTTTAACAATGAAGGATCATAATCCGGGTGAATGTGTGATACGAAACCATTAGCACAGGATTCTGACAGGCCAAAGGGACGCAACTCTGCACAGAATTGTGGCACCAAGCGTGTTTCTGTCTTCATTGAGATGTGGAAAATGTAGTAAGCTGAATTTAACACTGTAAAACCCCGATCGACACTCTAATCGATAATGTATGATGACAATGGGCTGGTTGGTTTGTTTTACGCCGCACTCAACACTATTCCAGCTACATTACGGTCTGTAAAAAATCGAGTCTGGACCAGACAATCAAGTGAATGATATCATGAGCATCGATCCACGTAATTGGGATCGATGACATGCTTCAACCAAGTCAGTGAGCCTGACCACACGATCCCGATAGTCGCCTCTTACGACAAGTATAGTCGACTTTTACAGCAAGAATGGGTTCTGAAGACCTATTAATTCTACCCCGGATCTTCAGGGGTCAAAAATACTGCAAACCCTCATCAGGTGTACAGTGAAAAGGGGTTTAAAATCGCGTCATTTGTGTGTGTGTGTGTGTGTGTGTGTGTGTGCGTGTGTGTGCGTGCGTGCGTGCGTGCGTGCGTGCGTGCGTGCGTGCGTGCGTGCGTGCGTGCGTGGTCCAGACTAATGTCGGTTTTATAGTGCTAGCCCACTGAGACACCATGCATCAGTTTAACATAAATACCCCACTCAGACACAGTATACCCCGAGCCGACCAGTCCTTGTCTCAGCCAATTCATGCCGAGCGTTAGACAGGGTAACAACAAGTACCATGTTCTAATGTCTTTGGGTATGACGCAGCCGGGATCGAATCACCGACCTTTACAGGCGTTCGACCCACTAGAACACATATGCGGTCAAAAACAAGCTGGAACTACAATGCTGTACCTTGTATACAGGTAGACGAGAAGGGTGATGTTGCTGTCCCGATGTGCCAGGGGGACGCGGAGGATGTCCCACGTCGTGTTGGGGATGTGTGCCCCCTCCTCCACCATGAACGCCAGGTTGAACAGGGCCTGCGGGCAATAAAAAGGTTGGTTTATTATTTGTTTCCAGACTTGGTACCACGACCAAAAAGCTAAAATGTGCAACCCAAAGAAAGCTAAAGATTGTTTGTTTGTTTCTTGTTTAACGCTGCAATGAATCTTAAATGGTGATTTAAAACTATGGTAAAGTTTCTTTTGGCCGTCAGTTTGTGTCATCACGGGTATAACGCAACATTGAAAAATGCATACGGGGAATATGTCATGACAGGAACAATGCAAGGCTGATCAATGCGTGTAGAGAAAGAACAATTGTTATAGCGGGACTTATGCCTGGTTGAACGCTGACTGCGAACAAATACTGTTTTATTGCGAATAATGCTTACGCAAATAATACCAGTGAGCAATCGATGACGTTATGGTAAAATGCTTGAGTTAAACAAATCATATATTAGAAATAATTACAACGATTGCAAAGAAGTAACAGAATCAACATTGCAATAGTCAAATCATTTTGTCCAGTGTTCATACATCCTTTAAACGAGGAAATGTCCAAGCCATACTTACATGTGGGTCTCCCTTTAACGCTGAGTTTGCATAGAAGGCTGAAGCCTTCGGGATATCTCTCTCCGCCCTGCATCCGTACCAGTAGTAATCCCCCATCTTGATCATAGCTGAACAAATATAACATCTTGAGGTCATAGTATGATGAAACTAGGCCATACAGTAAACTACGGTTATAACGAACTCAAAGGGACCACTTATTTTAGTTCGTTATAACCGTAGTTCGTTATAAGCATATATACAGCATATATAGAACAAATGACCGGGACTAAAAAATAAGTTCGTTATATCGGTCAGTTCGTTATAAGCGTGTTCGTTATAACCGTAGTTTACTGTACTTATCTTATTATAATAATCATATATAAGTCATAATGATAATTTTGAAAATGCTAAACTTAATGTATCGATTGTGTATTCGGTTAAACGCCGCTTTTGTTTGTTTGTTGTTTAACGCCGCAATATTCCGACGGCGGTCTATAAACAATCAAATCTGGACCAGACTATCGAGTGATTGACATCATGAGCATCGATCTACGCAATTGGGATACGATAACATGCATCTTCCAAGTCAGCGAGCCTCACCACCCGATCCCGTTAGGCATTTCTTACGACAAGCATGGATTGCTGAAGACCTATTCTCTTACCGGTTCTTCAAGATTTCAAACCTGCATTGAACAGTATTTTAAACATAGCGGTCTTCGACGTTTAACACCTTGGTAGAGCTCTATTTTGTTTGAGTCATGTTGAAATCCAAGAACTTTTTTTAAAGTGTTCAAAGTGACTGAATTACCAGAGCGAGTTTAAGCTTTTAGAACAAGGCTTCATAGAGTTGGTTGGTTGGTTGGTTGGTTGGTTGTTTAACGCCGCACTCAGCAATATTCAAGCTATATGACGGCGGTCTGTAAATAATCGAGACTGGACCAGACAATCCAGTGATTAATATCATGAGCATCGATCCACGCAATTGGGATCGATGACATGCATCAACCAAGTCAGCGAGTCTGACCACCCGATCCCGTTAGTCGCCTTTTACGACAAGCATAGTCACCTTTTACGGCAAGCATGGGTTGCTGAAGACCTATTCTATCCCGGATCTTCACGGGTCGCTTCATCGAGTACACCAGAGCGATGAATATTTTTCGAGCCGCCCTTACAATTTTAAATACGCAAAGCTTAATAATTGTCAGACGACACATAAACGCCTTAGATGATTAATTAAGGCCACAACACAATGACGTTGGTCTGTGACGTCATCTCACCGTAGGAGTCGACGAGCTGGGGTTCCCTCTGCAGGGACAGGTTGTAGTGTCTCCACATACACTCCTTCTCCATGTGGTTCACAAGGCCTTCCTGGAAACACAAACACCAATCTCATTAAAATCAGATCTTGGTTTTCGCTACCGCTAAACAAAGATCTGAGGACATCCCATTACGGATCACGTCAGAACGAACCTTTCGCGAATTTTGACCGACCAATGAAATAACTGACATGAAGTCGACAGTAGCCAATCAGAAGGCAGCTTTCTCGAGCTTTACGACACTAGTTTCAAACTGGCAACTACGCTTTGAAACATATTTTGACGCATTCTCGATTAAAAAAAATAAAACCCGTAACTGTCGTTCGGAATACCCCGTGTTAAATATTTGGTGGTTGCATGATAAGAAAACACATTCCGACTGTCACTTTCATGATCTGGTAGGCGACGCTCTGATTGGTTGGATGAAAGGTCGTTCTGACGTGACCCTTAATTGGATGTCCTCAGATATCTTTGTTTAGCATAGCGAGAACTAACATCTGATTTTAATGAGATTGCACAAACACTGGAGTGAGTGAAGCAGTGTTTGTTTGTTTGTTTGTTTAACACGCGCTCAGCAATATCCCAGCTTTATGGCGGTGGTTTGTAAATAATCGAGTCTGAACCAGACAATCCGACGACTGACACCATGAACATCGATCCACGCAATTGGGATACGATGACATGCACCAAGCAAGTCAGCGAGCCTGACCACCCGATCCCGTTAGTCGCCTATTTCGACAAGCCTAACCTTCATGAGTCGAGTGGGGCAGTACCTCATCACAACGTATTGCGAACGACAAATCGTAAAACCCGTCACACGTCAATAATTATATATTCTTGGGAGGGTCTGGGATATGCAGAGAAAGTGTTAGTGTACCCGAATATGCTGGAAAAAATCATTTGGTCATAATTATGTTTACGCTGATGTTATGAAATCGAATGTAGGTTGGTTTGTTTGTTGTTTTACGCCGCACACAGCAATATTCCAGCTATATGACGGCGGTCTGTTAATAATCGAGTCTGGTCTAGACAATCCAGTGATTGATATCACCAGCATGAAATCGAATTTCTCGTGGGTCTAAAGAAATTGTCTCAAAATGTAATTACTGTCTGCAAAGGACACATTAGTCTTTTTGAACAATACGTAATATGGGCTTGACTGTTACTTTTGACTGCAAATCCTGCAATCGACCGAAATCTGCACGACAATTTACGAACCAGATTTCGATTTCGGTGTGCGATTTTGATTGGACTATGCATAGACTCGTTAGTCCAGCCAAAGCTTAACTCCATAATACCAGCCTAGTTCGGCAAGGGTGGAAACTGGACTTTTATAGCCAGTTAGCTCACTTGCCTCGGGAAGATGTACATTATAGAGTAATAAATGTGAAGCCGAAGCAGGCCACTAATGTGTCCTGTACCTTGTTCTCCTCACACAGCCAGGCGACGTTGAAGTCCCCGACCTCAATCCCCGAGTCGGCCGCGAGTAGGTAGTAGAAGAACGCCAAGGGTCTGTGGGGGAGGAATAGTGAGTGAGTGAGCATGATTTTACACCGCTTTTAGCACTATTCCAGCAACACCAGGGCGGGGGACACCAGAAATGGGCTTCACACATTGTACCCATGTCGGGAATCGAACCCTGGTCTTCGGCGTGACGAGCGAACGCTTTAACCACTAGGCTACCCGACCAACCCTGGGGGAGGAATAAACCTGTCATGCAAACAGTCATGGAACTTGTCATGCAACCTATCATGGAACTTGTCATGCGACCTGTCATGGAACTTGTCATGCGACCTGTCATGGAACTTGTCATGCGACCTGTCATGAACGTTTGCTTGTTGTTTAACGCCACACTCAACAATTTTTCAGCTATATGACGGCGGTTTGTAAATAATCGAGTCTGGATAAGACACTCCAATCCATAGAGCATCGATCTACGCAATTAGGATGAGATGCCGTGCATCAACCAAATCAGCGAGCCTGACCACCCGATCTGGTTAGTCGCCTCTTACGACAAGCATAGTCGCCTGTTACAACAAGCATGGGTTGCTGAAGACCTATTCTACCCCAGGTCTTCACGGGTTATAGCATGAAAGTAATGATCTTACCACTACTAAAATGGATAAAATGCCATTGATGTAACCGGCACGTGCAAACACTTCTCCGCTAACCTTGTAGATTCAATTTGTAGAAGTCACAGAAAGAATCTATTGAAAACCACATATGCGTTTCTTTTTGTGGGGAGTATATATACGAGATCGTATATCATTGAAATGTGTTAATAAATTGCAAGTTTATCGCCTGTGTTTCAACGTTAATACAAACTTCCTTACTCTCATAATCACCTTCAGTAAACTGAATAAACATATGATACCCTTGTTTGGATACAAACGTGATGCTATATATTTGTGATTGCTTCAACAGTGTCTGTTTTAAGTAAAGGGTGAGTGAGTGAGTTGGGTTTAACGCCGCTTTTAACAGTATTCCAGTTATATCGCGGCGTGTCACCTTAATGTGGGAGGAAAGCCCGATAGGATGCAGGTCTCAGACGTTTACCACTTCGGTGAAACCCACGAGCACGGGTATGGTGCTGACAAACCTAGACATAATCGGGGCGAACAGGGATTCGAACCCACAATAATAGGTTTCTGGCGTGTCCAAGAGACGCAACTCTGCACAGCGAATCGCGGCGCTTTAGACGACTGGGCCACCCGTGCCCCCTCAAGTAAAGAGGTGTCTTGTATGTTTTCGTGTCCCTCCATATCAACTTACATATTGCCACTTCTGTACGCATGTAGACCTTTCCGTAACATAATTCCAACGGCAGGGTTCTTCTCGGCGACGTACCGTGCCCATCTGCAATAGGTAGAGATGGCTAGATATGGCTAAAATAATTGTTGCAATTTTCAAGCTGATATAAAAAGTCGCTGCGTCGTTATAAATAACCAGATGGTATAGGTGAAATAATTACTCTCTGCGGCGTAAAATGACATTCACTCACTGCAGCAGTTACCATCATGTTACTATGGCGTGACCCCGTTAAGATCGGGGCTTGAATTCAACCCATGCTGGTCGTATAAGGCGACTAAGGGTATCGGGTGGTCAGGCTCGCTGACTTGGTTGACGCATGACATCGTCGTGGTACGTTGCTCATATTATTAATCACTGGTTTGACTGGTCCAGATTATTTACAGGCCGTCTTACAACTGGAACATTGATTAAACAAAAACAATACGTTGTTTGTTGTTTAGCGTTGCACTCAGCAATATTCCTCCAATATGACGGCGGTCTTTAAATAATCGAGTCTGGACCAGACAATCCAGTGATTGAAATCATGAGCATCGATCTACGCAAATGGGATACTTATCAACCAAGTCAGCGAGCCTGACCACCCGATCCCGTTAGTCACCTTTTACGCCAAGTATGGGTTGCTGAAGACCTATTCTATCCCGGATCTTCACGGGTAAAAAAAACAACAGTTGCCCGTGACAAAGCGTGACTCACTCGGCAGCTAGGTAGAGATTGCGTGACATCCTAGCGGTACCCTTCATGCTGATGTAGGCAAACAGCACCCCCGCATCGTAGTGCCCCCTCATGGCCGCATATTCAAAGTATTTGTAGGCCTTGTCCTGGTGAAAAACAAACCAGAATTAATGAATGTCATTGGAGGGCGAGCAGGTCGCCAGTACCTCATACCTGACGGTCAGTAACAGCCATCACAATGGGAATCGGATGATCAGGATGTGTGTTTGCTAAACTTTAGCAAATAGCAATTTTAAAAGTTGAATTTTTTTACGTAAACTTCAATTTTATCGCTTCAATATGTGATATTTTTGTGACCAAGATGAAAATGTCTATGCATTCGTACCTGCATCGAAAACAAACAGATTCAAGGGCAGATCCAGCATTTTTAAAAGGGAGTGGTCCAAAATATCAAAATCCTATATCAGATAATTTTACCGCCTACAAGATACTACATATGGTTTTGGACGCCAATCTCCCTCCTCCTCTGGAACCGCCTTTGAGACTGGCTTTAATTAATATGACTTATTCAAGTTAAAATGTTAGAACCATGATAAGAAAACCGACGTTCTTTGCAAATAATAGTCATACGTCCGCAGCTTGTCTTATTCTATATTATAAGCATATGTATTTTGAAAAGATTGAAAAGAGAAAAGTGACGGTATAGACACCGCCAATAAGAATGTTCCTAGCTAACAATCTGCTACGTGTTGGGCGAGCGAGCGAGCTTAATGTGGGAGGAAAGCCCGAAGTGATGCAGGTCTCAGACGTTTACCACTTCGGTGAAACCCACGAGCACGGGTATGGTGCTGACCAACCTAGAAACATAATTGGGGCGAACCGGAATTCGAACCCCCCATTTTAGGTTTCTGGCGTGCCCAAGGGACGCAACTCTGCACAGCGAATCGCTGCTACGTGTTGGGAATGCTGCTCACCCAGTCCTGCTTGTCTGTGGGGTGGTATCCCTCGAGGTACATGTGGCCGAGGTAGTAGGCGGCGTCGGCGTTGCCGTATTGGACCGCCCTGTTGAAGTAGCGGACAGCCTCGGTGTAGTTCTTCTTCTTCATGGCGATCCAGCCCAGGGCATTGATGGCCATTGCGTTACCCTGGAAACAAGTCACGTGGCGTACAACAGAGAGCTTCGAGTTGATGTTTAATGGGGTTTAACGTCGCTTTAGGATGATTTCACACATAAAACTACGTGCACATGTGGGGATGGGGGTCAGGGTTGAGATGGGGGTGGGGTAGGGTGGTTGAGGGTGGCGGAGTAGGGTTAAAACTAGGCATAAACTTAACTTTAAATATTTGACTGTGGGGAAAAATGCTTTGATCGAGTGGTCCACTCAGCGAGACTTTACAAGCAGAACACCCTGCCCACACAGACTGGTCACGGACCCGTGAAGATCCGGGGTAGAATAGGTCTTCAGTAATCCATGCTTGCAGTAATAGGCGACTATACTTATCATAAAAGGGGACTAACGGGATCGGGTGGTCATGCTCGCCGACTTGGTTGATGCATGTCATCGCATCCAAATTGCATGGATCGATGCTCATGATGTAAATCACTTGCCTGTCTGGTCCAGATGCGATTATTTACAGACCGCCGTCATATAGCCGAAATATTGCTAAGTGCAGCGTTAATCAACAAACAAACAAACAAACTCGCCATGAGACAATACATACCTTTCCGGCGGCTTTCTGCATGTATTCAATGGCCTTTGTTTTATTTTTTTCTTGAGTTTTATTCTGAAAAAAACAAACAAAACAACAATTAACATTCCTTACCAGAGTATCATACTGAGGAAAAACGACACGCGATGCGATACGTATCGCGATACTATGGGTGCTATACGAGTCGTATCCGAAACAACACTTTTAATTTAATTTAATTTAATTTAAGTTGGTACACTTTCTTTTCCAGGTGAATCACAACCCCGAATCAATATTAGTACAGTAAACTTCGGTTATGACGAACTCAAATTTTAGTTTGTTATAACCGTAATGGACCTATTCTACGCCGGCTTCCCACCGGGTGATACCTACGTTGTAGATGTTGATGCCGTAGTCGAACATCATGTCGGGGTTGCCCTGCTCTGCCCCCATCCGGAACACCTCCATGGCCGCGTTCAGGTTCCGCCGGAGGCCCTGGGAGCCCCAAAACAATGCCCGCCCGAACCGAATCTGAAAAAACATGTCTACTGCGTCAAATAGGAAGACAGTTAAGTAGGATGGAAGGAGTGAGTGAGTGAGTTGGGTTCAACGCCGCTTTTAACATTATTCCAGTTATATCACGGCGTGTCAGCTTAATGTGGGAGGAAAGCCCGAAGTGATGCAGGTCTCAGACGTTTACCACTTCGGTGAAACCTACGAGCACGGGTATGGTGCTGACAAACCTAGAAATATAATCGGGGCGAACCGGGATTCCAACCCACAATCATAGGTTTCTGGCGTGCCCAAGGGACGCAACTCTGCACAGCGAATCGCGGCGCCTTAGACGACTTGGCCACCCGTGTCCCCTTAGGATGAAAGGAATATTCGGCTACACCGAACCCAGTTCGAATGACCAGGGACTAGGGGTCAACGTTACTGCTAAACTTCGGATATAACGAACTGAATAGAGGGTACCTTGAAGTTCGTTATACCCGAGGTTATACTGTAAGAGAGTTTACCTGCAACCCAATAATTTGAGGTTGCAAATCTTCTCAAATAATGATAAATAATATAGTTACGACTGGACTGACTGTCTGGAGAGTTAGGGTGGACAGACAGTGTGGACTGACTACTTGGAGAGACTGTGTGGACAGGCTGCCTTGAATGTATTGGCTGAGTATGTGGACTGAATGTACGGACAGGTTGTGTGGACTGATTACATGGACTGACTGTCTGGACAGGTTGTGTGGACAGAAAGTGTGGACTGACTGTCTGGACAGTTTGTGTGGACAGAAAATGTGGACTGACTGTCTGGACAGTTTGTGTGGAGAGAGAGTATGGACTGACTGTCTGGACAGTAACGTTTGTGTGGACAGAAAGTGTGGACTGACTGTCTGGACAGTTTGTGTGGAGAGAGAGTGTGGACTGACTGTCTGGACAGTTTGTGTGGACAGAAAGTGTGGTCTGACTGTCTGGACAGTTTGTGTGGAGAGAGAGTATGGACTGACTGTCTGGACAGTTTGTGTGGACAGAGAGTGTGGACTGACTGTCTGGATAGTTTGTGTGGACAGAAAGTGTGGACTGACTGTCTGGACAGTTTGTGTGGACAGAAAGTGTGGACTGACTGTCTGGACAGAAAGTGTGGACAGAAAGTGTGGTCTGACTGTCTGGACAGTTTGTGTGGACAGAAAGTGTGGACTGACTGTCTGGATAGTTTGTGTGGACAGAAAGTGTGGACTGACTGTCTGGACAGTTTGTGTGGACAGAAAGTGTGGACTGACTGTCTGGACAGTTTGTGTGGACAGAAAGTGTGGTCTGACTGTCTGGACAGTTTGTGTGGACAGAAAGTGTGGACTGACCACTTGGAGAGACTGTGTGGACAGAAAGTGTGGACAGAAAGTGTGGACTGACTGTCTGGACAGATTGTGTGGACAGAAAGTGTGGACTGACCACTTGGAGAGACTGTGTGGACAGTTTGTGTAGACAGTTTGTGTGGACAGAAAGTGTGGACTGACTGTCTGGACAGTTTGTGTGGACAGAAAGTGTGGACTGACTGTCTGGACAGTTTGTGTGGACAGAAAGTGTGGAATGACTGTCTGGACAGTTTGTCTGGACTGACTGTCTGGACAGTTTGCGAGGACAGAAAGTGTGGACTGACTGTCTGGACAGTTTGTGTGGACTGAAAGTGTGGACTGACTGTCTGGACAGTTTGTGTGGACTGACTGTCTGGACAGTTTGTGTGGACAGAAAGTGTGGACTGACCCCTTGGGCAATGTGTGTGGACTGACGTCCTGAACTGGCGGTGCTCACAGACTGTGTGGCTTACCTGAGCTGACGCGACCCCTGCCTGGGCCTGGTGTTTGAGCCACATGAATATATCCCCGTCCTCGTCTGTCTGCTCCTTCAGGGCCATTTCGTCCGTCAACCTCACACTCTCAGTCAGCACCTGTATGTACCATCATAAATGTGTCATATTATCTCTGCCTAGGTAAATACATGGAAATCTTATTCTAATTAAACGAAACATCAAATATATAATTGAATTTCCTAAATACATAAAACGACAATCTGCCGTTCCAATTTCAGTCCGTGAAGCGATAATAATGTGTTATATTTTGCAATCAGTACTTTGACGTGCTTGTCGGGCCTCACAAGAGCATTTTTAAGATTTGATAAGCAACCAGTTTTCACATGTGGGAACTAGTAGTGATCAATAGCGACGAGGGGAGTAAATATGCAGATCATTATTAGTTTCATGGAGTTGTCACTGTATACATCTAACAAAGCGACCTTGAATCCTGTATCACAAGGGGGCGGTCGGGTAGCCTACTGGTTAAAGCGTTCGCTGGTCACGCCGAAGACCCGGGTTCGATTCCCCACATGGGTACGATGTGCGAAGTCCATTTCGGGTGTCCCCCGCCGTGTTATTGCTGGAATATTGCTAAAAGCGGCGTAAGACCATACTCACTCACACTATATCATAAGCAGCTTTTTCTGTTGAAAAAGTCGGCCGCACCTCAAGACAAACAAAATGTATACCATTAACATACACAAACCAATTATTACATTTTATCATTTAACTAAAGCATTTATCCATGACATAAGCTTATGACATAAAAACATGTATGTCATACCCCAATGACATAAGTATGCAAATTAGATATGCAAATTAGATAACCGGAAGTGGGACTTTTTTCGCCGGTGCACGTGAGTAGGTGTTTACAAACAACATGGATACATTTGATGTTGGAGACATTATTTCAATTATTCTGCAAAAGTCTGTTCAAGTATTTTGTTTAAAATAATCCGAGGAACTTTTTTTCTCAGCGAAGGAATATGCCATAAAGGAGTTAGGAGGTTGTTTATTTTGGTTTACACGGCTATGGAAAACATGTATCACTACGCACGATCTATACGTAAGATTTCGACAAGTTGCTGATGTTAATGTTTAATGCAATTATTCCTTAATTGGGAAGCAAAAATGTGAAAATGATAATATAATTCATCACTCGTGTTTTTTAATATGGGAAATATCAACCTCGTCCCGTTAATCGGTATTTGCCTCGCCAAAGGCTCGGCAAATGCCGATTAACTAAGACTCGGTTGATATTTCCCATATTAAAAAACACTCGTGATGAATCCTCTATTTATGAACCGGAAATAAAAGTATGTTTTTAAAATATCAGCATGACAAATTAAAATATATTGCAGTGAGAAACTGGTACTTACATCCGATTCTTTGTGCAGGTCTCTGTCATCCCGCGTCTTCCCGGCCACGAACTTGTAGTACACTGCAAAAAGAACATATCTCAACTGCAGATTTCAAACAAATTTATGGTTCATCCTGTTGATCCTGATCCCCTAACCCCGGAAACCCCGCCTCACAGATTATCATGATATCAATCACTGGATTGTCTGGTCCAGACTCGATTATTTACAGACCGTCATATAGCTGAAATAATCCTGAGTGTGGCGTTAAACAACAAACAAACCAAACCAAATCTTACACTGAACGTTCACATACACACCTCCCCATCCCTCCACCCCACTCCCCCCGTGATGATCCGGGTACTCACTGTTGCAATAACAATACTGCTACTGATGGTGGGACACCGTGAAGATGATGATTAGAATGTTTCCTCAGCAGGCAATGCTTGTTGTATAAGGCGACTAAGGGGATCGGGTGGTCATGTATATGAATGATGCACGTAATCATACCCCAAATGCGTAGATCTCATGATGTTAGTCACTGGATTGTCTGGTCCACTCATACAGAGACCGCCGCCATGTAGATAGCGGCGTCAAACAACAACGCCAAGGGTCATTACTCCGTTTCAGTGTGTAGGGGCACGGGTGGCCCAGTCGTCTAAGGCGCCGCGATTCGCTGTGCAGAGTTGCGTCCCTTGGGCACGCCAGAAACCTATGATTGTGGGTTCGAATCCCGGTTCGCCCCGATTATGTTTCTAGGTTTGTCAGCACCATACCCGTGCTCGTGGGTTTCACCGAAGTGGTAAACGTCTGAGACCTGCATCACTTCGGGCTTTCCTCCCACATTAAGCTTACACGCCGTGATATAACTGGAATACTGTTAAAAGCGGCGTTAAACCCAACTCACTCACTCACCGTTTCAGTGTGAACATGTGTGAAAGATTGGTCTGTTTGTTTTTTAACGCCGCACTCGGCAATATTCCAGCCATATGGCGACGGTCTGTAAAATATCCCCGAGCCTGACCACCCGATCCATTTAGTCACCCCAATAACAAGCATAGATTGCTGGGGCGGGGTTCTTAACCAGACTCAACACGGGTGTTGCGTGAGTGACAAATTTTAAAGTGTAAATACCCTCAAACTATAAGAATCGCGTGAAGATGATTCGCAGAAGCAAATTGTGTGAGTTGGGTTGTAACGCCGCTTTTAACAGTATTCCAGTTATATCGCGGCGTGCCAGCTTAATGTGGGAGGAAAGCCCGAAGTGATGCAGGTCTCAGACGTTTACCACTTCGGTGAAACCCACGAGCACGGGTATGGTGCTGACAAACCTAGAAACATAATCGGGGCGAACCGGGATTCCAACCCACAATCATAGGTTTCTGGCGTGCCCAAGGGACGCAACTCTGCACAGCGAATCGCGGCGCCTTAGACGACTGGGCCACCCCTGCAGAAGCAAAAGGAGGATGAGTGGAAAGGGGACATTTCAGAAGAGAATGAGTTGAATCTCGCTTATGGTTGTTGTGTATGGTTCAAACCATTTTCAGAGTCTATAAGACAAGCAGGGGTGCGTGCAGATAACTTCCAGGGAACTGGTGTCTGTCAGGGAGCATTGACAGTTTATTCAACGGGGACTTTCGTTAAACTATCAATTCATTCTCAAACTCATGAATAGGTAGAGTGAGTGAATTTGGTTTTACGCTGCTGTATACAATTAAATATTCCAGCGATATCACGGCGGGAATCGACCCCCCCACCCCCCCCCCCCCTTTTTATTTCGAAAAAAATCTTTATTTCTGTATAAATTACCACCAAGGACAATAAATAGATCTTAATTGTGCACCCCCCCTTTTCAAAAAAGCTGTATCCGCCCATGTCAGGCCTGTAGAGTTCAGTCAGGGGCTGCATAGTTCAGTCAGGGCCTGCAGATTTCAGTCAGGACCTGCAGCGTTCAGTCAGGGCATGTAGAGTTCAGTCAGGCCTGTAGAGTTCAGTCAGGGGCTGCATAGTTCAGTCAGGGTCTGCAGAGTTCAGTCGGGGCCTGTAGAACTCTGTCAGGGGCTGCATAGTTCAGTCAGGGTCTGCTGAGTTCTGTCAGGCCTGTAGAGTTCAGTCAGGGCCTGCAGATTTCAGTCAGGACCTGCAGCGTTCAGTCAGGGCATGCAGAGTTCAGTCAGGCCTGTAGAGTTCAGTCAGAGCCTGCAGAGTTCAGTCATAGCCTACAGAGTTCAATCAGGGTCTGCAGTGTGAGTGAGTGAGTGAGTATGGTTTTACGCCGCTTTTATCAATATTTCAACAATATCACGGCGGGGGACGCCACAAATGGGCTTAAAACATTGTACCCATGTCAGGAATCGAACCCGGGTCTTCGGCGTGACGAGCGAACGCTTTAACCACTAGGCTACCCGACCGACCCCTGCAGAGTTCAGTCAGGGCCTGCAGAGTTCAGTCAGGGTCTACATAGTTCAGTCAGGGCCTGCAGAGTTCAGTCAGGGTCTGCAGAGTTCAGTCAGGGCCTGCAGAATTCAGTCAGGGTCTGCAGAGTTCAGTCAGGGCCTGCAGAGTTCAGTCAGGGTCTACATAGTTCAGTCAGGGCCTGCAGAGTTCAGTCAGGGTCTGCAGAGTTCAGTCAGGGCCTGCAGAATTCAGTCAGGGTCTGCAGAGTTCAGTCAGGGCCTGCAGAGTTCAGTCAGGGTCTACATAGTTCAGTCAGGGCCTGCAGAGTTCAGTCAGGGTCTGCATAGTTCAGTCAGGGCCTGCAGAGTTCAGTCAGGGTCTGCAGAGTTCAGTCAGGGCCTGCAGAATTCAGTCAGGGCCTGCAGAGTTCAGTCAGGGCCTGCAGAGTTCAGTCAGGGCCTGCAGAGATCAGTCAGGGCCTGCGGGGTTCAGTCAGGGCGTGTTTTAAATTCAGCTGTTCCTGGCAGTTGGCTATAATGTTCTATTTCAAACACTTGTACATAACATGACCATATTACTGAACCAATGAATAAGATTCTCCTCCTGGGAGAGGACTTACTGTAAGCTTGCTCCTTGTCATACGTGGCGCCATCTATGCCGTTCCTATGTTTGTGTCCGAGCGCCAAGGTAGATAACCGGTGTTTGTCCACAGCCCCCAGCATCAGGTAGGCCTGCGCCTGAAATAATTATAGTGTTAAGTCAGTTGCCGCTGAAACGGCCAGCGTCTTACATCAGTCGACCGAAATCTGCACGTTGCAATACATGTTGTTGACGAACCGGATGTCCAGTTCGTAACGCGATTTTGATTGGACTATGCATAGACTCGTTAGTCCAGCCAAAATTTAACTCGGCAAGGGTGGAAACTGGACGGTTTATTGTCAGTTAACCTTGCCTCGGGTCTTACGGTTTTGTCCTCTGAAAAGTACCCATGCTTGCCGTAAAAGGCGACTATGCTTGTCGTAAGAGGCGACTAACGGGATAGGGTGGTCAGGCTCGCTGACTTGATTGATGCATGTCATCGTATCCCAACTGCGGAGATCGATGTTCATGATGTCAATCACTGGATTGTCTAGTCCAGACTCGATTATTTACAGACCGCCGTCATGTAGTTGGAATATTGCTGAGTGCAGCGTTCAACAACAAACAAACAAGTCTTACGATAAGTGTGCCATGTCAGTATCTTGTTGAAAAGTACGTTTATTCTTAGTTTAAGAAACATAATGATTATACACTATCGAATGCGTATATTATTTTTTTATTTGATACAATTTTAATTTTCGCCATTTGTGGTATAAGGCTGTTTGTGAGAATTCATATTATTTTCATACAAATTCGTCCTCATGAATTCGTGCAGGAACTTTTTTTTATATCTTATATATGATAACACTCTCCTACCCAGAGTTCCATGCGGCCGGCAGCCAGCCAGCATAGTACCTCTGCCACAGGCCAGCGCCATGTGACGATTCGTCACATCTTTCACAGTCCATTCAAGATATTGAATATGCTTTTCATCCGTTTCATGTTTGACAAGTCAACACATTTTCATAAACAAATGTTAAAGAATGGTTACCGTTCATTTAGAAAGTATCCTAATGCGTGAAAATCTACTTGTTTTTGCGTAGTTATCCTCTGTTTACATTGGTTGTACGGCTCCACGTGCTGTCATCGAAGCCCAACGGAGAGCTAGCGATACGGTCACTTTGATGTATAAATAATTCTATATTGTCCTGAAATTCACTGGCGCAGTTGTAGTAGCATATCTTTATAATTATGCAAAACAATATGTTAAGCGCCCCCAACTATTTGCATTAGTCCGTTCTATACTGATTTCTGAAAAAGCGCGTTTGTCTACAAACAAGAGAAAAGTCCGGTCACGTGATATGCAAATTAGCCTGTGGCAGCGGTTTTATGCTGAGTCACCACTGCGCCGGAGTGTGATATGATAATCGAACAAGGTCGAGCGCTATACTTCCCATTAATGACTGAACATCTGTGAATTCTGCTTCGAAATAGATTTTGTGATCAATGGAACCCATGTAAGCGATGTTAAAATATCAATGACTCTATTTAGGGAAATGTATCGATCACTGGCAACACCTGTCAAACGCTCTCAGACACAAAGGCATACACATGTACAAGTCTCGCTGTAGAATTTGACGGAGCATGCTTTTGCTATACTGATGCAACAAATTCAATGCAAGGAAAGTTTGCACTTTAATGGGCCTTAATTAACTTTATTATATATTTCACAAGTTGGTTTTTTTAATAATAATTTTATTTTATTAGGTGCCAAGATTTTACAACAGGCCTTACAGGAGTGAGTGAGTTTGGATCCCACCATCAGTAGCAGTATTGTAATTGCAGCAGTGAGTACCCGGATCTTCACGGGTGTGTGTGTGTGTGTGGGGGGGGGGGGGGGGGGGGGGTAAGGATGGGGAAGTGTGTATGTGAACGTTCATTGTCAGATAAGGCTAAGCTAAGCGGGATTAACATTAGTTTGTTTGAAATCTGCAGTCGGATGTAAGTACCAGTTTCTCAATGCAATATGTTTCAATTTGTCATGCTAATATTTTAAAAACATACTTTCATTTCCGGGTCATAAAGTGTGTTTGCTAATGATACAAATTGTGTTTGTAATGAGGTGCGGCCGACTTGTTCAACAGAAAGTGCTGTTTATGATATACGGTGAGTGAGTAAGAGTATGGTTTTATGCCGCTTTTAGAAATATTCCAGCAATATCACGACGGGGGACACCCGAAATGGGCTTCACACAATGTACCCATGTCGGGAATCGAACCCGGGTCTTCGGCGTTACGAGAGAACGCTTCAACCACAAGGCTACCTGACCTCCCCTGTTATCCGTAGAAAACAGGATAACAAACGTTTGGATTGTACGTTCTGCATGTTTTGTGCATGTTCAATGTTTTCACTTGTGTCAGGCGAAGTGAGTGAGTGATTGAGTGAGTGAGTGAATGAGTGAATATGGTTTTACACCGTTTTAGCAATATTCCGGCAATATTACGTCGGTGGACACCCGAAAATAGGCTCTTCATAGTAAGGAACAGGTTTTCCCGTTGGATCGTCCCTAAACCAAAAGTTTGTGATTGAATTAAAAAGATATTGGATCACTCTGTCTGATAAAATTCAAAATGAAAGCAAACAGCCTACGACACACAAAAAGAGGTTTCGTTAACTTGGATGTTAGTCTCACTTTTGTAATATTTTGTATTACATGTATTAAAAATATTCAGGTAAATCCAAAGGGTATACGTTTTTGCCAGTAATAACAGTAAATGAAATTAGTTTTTGAGAAATACTAAGTCACTGAACCAAACTCAGAGTTATTGCAAGTTTTTTTGTTCACCTGAATCTCGTCGGCTTTGGTCATGAGGCCGTTGTTGAGGATGATGGACAGCATGTACATGGCGTCGTAGTTGCCGAGACAAGCAGCCTGCCTCAGCAGTGGGAGGGCGGCCGGTATGTGCTTGATGTCCACCTCCTAGAAACATCACGACTTAAATATCACGCATCACTTATCACAATCTTGTACAGATCACGCATCAGTTGTCAACTCATGTAAATATCACGCATCACATGCTTGTCTAGATCACGCATCACTCTCTTGTAAATACGACGCATCACAGATCACACTCTTGTAAATATAACGCATCACATATCACACTCTTGTAAATACGACGCATCACAGATCACACTCTTGTAAATATGACGCATCACATATCACACTCTTGTAAATATGACGCATCACAGATCACACTCTTGTAAATATGACGCATCACATATCACACTCTTGTAAATATGACGCATCACATATCACACTCTTGTAAATATGACGCATCACAGATCACACTCTTGTAAATATGACGCATCACATATCACACTCTTGTAAATACGACGCATCACAGATCACACTCTTGTAAATATGACGCATCACATATCACACTCTTGTAAATACGACGCATCACAGATCACTCTCTTGTAAATACGACGCATCACAGATCACACTCTTGTAAATACGACGCATCACAGATCACGCTCTTGTGAATATGACGCATCCCATATCACAATCTTTTAAGTATGACGCATCACATATCACACTCTTTTAAATATGACGCATCACATATCACACGCTTGTAAATACGACGCATCACAGATCACTCTCTTGTAAATATGACGTTTCACAGATCACACTCTTGTAAATATGACGCATCACATATCGCACTCTTGTAAATATGACGCATCACAGATCACACTCTTGTAAATATGACCCATCACACATCTTTTGCTAGTAAATACGACGCATCACAGATCACTCTCTTGTAAATACGACGCACCACAGATCACACTCTTGTAAATATGACGTTTCACAGATCACGCTCTTTTAAATATGACGTTTCACAGATCACACTCTTGTAAATATGACCCATCACAGATCACGCTCTTGTAAATATGACCCATCACAGATCACGCTCTTGTAAATATGACGCACCACAGATCACACTCTCGTAAATATGACGCACCACAGATCACACTCTCGTAAATATGACGCACCACAGATCACACTCTTGTAAATATGACGCACCACAGATCACACTCTCGTAAATATGACGCACCACAGATCACACTCTCGTAAATATGACGCACCACAGATCACACTCTCGTAAATATGACGCACCACAGATCACACTCTCGTAAATATGACGCACCACAGATCACACTCTTGTACATATCACGCATCACTAATCTTATCAGTTCATGAAAATATTACGCATCACACGCTTGTAAAAATGACGCATCACATATCACTCTCTTGTACATAGCACACATGACATATCAACTCATGTAAATATTACGCATCATACGCTTGTCAATATCACGCATTACGTTATTTTCTCGCATCAGAATCGTGTAAAATCACACATCACATATCACACTCTTATGCAATATCAGGCACAAAGTATCGTAATCTGCGTAAATATCATATATCACAAACAATATAACAAGCCTTCTTTCAGCCAGGATTGACCGCCTCCGTGGTCTAGTGGTAGAGCGTCCGCCCGGAGAGCGGAAGGTCCGAGGTTCGATCCCAGGCCGCGTATACTGTGTCTGAGTGGGGTATTCATGTTAAACTGCGGCATGGTATCTCAGTGAGCTAGCACTATAAATCGGCATCACTCCGGACTAGTACAAGCAGCCACACAAACACACACACGTACATGCACGTCGCTATATAATCTTGGACGCGACGTTAAACCCCCTTTCACCTCACCTCAGCCAGGATTAATTTATAACAAATAACGCCTACCGTCCCGTCTTCATATAAATTGCATACAGAATACACACTTACTATGATGGTCGTGGCTTTGTTGAATATGGCGTCAGCGACACCATGGAAGCCCTGCTCCCCGAGTTGTCTCCCCTGATTGACAGAGCGTCGGATGAATGTGTTGAGGATGTGGGACTTCCTAGGTTTGGACGCTGACATTGTCGGACATTGCCTGTTTTCATTTTTGATGAAAAGCTCATAAATCTTATCTGTACACTTGTCTGAAATAAGATAAAAAGAGGTGAGTTGGTTCTAGGACGCGTGATTTAACTACGGCTGTAACGAGTGAGTGAGTTTGGTTTAGTGTGAGTGAGTGAGCGAGTTTGATTTTAAGCCGCTTTAAGCAATATTCCAGCAATATCACGGCGGGGGACACCAGAAATGGGCTTCACACATTGTACCCATGTCGGGAATCGAACCCGGGTCTTCGGCGTGACGAGCGAACGCTTAAACCACTAAGCTACCCGACCGCCCCGAGTTTGGTTTAACATGGCTTTGAAAAATATCCCACTTATATCATGGTGTGTCAGTTTAATGTGGCAGGAAAGCCTAAAGTGAAACCCACGAGCACGGGTATGGGGCTGACAAACCTAGAAACATAATCGGGGCGAACCGGGATTCGAACCCACATTCATAGGTTTCTGGCGTGCCCAAGGGACGCAACTCTGCTAACCGATTTGCGGGGCCTTAGACTACGGTTGTAAACATTATGTTATGGCACACATGTGTCCCTGAACTGAGTATTACATCCATCACTATAATAGATATTAACGTTTTCATCTCTGCTCAGGGAGGATATATGTAAGGGACGGTTGTTTTTTTCTTCTCGGATGGGAGGGTAGTTTTGTGACGTAACATCTCCGAGGAAAACGAATTCGATGGACATATTTTAAATAAATTATGTAGGAAAAGTCGTTTGTTTTAATAATGGAGCGCCTGTTGGGATGTCCATATAAACAAAATGCCGGCACCCAACCTTCCCATAGAAACAAAATATAACGACAACTAGGGTATCTAGTGTTGATTTAAAAACATAATGCTTAAATGTATTGAAAACACAAACATGCGCTTTGCATGTTGCTCTACTCACTGAAATGAAACAATACAACTGAATTTATAAACATAAGCGTTCCAGTACCCAACATTCCAATAAAAGAGTGAGTGAGTATGGTTTAACGCCGCTTTTAGCAATATTCCCGCAAAATCTGCAATATCAGCAATAAAAGAAAATTACAGCGGGGATAAATGGTATTGACGTCACTTAAAACCACAGGTTAAATTTATTAGTCTGTTAAAAAATGGAGACACAAAAAAGCACTAGCCACTAAAATATAAGAATAATTACAATTGTCATGAATTTATAAACAGAAGGATATTATTGTCCTGTGAAATACGCTTACTTTGTAGAATCCTCTCTGCGAGCAGGTGTTGGTAGAACCTCTCCTGTTGGCTGATCCACGCCATGAAGGTTTGACATTTGACCTCTCTCCGCGTGAGACCCAGTGCGAACATTGGGTGATATGGACTGGGCATGGGGATCTAGAGAGGAGATAAAATGAGTAGACATTTTTTTCAAAACAACTCTGTTTAAAATGCTGTTTCTTGTTACTTGTAATTTACATCTGTTCACGTGACCCGTGAAGATCCGGGGTAGAAAAGTTCTTCAACAGCTCATGTTTGCCGTAAAAGGCGACTATGCTTGTCTTAAGAGGCGACTAAAGGGATCGGGTGGTCAGGCTCGCTGACTTGGTTTATGCATGTCATCGTATCCCAATTGCGTTGATCGATGTTCATGATGTCAATCACTGGATTGTCTGGTCCAGACTCGATAATTTACAGACCGCCGTCATATAGCTGGAATATTGCTGAGTGCGGAGTTAAACAACAAATAAAACAAAAAAAAACATCTGTTCATGTGTCGGTCCTAGTGTGTCGACCGAAAAAAAGTAATACTTGACAAAATCAAAGATTGGCTGTGTGGACAATTCCCGGGGTGTTTCCCTTGTAGTACTTGTCCTTAATATGACCACGGACCTACATTATTTAAGTCCGTGAAATGACCCTTTTATTTCTTATTGCAAACAGCTGCAACACATGAACACTGCCCTTGTTACACAAAACAGTTGACCGCCTACGTGGTCTTGTGGTAGAGCGTCCGCCCGGAGAGCGGAAGGTCCGGGGTTCGATCCCCGGCCGCGTCATATCAAAAGACTTTAGAATATGGTACTTGTTGTTGCCCTGTCTGGCGCTCGGCTTTAAGGGGCTAGTCAGTATACTGTTTCTGAGTGGGGTATTCATGTTAAACAGCGGCATGGTATCTCAGTGAGCTAGCACTATAAATCGGCATCAGTCCGGGCTATTACAAGCAGCCACACAAACACACACACGTACATGCACGTCGCTATATAATTGCAATAATCTTGGATGCGACGTTAAACCCCATTTCACCTCACCTCACCTCACCTCACCACCTCACACACGACAGTTCAGCTGTTACCTTACTGGGCTCAAGTACCCGCCGCCTGTAGAACGTCGCTTTTCCAACGTAGCCGACGAAGCTGGGTACGAGGGCGTCGTTGCCACCGACGATAAAGTCTCCCTCAGTGTCATCCATCAACATCTCAGTGTTGTACCTGTGGATATTTTTAGATAACTTGGGTGAAGTTAACGGCCATATTTTTATTGTGTGGTTGACACGGCTTTCTGGAGAATATATTATTATAGTATGATTGACTGTTTGGTTGACACTGGCTTTCTGGAGAATACATTAGTATGATTGACTGTTTGGTTGACACCGGCTTTCTGGAGAATACATTAGTATGATTGGTGGTTTGTTTGATTGATTTTTCTTCTCAGATGATTGACTATTTTAATTACGACACGTTCAGCAGTGTGCCAGTTATGTTACAGCGTCCTGTAAATATTCGACGATAGGTCCGACAAACCAGTGGTTGATCAACGCTCCAAAGCATTTCATAAGAAACTTAACCCGTAAAGATCCGGGTTAGAATAGGTCTTCAGCAACCCATGTTTTCACAGCGAATCGCGGCGCCTTCGTCGTGAGGCGATACGAAAGACGGCACTGACGAAAGGCATGAAATACAGCGGATCTATGCTTTACTACTCAAAAGAATTTAAAGAACACTTGATTCTTTCAGATTACTACAGTTAATCTGTCCTGGCAAGACAGGTTAGTTATAGTAATAGGGGCAAGGATGCAGTTTACCGGAGACGTTCCGCCATTTTGGTAAGGGATGTGCACGAGCTCATTCCTTAGTGACGGTTTCTATGTTTTTCAGACGCCATTTTGTCGCCTCGCTCAAACAACAGTGAGTGAGTGAGTATGGTTTTACGCCGCTTTTAGCAATATTCCAGCAATATCACGGCGGGGGACACCAGAAATGGGCTTCACACATTGTACCCATGTCGGGAATCGAACCCGGGTCTTCGGCGTGACGAGCGAACGCTTAACCACTAGGCTACCCGACCGCCTCATCAAACAACAGGGGTTTTTGGGGGTTAATGCGAAATAATTGGGTGTTCTGAAACTTCTTTTGAGTAGTGTTTATGGTTGGACTGAGTAAATCAGTTCGCAACATCTTCATCGCATATATGGGTTATGAGTTTGCCAGACACAACATAGGTTCCCATACGTTGTAATGAACCATTTCCTTCAGCACCGAATGAACGAAGCACCGCCGGAACGGTAGAGGTCGCTTGATGTAACTTACGTGAATTCTGACGCCAGAGTTTGGTTGTAGTTGTCCCCGTAATTAACAGCCAGATTCCACTGAAACAGGAGGAGTGAGTGAGTGAGTGAGTGAGTGAGTGAGTGAGTCAGGCTTCACGCCGCTTGGGGCATTATGCTTTGTTTGTTTCTTTGTTTCTTTGTTTTGTTTTTTTGTTGTTTAACGACGCACTCCGCAATATTCCAGCTACATGACGGCGGTCTGGAAATAATCGAGTCTGGACCAGACAATCCAGTGATTGACATCATGAGCATCGATCCACGCAAGTTGGATACGATGACATGAATCAACCAAGTCAGCGAGCCTGACCACCTGATCCCGTTAGTCGCCTCTTACGACAAGCATGGATTGCTGAAGACCTATTCTATCCCGGATCTTACCAAACTTATTCTCATAAAATGTCGATAGATTGAAATATATGATCATGCCTGTCAAAAGTTGATCCTGAGGGGTATATTTTAATCACAAGGCTTCAGAATTGTATTATTTTTGTCTGTACGGTAGTCATCTTGGTACCACAGTATATAGTATTCATCCACATGACGTCTAGGAGTATTACTGAAAGTCCAAAGGACTCACAATTTGATAAACCAAATAAATCCTGACAAAAAACGTATCACCATCGGATTATTAGTTAGTTAGTTAGTTAGTTAGTTAGTTTGTTTGTTTGTTTGTTTGTTTGTTCGTTTGTTGTTTAATGCCGCACACAGCACCATTCCAGCTATTTGACGGCTGTCTGTAAATAATCGAGTCTGGACCAGACAATCCAGTGATCGACATCATGAGCATCGATCCACGCAATAGGGATCCATGACATGTATCAACCAAGTCAGCGAGCCTGACCACCCGATCCCGTTAGTCCTCTCTTACGACAAGCATAGTCACCTTATTAGTTTGTATTCACATACCGAGCTCTGACTGACGGCGAAGGTGACTCTGATCCACTGATGTTTGGGGAAGGTCCAGTTGACCTTGATGGAATGATGCTCTCGCCTCCGCTTCAGAATGACCTCAACACGTGGGTGACCTTGACGATAAATTACATGAGTGAGCGAGGGAGATTAAACCAGTATTCAACAACTTTCCAGTAATATCACACTGACCGTACCCATACAGAAACGTGAACCTGAGACTTCAGCGTGAGTGAACACTTTATCAACACTGCCCCTGATAAATTATAGCCGGGGATGAACCTGGGTTGAATGGGATTTTGTATGGAGATCAAATATTTTGGCTGCAAAACCAGATATTTTCTCAATTTAAACTATGAGTCTGAATGTTTTTGGACGAAAAACACCTTGCAACAATGTAATTTTTGTGCCTGACACTTCTCCTTTTTTTCAACATTCTGAAGTTTTATCATTTTCTTCAAGAATTTTCATAGACATATTTTTATGTGTTGATGTCGATTGTTGTCTAAAGCCGCACTCAGCAATATTCCAGCTACATAAAGGCGGCCTGTAGATATTGACATCATGAGCATTGATCTACGCAATTGGAATACGATGACATGTATCAACCAAGTCAGCGAGCCTGGCCACCCGATCCCGTTAGTCCCCTCTTACGACAGACATAGTCGCCTTGTACGGCAAGCATGGGTTGCTAAAGACCTATTCTAACCCCAATCTTCACGGGTTCACTTTTTCATGACAATGACTGATGACAGAATACAGTATAGACTTCTTTAACACAATTGCTATGACGTTTAAATCTTACTCCACTTATTTAATTATTACTATATTGTTCCTGAGAGTTAGAATTTTACTGTGCCTTTAATATATGAGAGAGAGAGAGAGAGAGAGAGAGGGAGAGAGAGGGAGTGAGAGAGTGAGAGAGAGAGTGAGAGAGAGAGCGACAGAGCGAGAGAGAGAGCGACACAGAGAGAAGAGAGAGAGCGAGAGAGAGACAGGGAGAGAGAGAGGAGAGAGAGAGACAGAGAGAAGAGAGAGAGCGAGAGAGAGAGACGGGAGAGAGAGAGAAGAGAGACAGAGAGAGAGAGCGACAGAGAGGAGAGAGAGAGAGAGAGGGAGAAAGAGAAAGAGAGAGAGAGAGAAAGAGAGAGAGGGAGAGAGACAGCGACAGAGAGAGAGAGAGACAGAGCGACACAGAGAGAGAGAGAGAGAGCGACAGAGATAGAGAGAGACACACAGAGAGAGAGAGAGAGAGAGAGAGAGAGAGAGAGAGAGTCCTGCTTACCTTCATGGTCAACCAGGAGTATAGGAGTCATGTACAGGTTGTTCCAGGACACGTGGATGAAGACGCCGCACGCCAAGTTGGGATGACCTTTCTTCTCCGGGCAGTAGTCCAGTATATACATCCACATGGACAGGGTGAAGCTGGAAGGTTGTTGTCAGTTCAACACGAGTGTGGGTTGATTTAACACCGCTTATTACATAACAGAGTGTGGGTTTCATTTAACACCGCTTATTTCATAACAGAGTGTGGGTTTGATTTAACACCGCTTATTTCATAACAGAGTGTGGGTTGATTTAACACCGCTTATTTCATAACAGAGTGTGGGTTGATTTAACACCGCTTATTTCATAACAGAGTGTGGGTTGATTTAACACCGCTTATTTCATAACAGAGTGTGGGTTTGATTTAACACCGCTTATTTCATAACAGAGTGTGGGTTTGATTTAACACCGCTTATTTCATAACAGATCTAGAGTGTGGGTTTGATTTAACACCGCTTATTTCATAACAGAGTGTGGGTTTGATTTAACACCGCTTATTTCATAACAGATCTAGAGTGTGGGTTTGATTTAACACCGCTTATTTCACAACAGAGTGTGGGTTTGATTTAACAACGCTTATTTCATAACAGAGTGGGGGTTTGATTTAACACCGCTTATTTCACAACAGAGTGTGGGTTTGATTTAACACCGCTTATTTCATAACAGATCTAGAGTGTGGGTTTGATTTAACACCGCTTATTTCACAACAGAGTGTGGGTTTGATTTAACAACGCTTATTTAATAACAAATCTTGAGCGTGGGTTTGTTTTAAACCCCGCTTGTTTTATAGCAGAGTGTGGGTTTGATTTAACACCGCTTATATTATAACAGAGTGTGGGTTTGTTTTAAACCCCGCTTATTTTATAGCAGAGTGTGGGTTTGATTTAACACCGCTTATTTCACAACAGTGTGTGGGTTTGATTTAACACCGCTTATTTTATAACGGTATTTCCGGACTAGTTAGGACTAGTACAAGCAGCCACACACGTGCATGCACGTCTATATAAGTGCAACAATCTTGAACGCGACGTTAAACCCCAATTTCACCTCACCTTTCGTCAAAAACACTTACGCTGGGTTTGCAATTGTTTTCCTCCTGGTCTTCTCAAGGCCTGGATCTTGGTACTTGGGGAAGCGCCTATATATTCCGTAATGAAGACCGCTAAACACGGCTGGGTAGCTCACTAACGGGACTACCTCTGAAATATACAACATACATGTGTCCGAAATGGAGACCGCTAAACACGGCTGGGTAGCTCACTAACGGGACTACCTCTGAAATATACAACACACATGTAAACAATAACGTATAGTGAGTGAGTGAGTTGGGTTTAACGCCGCTTTTAACAGTATTCAAGTTATATCACGGCGTGTCAGCTTAATGTGGGAGGAAAGCCCGAAGTGATGCAGGTCTAAGACGTTTACCACTTCGGTGAAACCCACGAGCACGGGTATTGTGCTGACAAACCTAGAAACATAATCGGGGCGAACCGGGATTCGAATCCACAATCATCGGTTTCTGGCGTGCCCAGGGGACGCAACTCTGCACAGCGAATCGCGGCGCCTTAGACGACTGGGCCACCCGTGCCCCCATAACGTATAGTACAAAAATGTTCTGCTTGATAAGAAATCATATTTCTCTGTATCTTTGTCCGTATTTGTGTAAGTAATTTTTAAAAAGTTTCTTCAGACAACAACATCTTAAGAAATAGAAAGTCCCTTTCATTTGTAAACCACACACAGAGATACACTCACACGCGCGTCGCTATTTAGGTACATTAAAGCGTAAAACCGCAGTAATTTACATCTCACCACCTCACCCATCCCTCTTGACATATTGACCAAAATATTCCGCAAAACAATAAAAAGCAGTTAATTAATAGAAATATGAAAATCACCTTGTTCTAAGTGCAAGTGTGATATATCTTACCATGTTCACATCGTGATATTTGTTTGTGTGATTTTTTTTGTTTAACGCCGCACTGCTATATGGCGGCGATTTGTAAATAATCGAGTCTGGACCAGACAATCCAGTGATTGACATCATGAGCATCAGTCATGTTATCAACTAAGTCAGCGAGCCTGACCGCCCGATCCCGTTGGTCGCCTTTAAGGGCAAGCATGGGTTGCAGAAGACCTATTCTATCCCGGATCTTCACGGGTTCATTTTTTTATGAAAAGGTCAACTTCTTTATAATAATTGTGGAGACGTTTCAGAGACTATTCTACACGTTATATAGACCCTTTTTTGCCGAAAGAGGCACCTAAAAGGAGATCATGCTCGCTGACTGGGTTGATGCATGTCATGGTATTCCAATTGCGTGGATCGATGCTCATGATATCAATCACTGGGTTTCCTGGTGCAGACTCGATTTCCAGACCGCCGTTATATAACTTGAATATTGCTAAAACGGCGTAAAACAAAAAACAAACAAACATAACTGGAATACTATTGAAAGCGGCGTTACACCCAACACACTTACCATGTGGGCGGTCGGGTAGCCTAGTGGTTAAAGCGTTTGCTTGGCACACCGAAGATTCCCCACATGGGTACAATGTGTGAAGCCCATTTCTGATGTCCCCCGCTGTGATATTGCTGGAATATTGCTAAAGGCAGCGTAAAACCATACTCACTCACTCACTCACTCACTTACCATGTTCAAAAGGACACACGAAGTTATTCAAGGCAGGTATTCGTTGTAAGGTCTCCCAGTACCAGGGTACACAGGCTTTGTAGGGCAACTTCCGGGGCCGAGAATAAGGCAAGGTAACAAACACATTATACAACACCTTGGCTTCAGCGTGCGCGTAATGCATCGTCTTGAACTTAACAACACTTTTTACAACATCCCGAAGTATGAACGCCCTCAGTTGAGGTTTTAAACCAAAGTAAAACTGTCTGTTGAAATATCCAGGTCTAAATCCCAAGTCGTCATCAAGCCTCAGTTTCACTTTCCTTCGTCTATTAAAATGGCTTGCATCACATTTCCAATATTTCCTGTATATAAGCGTTGGTTGGTATTTATCCTTCATAATCGACAGTTCCACTGCCACAGTGCTGTCTGAATTGCACGTGTACTCCACTGTAAGGAGTCTGCTGTTGTCGATACTCTCTGGCGGGTGCACTATCTGGATAAACTCCTCTGCATCGCCGGACTTTTTGCCGAGGACCAGTGACAGAGACTGTGGTTCCCCGCTGTGGGTCTGCAGAGGAAGATTTTAAAATTTAGCACACGTGGACATAAATCATGAACAGTGAAACCCCGTTATTCCGGACGCTTCGTGTCCCAGTGAAAACACATTTCATTATTGACGAATCATTGGCACGTATTTATGTCGCTTTAGTTGTCCTGGCTACTGGTTTACTTTTCAGGCAACCAAACATGTCTTTATACAGAGAAACCCCTACAGTCAGGAAACCTTGCTCTCCGGACAACACAACTGACGTCTATGTATTGTATAAAGTCATTATTCCAAACCAATTATTCGTAAATCGGGTAATGTGTAAACGGAATGACCCTGATTAACGTTGTCCGTTTGTTGTTTAACGCCGGTTAGTAAATAAACGAGTCTGGACCAGACAATCCAGTCATTGACATCATGAGCATCGATCTACGCAATTGGGATACGATGGTATGCATCAACCAAGTCAGCTAGACTGACCACCCGATCCCGTTAGTCGCCTCTTACAAGCATAGTCGCCTTTTACAGCAAGCATTGGTTGCTGATCATGAAGACCTATTCTACCCCGGATCTTCACGGGTTATTGTACCTCACTACTCAATAGCTAATGTCTAATACATGACACATCTTTCGCATACCCTATGAATTTAACATTTACAGACACTGACTTGTTTCCTACTTAGAATGCGTTATTCTGAATGACTTCTACCAGAGGTAGAGAACTGACATACAAAGCATCAGTCTCATCTCAAAACATATACACTGAACAAACAGTTTAGGGTCATGAAAGTTTCGGGGATATTTTTTTATGAAAGTGTGTGCCTAGTCTTCACTACAAAAGAAAATCCCAAATTAATATTTATTTATTTTGTTCAGTGTAAATAGAACGCGTTTTCAGTAAACTGATTGAATCATTTAATAAATAATAACATTTAATAAATTGCACATTTGTTCAAACTATAAAATGATGTACACAATAAAGTATTACCAATCAAATCTGACATGCTTTTAATTTTAACAGCATTGTTCATATTTACACTTCATTTGGGGGTATATTAAAGCAGGTTTTGAAATATTAAATTCACTTTTTATGGCTGGAAAAAACACAGCGGTAAAAGTACGGAGGTAACAACTTACTACATTTTTTAAACAGACACTTTCTCATGATATATATATATATATGTGTGTGTGTGCGTGCGTGCGTGCGTGCTAGTGTGTATGTGTGTGTGTGTGTGTGTGTGTGTGTGTGTGTGTGTGTGTGTGTGTGAGGGACAGCATAGTATTCGTCTTCAATAAAATCCTGACAGTAAAAACGCGTTCACAAAGAGGACTACCTGGATATCGTCCGGTCCACCCCTTAGAGAAGTAAGACCGCCTCCGTGGTCTAGTGGGTTCCATTCCCGTCGCGTCATACCAAAAGACGTTAAAAGATAGCACTTGTGTTACCCTCTCTGGCGCTCGGCATTAAGGGGCTGGAGGACTGGTCGGCTCGGAGTGAGTATACTGTTCATGTTAAACTGCGGCATGGTATCTCAGGGTGCTAAAATAGTGACGCACATACACGTGAGTGAGTGAGTGAGTGAGTGAGTGAGCGTGTGTGTAGGTGTGTTTGCGTGCGTGCGTGCGAGTGAGTGAGTGTTTGTGTGTGTGTGTGTGTGTGTTCCCGTGGCAGGGGAGTTAACTGAATGTAACTGCTCTCATGGCAGACGCCCTATCCACCAGACCAAAACTAAATAAACTAAAACTAACTTTGAGACATCAGAATACATTGTTTTACAAATTGAATTGAAATCGACGTTGCTGCTCAAGAAGAAGCACTCTACATCTACCAGTTACCCAAACCTGAAATATTGTGCCATAAAAAGAAATAAAACACAAATTTAAAAAATCGATCCGGTTTATTTTTGAATTCTATTTTGACATATTAATAACCCTTTTGACAAATTGATAGATAACGAACGAATCGATAGATAAGAAAACCAATTAAATTGGGGACATTGTGTGAGGAAGCTTCCCTTTCACTTCAGGGTACGCAATCTATGCATGACGTTTTCCTAACAACAGTAACACACAGACCACGTTGCACGTGTACAAACAAATAGGAGAGTTTCAGTGTTTGCTTCGACATTCAAAGCTATTTTGTTCGGACACAGTTAATGTTTTGTCGTTATTATGACGCACAAACTGTTGAAGTATCACGTGCACCGACTGACCTTTGCCAGAAGTGGACGCTGTGAGGGGACGGGAGTTGTGGCTGCCGTTTCAAGATAATGCACCCCGGGCCCACCCCTCTCCTTACCGCTCAATACCCAAACCAATGCCGGGGGGGGGGGGGGGGGGGGGGGGGGAGGGGGGGGATTTGTTTATAGAAAACCATTTCTCCTTGTGAAAGTTAACATGAATAAGAAATTATTATTATTATTTGCAAACCCTCCATATCCCCATAACACACATAAAAAGACGGAGAGAGGTAGTATAACCTTTTTAGTCAGGTATGAAAATATGCTCATTTTTATTTTTTTGTCATAAAAAGGTAAAAATATTACCTTCCCAATTGTAACTGTCCTGCCAACATGTTTGTTCATTATTACCCAGACTCCAAATCTTGAGTCCCGTAATATTTCAAGTTAGAACAGGTGTTCAGCAATCTATGCTAGTGGTTTTCGGTAATTAGAGGCGACTAATGGGATCAGTGGTAAAGGGTCGATGACTTGCAATTGGTTGACTACGATTTCATACAGACCGCCTGTCGATCGATGTTCGTGATGCTAATAACTGGATCGTCTTGTCCAGACTCGATTATTTACAGATCGTCGCCACAAAACAGGAATATCGCTGAGTGCGGCGTTAAATAACAAACAAACAAACCATCCCCAATCTTGACCTGTCCGTCATGATAAAATAAAGCTGAAAAATCCAACGTGTATCATTAAATCAGGGCTGTACATCGTGTATTTATTCATCGCAAGAAAATAAAAACTGCTTGGTATCTCTTTTCCAGTAAACACTATCACTGTTCGCGTCAACTAAGTTAAATGCCTTATCAGTGGACTTCACAGCCAAATAAACCCACACAGTGATCGCCCAATTGAAACCGACCCAGCGCAGGGTAACGCACTCGGTTGACCTAACTACTCGACGCTTAAAGGCCACGTTATACAAACCTATGTCTTATATAACTTGACTTTTTATTCAAACGAATTCTGAATGGTGAACGGAATAGAGGTATTTTAAAAATACATGTTTTGTACTGGTAGTATATATATATATGCTGTTGACTTCTTGTGAAAAATGTCCAACAACTATAGGCGAATTTCAGATTGTCTCCCCTCACCTCTCGTGGTGGGGTCGATAAGACGATGACGTCTGAATGTAAACAAGTCGATGGGGTTTGTGACAGGCATGCGTCTGCCACGTTGGCTCGTTGCGAGTGACGCTCCAATATTTAAAAGTTTTTAACCGTTAGAATTAAAATAGATGACTACTTAATTGCGATTTACGATTTGGGTGAGGAAAAATCATAACGTACACTTTCCATACTTTTTCCTGAGGGAGGGAGGGAGAGAGAGAGAGAGAGAGAGAGAGAGAGAGAGAGAGAGAGAGAGAGTTCATAATATCAAACCACATATAATTAATCTATGGGCAACGCAAATGCTATTTGGAATCTATTAGTGATATTAATCAGATTTTATTAAATTAGATTTTAGCGATCGTTTAAATAAACAAAATATATATATATATATATATATATATATATATATATATATATATATATTAATAATAATAATATTGTTTATTTATATATACATATATATTTGAGACAGCGTGTATTAGTAAACACGTTACACTTGGTGATTGATGGTCGACCTTTCACTTTAGCTTAAAAAACACACAATATTAATCATAAGTATATATACGTGTACAAACATAATGGTTAAAGGTAACGGTATATGTATCTATATGTATAACACATGTACTTACTTGAACAAATGTCGCAGTAATGACATAAGCTAACAGAACATATCTCGTCAAGGAAGCCATGTTTCCGTGTGTTATCGGTGCCTCTCGACCTGTCGTTCATATTTGGTCACAGCTGGGGGTCGTGACGTAGCACGTGCACCACGTGCAGCTCGTGGATGTGGCGACAGGCGTGCGGAATCAATGCCTGCAACATATTTCAAAATACCTCCTGATGTATTGGTAGCTGTGCCTTCGGTTGCAGTGGACCTAATATTCATCTACGGTAGACTGCAACGCGAAAACTCGTTGGATTGTGGTGGGTAGAAACGTGCGATCGTTGTTAGATACTATGGTATGCGATTGTTTGATAATGATCGCGTAAATCGTAAAACACGAACAGCAAGTGTTTGACAGATCACGTGATAACTTTTTGATGATGATAACAGCCATTATTATCACAGTTGTTGATATCATTATATACTCACCGCCAAAAGAAACGCAAATACCATACATGTTGGGTAATGTATGAAGAATTATTCATATTCAAGAGATAATAGCTTGCACAAACGAATATACTGGTATGCCTTGAAATTGCTGGAATATTGCTAAAAGCTGCGTAAAATCATACTCACCCATTAATGCATTAAAAACAACACCGACTGCTATTCTACGTATCAAGTCAAATTTACTATGTAACATATTTCTTGATTGTCTACTGAAAGGGTTCTACTTATCAGATATAAAATAATGCTGATAATACAGGGAGCTTGCCCGGACCACAGGAAAGTATCTATATACGAAGTGTTCCACTTAAACGCTTTCACTGTAGACATAACTTACATTGATTTGTCTCCGTCGTCACGCTATTCTACATTGTTACGGAAATAGTCCAGTGATTAATATAAGCCAATTATTTGTAATTGATCGAGTCAATCTAAAGTAGTGCCTACTGCTTAATTGCTTTATTAACTTGTTAATTGCAGAGAGAGAGAAATGTCAAGTTTGCAGTATGGCTGTTTGTGGAGGAAGTGTTGTTCATTTTTCGTGTACTTCGAGAAAACCTTGCAAAGTCGACCGCCTCCGTGGTCTGATGGTAGAGCGTCCGCCCGGAGAGCGGAAGGTCCGGGGTTCGATCCCCGGCCGCATGATACCAAAAGATAGTTCTTGTTGTTACCCTGTCTGGCGCTCGGCATTAAGGGACTAAAACAAGGACTGGTCGGCTCGGAGTCAGTATACTGTGTCTGAGTGGGGTATTCATGTTAAACTGCGGCATGGTATCTCAGTGAGCTAGCACTATAAATCGGCATCAGTCCGGACTAGTACAAGCAGCCACACAAACACAAACACGTACATGCACGTCGCTATATAAGCGCAGTAATCTTGGACGTGACGTTAAACCCCATTTCACCTCGCCTCTTGTTATGGCACCGTTTTCATTTACCGTGTCTTTCGAGAAAACCTGACGTCATGGCACCCTCTACCCGGTCACCAATGAGGGGCGGTCGGGTAGCCTTGTGGTTGAAGCGTTCGCTCGTCACGCCGAAGACCCGGGTTCGATTCCCGACATGGGTACAATGTGTAAAGCCCATTTCTAGTGTCCCCCGCCGTGATATTGCTGGAATATTGCTAAAAGCGGCGTAAAATCATACCCACTCACTCACTCACTCTCCAAACTAGTTTTATTTTTAATTAACCACATATGACAAAAGTCAAATACTCGACGTCCGCATCAGTAAGAAATCAGTAATAGTCATCGTCATATACGTATTAACGAACATTCTTCTTGTTCTCACTCACTCACTTTTTAACCCGCAATGACCACAACGGTGGATAGAAGGCGTATTAAATAACAGCACCTCACACAGCCACACCACTCTTTAATCGCCACTAAATGTACAAATCCCAAAAGGTTTAGCGATATTGAGAACCTGACCACCGTTCTACAAAGTGATCTCAGCGCAACGATTGTCGTATGTGTTAAAGTGTGGGAGTTACGACCGTCTTTAAGGTACGATCTTCTTGGTCCACTTGAACAAAGCGATCTTAGCGCTAAAATGATCGTAACTCCCATACTTTAACATAGACTAAAGATAATCTTAAAGCTAAGATGGCTTTGTGCAAAAGGGTCCTGCAGACCCTTGGAATCGTGTCGTGTAGTATATATATATACGTGTTTCCCTAATACCCGCTGTGATAATCTACTTACACGCTTTGTTCAACACCCCCGCACTCGCTGCAAAATGGTTGTTTGAGGTAGATCCATCATTCTTTGACTGTAACTCTCCTCTCGATCGATTAAAAATAACTGATTAAATATGCAGAGGCATCCTTTGACTGAGCGTAATACGAAACTGTGTCGGGTGGCTCCTCAACACGAGTTGCTATAGAAACGGAATTAAATATTTAGAACAAGAAGAATGTTCGTTAATACGTATATGACGATGACTATTGATTTCTTACTGATGCGGACGTCGAGGAATTGACTTTTGTCATATGTGGTTAATTAACAATAAAACTAGTTTGGAGAGTGAGTGAGTGAGTGGGTATGATTTTACGCGCTTTTAGCAATATTCCAGCAATATCACGGCGGGGGACACCAGTAATGGGCTTCACACATTGTACCCATATCGGGAATCGAACCCGGGTCTTCGGCGTGACGAGCGAACGCTGTCACCACTAGGCTACCCCACCGCCCCTGGTTTGGAGAAGCAAGTGGGTTGTTTTTTGCTTGTTGGAGTACTCATGTGTGTGTGTGTGTGTGTGTGTGTGTGTGTGTGAGCTTGTACTAGTCCGGACTAACACTGTTTTCATAGTGCCAGTCAACTGAGATTCATGCAGTCGGCTTTATAACATATGGATACCCCAAACAGACACAATATACATAGTATTACTCTGATCCGACGACTACGTTTTTTTATCCCCGAAATGACGAGATCAAGGCTGGCAAACAACAACTACCAGGGTCGAACCACCCGCCTTCCGATCTCCGGGCAGACACTCTATCCACTAGACCACGGAGGCGGTCCGCATTAACTTTGTAGAGTGAGGATGCTTTTACGCCGATTTTAGCAATATTCCAGCAATATCACGGCGGGGGACACCAGAAATGGGCTTCACACAGTCCAGTCGCATGCGTAGATCTTAGCGTCGGCCTCTGAATCAAGGACAGCCATAAAATATATCTCCCTCTCATTATTACAAAGAATTATGTTAAATAATCGCTGGAATTTATTGCGTTTTAAATATACACTTGATATCTTTATGAATACATTCCACGTATAAGCCTACAACACTCACCGGAAAACAGGGGCGGTCGGGTAGTGGTTAAAGCGTTCGCTCGTCACGCCAAAGACCCGGGTTCGATTCCCGACATGGGTTCAATGTGTGAAGCCCGTTTCTGGTGTCTCCCGCCGTGATATTGCTGGAATATTGCTAGAATATTGCTAAAAGCGGCGTAAAACCGTACTCACTCACTCACTCATTGTAAAACAAAAGGTAAAGCACACTTTTAATACATTTATAATGCATCTATTGAGGAGGTGATCGTACTGTGTTTTCAATGTAGAGTTCAGTTACCTGTACTTTTCAAATGTTAAACTTAGCACGGTATTTTTTCTCCTTCAACAATTATTCATATTCGTGACCCGTTTGTTTGTTTGTTTGTTGTTTAACGCCGCACTCAGCAGTACTCTGTGGTCGAGCGGTAGAGCGTCATAGCAAAAGACCTAAAGAGATGGTACTTGTTGTTATCCTGTCTGGGGCTCGGCATTAAGGGGCTAAAACAAGGACTGGTCGGCTCGGAGTCAGTATACTGTGTGTGAGTGGCGTATTCATGTTAAACTGTAAAATCGGCATCAGTCCGGACCAGTACAAGGAGCCACACACACGTGCATGCACGTCGCATTATGAGTGTAATAATCTTTGAAGCGACGTTTAACCCAATTTCACCTCACCTTCAATGGCTTGAACCAAGTGTGTTGGGACAGTTCATTTGCCCGCGTCCGGCCCTCGTTTAGAACATGGGACCAACCGAGGGATAAGGAACCTTATATATTATTTTATTTAGCATTTCATATAAGTTGACGGATGACAAAGTAGACACAATTTTTAGATAACAACTTCTTTAATATACTAGTATGGCAATGTTTCGGTATAAATTGACAATGGTGTAAAGATCAAAACAGAATTACTGTAAACTACGTTTATGACGAACACGCTTATAACGAATTAACGGATATAACGAAATAGTTATAACCCCCTGCATTTGCTTTATATATGCTGTATATATGATTATAACGAACAAGGGTTACAGTGACCTAAAAATAGTGGTCCCTTTGAGTTCGTTATAACCGTAGTTTACTGCATCGCCATGGCAGTACATAAAAAAACCTGTCATCAATAAATTGTATCAACGGGACCTTATTTAAATGGGACCTTTTTAAATAGGTGAAACATTCACATTTTGACGTTTCATTATATTTTAAAACTATATTAGTTTAGAAACACAAAATTACAAATTGCAAACTTCAGTTCATATTTATTTCCAATATTACAGATACATGGTGTAAACATTCACACCTATTTGCTGTATAGTCCCATTTTTTGAGATTCGTGACAATCCTGATCATAAAAAGTTCACATCCCAATTGTGATGAAAATATCTCTCAACATTAAGATATTTCTTTAGTAAAAATAAACAGGAAACTACGGAAGCGTAGTGGGGCCACGGTGATTTTTTTTGTCTAAGTATTTCTTACATAGGACTTAGTATCTTCTACGTAGGACTTAATATCTCCTACGTAGGACTTAGTATCTCCTACGTAGGACTTAGCATGGCCTAGAATTACTATCTCCTACGTAGGACTTACTATCTCCTACGTAGGACTTACTATCTCCTAGATAGGAAGTCCTACGTAGGAGATACTTAGACACAAAAAATCAACGTGGCTCTACTACGCTTCCGTAGGAAACGAATTTAAGTTTAACTGAATCAAAATGTTTGCCAAATGTTATCAATACAAAGTACACTCTAATTACAGAAATGAAGATATTGGTCTGAAATGAACAACACAAGTTATTTTACTGTCGGTCTTTTATTCTTCATATTCAAACTTACTTAAGTTAATTGCACCCATGCGGGGAATCGATCCCGGGTCTTCGGCAAGACGAGCGAACACTTTAACCACTAGGCTACCCCACTGCCCCATGAACTGAAAGAATCACTTGATCGACTATATCTCATTTACTATTTGGTTTCTCTGTGGACGCCAAAACCATTATGCTTTCATGGTGTCTCTATGGACGCCAATTACATTAAGTGTTTACAGTGTTTCTGTGGTTAAAGCGTTCGCTCGTCACGCCGAAGACCCAGGTTCGATTCCCGACATGGGTAAAACGTGTGAAGCCCATTTCTGGTGTCCACCGCCGTGATATTGCTGGAGTATTGCTAAAATCGGCGTAAAACCAAACTCACTCACTCACTCTCTGTGGACACCAAATCCATTAAGCGTTTGCAGTTTCTCTGCGGACGCCAAATCTATTAAGTGGTCATGGTGTCTCTGTGGACGCCAAATCTATTAAGTGTTTACAGTTTCTCTGCGGACGCCAAATCCTTAAAGTGTTCATGGTGTCTCTGTGGACGCCAAATCTATTAAGTGTTCATGGTGTCTCTGTGGACGCCAAATCTATTAAGTGTTTACAGTTTCTCTGCGGACGCCAAATCCATTAAGTGTTTACAGTTTCTCTGCGGACGCCAAATCCATAAAGTGTTCATGGTGTCTCTGTGGACGCCAAATCTATTAAGTGTTCATGGTGTCTCTGTGGACGCCAAATCTATTAAGTGTTCATGGTGTCTCTGTGGAAGCCAAATCTATTAAGTGTTCATGGTGTCTCTGTGGACGCCAAATCTATTAAGTGTTCATGGTGTCTCTGTGGACGCCAAATCTATTAAGTGTTCATGGTGTCTCTGTGGACGCCAAATCTATTAAGTGTTCATGGTGTCTCTGTGGACGCCAAATCTATTAAGTGTTTACAGTTTCTCTGCGGACGCCAAATCTATTAAGTGTTTACAGTTTCTCTGCGGACGCCAAATCCATAAAGTGTTCATGGTGTCTCTGTGGACGCCAAATCTATTAAGTGTTCATGGTGTCTCTGTGGACGCCAAATCCATTAAGTGTTCATGGTGTCTCTGTGGACGCCAAATCTATTAAGTGTTTACAGTTTCTCTGCGGACGCCAAATCTATTAAGTGTTTACAGTTTCTCTGCGGACGCCAAATCCATAAAGTGTTCATGGTGTCTCTGTGGACGCCAAATCTATTAAGTGTTCATGGTGTCTCTGTGGACGCCAAATCCATTAAGTGTTCATGGTGTCTCTGTGGACGCCAAATCTATTAAGTGTTCATGGTGTCTCTGTGGACGCCAAATCTATTAAGTGTTCATGGTGTCTCTGTGGACGCCAAATCTATTAAGTGTTCATGGTGTCACTGTGGACGCCAAATCTATTAAGTGTTCATGGTGTCTCTGTGGACGCCAAATCCATTAAGTGTTCATGGTGTCTCTGTGGACGCCAAATCTATTAAGTGTTTACAGTTTCTCTGTGGACGCCAAATCCATTAAGTGTTTACAGTTTCTCTGCGGACGCCAAATCCATTAAGTGTTTACAGTTTCTCTGCGGACGCCAAATCTATTAAGTGTTTACAGTTTCTCTGCGGACGCCAAATCCATTAAGTGTTCATAGTGTCTCTGTGGACGCCAAATCTATTAAGTGTTTACAGTTTCTCTGCGGACGCCAAATCCATTAAGTGTTCATGGTGTCTCTGCGGACGCCAATATATATTAAGTGTTCATGGTGCCTCCCTGGACGCCAAATACATTGAGTGTCCATAGTTTCTCTGTTCTTGTAAGCATCACGATATGGCTGAAATTCTGCCGATGTGACGTTAAATATTAACTCACTCACACACTGTTCTTGTAAGTGGAAATATTTTACATTCACAACTTGTTTGCCAACAAGATTCGTATAAATTCGGCTTTCTCCGTAAACTTCGGGTACTTAAACTGCTGTAATGCAGCTTTAGAGTTGAGGTCAGAGTTCACCTGCTTGATCACCTGAAGTGTCCCTGATTTGACCTGCACGATCACAGGGGCGACAATCCTTCCCGTTGCCAGGCTGCCGCGGTAGAAGTCAAAATGGGATTTCAATTCACTATCAACCTGAAACGAAATGAGATTATGAAGACCGTTCTCCTTGCGTGGGGCTGGTGACATATTAGTATGTGTATGTAGTTGTGTGTTTGTTTAATCAGACTGTTTCTTACTTGCAGACTTACAGAAAAATACCAATTTCCCCTCACATCCTCACTGAACTCATTAAATCATAGTTGAAATTCAAGATAGAAATAGAAATTCAAATTGCAAAACATTTTTTTTTTCTGAGGAAAGAATATTCAGCAACTACAGCCATCACTTGTTTGCAGACATAACGGTCAATCGGTTGTGAGGTCAACTCCACGCATTGCTGTAAGTGGCCAAGCAGAGTGGGGAGCTGTGACTGGCGGCAGGGACAGTATCAAGAACTATTGGTGTGAGGAGCTTGGTGTTATCGGCGTCAGCGAGAGGAATTTAGAGTTACCTGCCTCTGGTTGTTTACGAAAACGGCAGAATTGATCGTTCGAGAAGTTTCGGGATTTGGCAGTTTCCAGAAAGCTGCCTGTACTAATAGAAGAGCGACAAGAAGGCGATTTGAGGCCTTTTTCAACCTCATCATGACTCGTTTAGTATCCACTTAGCAAGTGGGATTTAGATACCTTTTGGAAACAACAAAATACCTGTCAAGTTCCAACAAAATTATGGATTCATGAACGGAGATAGGTCTGTTTCAAGAGGACATTTAACATCGACAAAATCCTGGACATTCGTAAGTGCACTACTTATAGGGCCTGCTACTTACTGTTCCGTCACGTATTTGATCCTTTGTTTAGCCTTTCAGATTGTTTGCCTAAAACGTTGTTTGTAAACATAATTAATCGATTATTCATTGATGTTGTGTGGTCATTTGCTGATTTTACAATTTAGTTCAGAGTTTCAATATGGAAATCACCTCACTATCTAGTGATTACCATATTCACCTCATAATGTCGTGGGGGCACGGGTGGCCCAGTCGTCCACCGCGATTCGATGTGCAGAGTTGCGTCCCTTGGGCACGCCAGAAATCTATGAATGTGGGTTCGAATCCCGGTTCGCCCCGATTATGTTTCTAGGTTCGTCAGCACCATATCCGTGCTCGTGGGTTTCACCGAAGTGGTAAACGTCTTTTAGCTGACACGCCGTGATATAACTGGAATAATGTTAAATGCGGCTTTAAACCCAACACACTCACTCACTCACTCACTCACTCATAATGTCGTGACCGGCTCCCTTCGCCCATTCCGTGGTTTTGCTCGCCACAACATTGAGCGACACAGAGCAACACTGAGCGACACTGAGCTATAAAATCGCCCACCGCTGAACACGAGACAGCAACGAGTCAGTAAAGTGAGTTGCACCTCCGCCCGACGTCGCATGTGAAAGCATTCAAACGACAAGCGTGAAGTCACTCCATCCTTATACATATTTTTTGTAAGAGTAAGTGAGAGAATACTGGAGAGCTTCCCAGTAAAGGCAACTCTATTTTAGACGTTGATCTGATAGTCCGGCTCTTGGTTGATTGCATGTCATCGTATCCCAGTAGCGTAGATCGATGCTCATTGTGTCAATCACCGGATTGTTTTGTCCAGAACGTTAGTTATCTTTAATATTGCTGATTGCCGCCGTGAAATCCATATGGGAAACAAAGCAAGCACCGCGGAACACAAGGGGCCTTTCTAAAACTGCTTTTAGCTGCATAAAACTTAATTTACTCACTCATTCACTGGATTAGGGACGTACCTTTTCCTTGTCTTCATCTGATAAGGCAGTGTCATCATCAAGCTCCAGAAATATATAGAAGAACCGCGAAGACGTAACGTCACCTGTATACAATATACGAACAATTTTAACATGTGAAATATACATTTATTGTTTTCAGACAAACCTTTGGGCAAAAGAAACTACACCCCTCAGCCGAGTTTAAATGTTTCATTCTCAATTAAAAATAGTTTAACTTAACGATATTTTATCGAAGAAAAAAATGTACAGGCGTTTAGTCTGCACTCAAAGTAATATTATACATGGATTTGCGGTTTAAAATTTGATTTTAAACTTGTAAAGATTAATTTATTTTTGAATAATACACAACTGCTGATGGGTATCTTAGACATATTATTTGTGAAAATCAATAAGTTGGTTTTGCTTTCGGGTCAAATTTATAACATTTCAAACATGGTAGGGGTCATGTGGTTGCAAATTCATTTCCTACCCCAGGGGGCGGTCGGGTGGCCTAGTGGTTAAAGCGTTCGCTCGTCACGCCGAAGACCCGGGTTCGATTCCCGACATGGATACAATGTGTGAAGCCCATTTCTGGTGTCCCCCGCCGTGATATTGCTGGAATATTGCTAAAAGCGGCGTAAAACCATACTCACTTACTCACTCACTCACTCTTACCCCAGTCTTCATTGAATCAATTATTTTTACTCAAACTTACCTACGAATTACTGTTGCAGGAATGGTTAAATAGACATAATCAAATTTCAATTTTTAATCATAAAAACGAACTCGGTATACTTTCTTTTGACCAACATATAGTTGATGAAATCTTATATTACACATAACATTACTCTCCTCTAAAATTAAAACAGATAATTTTCGCGATGCTGATTTCATGGAGCTATTGCACGAGTATGGTGCTCAAAAACAACGTTCATGATCATTTGGACCGCCTCCGTGGTCTAGTGGTAGAGCGTCCGCCCGCGTCATACCAAAAGACGTTAAAAGATGGTACTTGTTGTTACCCTGCCTTGCGCTCGGCATTAAGGGGCTAAAACAAGGACTGGTCGGCTCGGAGTCAGTATATTGTGTCTGAGTGGGGTATTCATGTTAAACTATATAAGTGCAATAATCTTGGACGTGACGTTAAACCCAATTTCACCTCATTCAACCTCATAATCATCGAAGTACGACCAGCGGATCCTGGCATTGCAGGTTAGGGACGTAATGTATTTACATATCAATGCTCTAAAGACTGGAGTTATCAATGGGAACACACTATCGTTGAGTTAAGGTTAAGTAATGTATCGTTGGGACGAGTTCAGAAACGTTGTACCTGTGATTGCCTCAACGTGGTGGTTCTCACACGCCATGTAGCTGTATAATGATGTTCCTGACGTCCACGTTCTGGCGGCGTCGTGGACGGCCTGAGTGAACAGGAACTCTGGGTACTTGTCCAGATAGTCAGACGATCTGTTGAAATAAAAGTAGCAGATTAACATTTTCTGTGTTCAAATATACATGTTTTTTTCTTCGAAATTTAATGACTGAGAATTTAAAAAGTAAAAAGTCCCGTGCGCGCAAAATACAACTGACTGTAATCATGTGGAATCGAAAACTTTTTTTACCTTAGAAAGAAAACAATTCCTGCGAAGTGAATTTTCGAAAATATATTTCGACTTTTAATCCTATTCCAGGATCCGATATAAATTGCGTTTTTGCACCGTTTTCCGAATTTTTGAACACAGCATGCTATGCATAGTACGTACCCCAATGCGCATTCCGGCAGTTTTCCCAGCACAAGGGGGTTAAGAAACCAGGTGAGTGAGTGAGTGAGTTTGGTTTAACGTCGCTTTTAACAATATTCCAGTTATATCGCGGCGTGTGAGCTTAATGTGGGAGGAAAGCCCGAAGTGATGCAGGTCTCAGACGTTTACCACTTCGGTGAAACCCACGAGCACGGGTATGGTGCTGACAAACCTAGAAACATAATCGGGGCGGAGCGGGATTCGAACCCACAATCATAGGTTTCTGGCGTGCCCAAGGGACGCAACTCTGCACAGCGAATCGCGGCGCCTTAAACGACTGGGCCACCCGTGCCCCTAAGAAACCAAGTGAGTGAGTAGGGGTGATAAAGTATGGTTTGACACCGATTTTAGCAATATCCCAGCAATAACCATAAATGGGCCTCAAACAGTGTACATATGTGGGGAATCGAACCCAGGTCTTCAGTGTGACGAGCGAACGCATTAACCACAAGGCTACCTACCCTACTGCTCCTACAAACCAAGGTTCACAAAAGCCTTACGTTCAAATTACCATCATATCCTTCCGGGTACCCATGAGCTACTAGCCTAAGAGAACCACTTGCCTTAGGAGATAAACATCGTTTGTTACTATGAATGGTGTCTCAGCTCGAAAGGTTGCACGGGAATCACGCACGTTGAGACGCCCAACGCGAACACCGTATTCGTGCGTGCGTGATTCCCGTGCACCCTTTCGAGTTGAGTTCATTGGTTCAACTGTGTCATATGGCCCTGTGACGCAGGGGTAGCATTATGCAGATGGCTGTTACAATGAATGCTCGTTCCACCCGTGACGAATAGGTCTGGTTGTTGATGAAATATAGTGATAGCAAAATAGACAGATTTTTTTACTCATGCACCGATTGTCTTTAAATGTATTATCCAGTTATGTATGACTGTTTAATAATCTCATACCAACTTTGACTGGAGTAGTTCCGATAGTTTTTCAGATATTGTAGTAAACGTCGGTACCTTAAATTACCTTCACGACTATACAATCAATTATTAAATATTGAAATGTTTTTCATAATGTGCTTCATAGATCAATGAACCCGTGAGGATTGTTCCCTAGCAGACTCTGGTGGTCGTGAGAGGCGATCAAATACATCAGGTGGTCAGGCTCGGTCAAGTGGTTGTTGGCGTGTCACCGCACCCCGACGGTGTTCCTCCCAATATCAATCACTGGATTATTTACAGGCCGCCTTAAACAGCTGCATACTGCTTAGTGCGGCGTTAAAGAATAAACGGACACACACTTTTTGATACTTAAAAACCTCATATACACCCTGGTTACAGTGATCTTGGCGCGGTCGGGTAGCCTAGTGGTTAAAGCGTTCGCTCGTCACGCTGAAGATCCGGGTTCAATTCCCGACATGGGTACAATGTGTGAATCCCATTTCTGGTGTCCCCCGCCGTGATATTGCTGGAATATTGCTAAAAGCGGCGTAAAACCAACCTCACACACATACAGTGGTCTGGCATTCATGTACCTCTGGGAGAAGATGTAGTTGGGAGTCGTCCCAGTGAAGCTGCTGACTCTCACGACGTCCCCGGTCCTGTATCTGTACAGCCCCATCCATGTCGTCACCACCATTTCGTACTCCCCACCAACCTCCACCTGCAGGAGAACATAGGGTATTGTAGGGGCTAGATATAGCGGGTAAATATACGGGGTAAATATACATAGGGTATTATAGGGGATAGATATAGAGGTAAATATACGGGGGTAAATATACATAGGGTATTGTAGGGGCTAGATATAGCGGGTAAATACACGGGGTAATTATACGTATGAATATAGGGTATTACAGGAGCTAGATATAGCGGGTAAATATACGGGGGTAAACAGACAGATAAACATTGGGTATTATAGGGGTAGGTACAGGGGGTAAATATACAGGTGTAGATATAGGGGTGGATATAGGAGTTAATATAAGTGGTTAATAACGAGATGAATATAAGTTGACTGATTATACCTGAAGAATAGATTCTGTTCCAGAAGCTCCGGACCTTCTCAGTTTAACCCATAAACAGTCACGATTCACATAATCAATAGCTTTACTGTCATCTATGAAGCAGACAAAAGTATTGTTTTACTATTTGTTTGCCATTCACAACAGAACAAAGTGTATACTTAGTAAATATGTTCCAGACTTCTACGACGTTTTCCGAAACCATTCTGCACATCCACTAAAAAGTCATTAGGTATGGTATGACGGTATGATACGAAAACTGCCATATAAGATATAGGGTATGATAAGAAAAATGCCATATACTAACCTTTTTATCATATCCCATGTCATCAAACTGTAAAAGGTATCTATTTGCAAGCGAATGCAATACATTTTCACCTTGTTCGGAAGACCTCGTCACGGGAAAGCTACCTGAGCAGACGACGCACTAAGGGACGTAACTCTTATTTCTTAATACAGGTCTGGTTATTACACCCCTTGTGAATGGCCGTCTCTATTTGGCTCTATCGCACTTACAAAATGCCTCATATCATTGACGGGTATGTGGTAAAATAGAGTAATACCCCTGTAGGGTGATGGTTTCCTGACATCCGTGCTGCCAGTTTCAATTATTGGGTTGACGATGCCTTGTTTCCAGTATCTTGGACTAGACTTGCTTTATTGTTCCTGGCCCTGTGTACTGCTGATCTAACTTAACACGTGGAATTGCGCTCATTCAAAATTTTATAATTAATTATGTTAAAGTTTTTAATTCTTCTAACGTTTTCGGTATCTTTTCAATATGTTATAAGTACGTCGAGTCAAACATTTCACTTTCTCCTGAATTAAATTATCGACCCATAATCATTCGTCCATTGAGGCAGTACTTCTTGAATGTCAGTTTTGAGTGAGTGAGTGAGTTGGGTTTAACGCCGCTTTTGACAGCACTCCAGTTATATCTCATGGCGTGTCAGCTTAATGTGTGAGGAAAGCCCGAAGTGATGCAGGTCTCAGACGTTTATCACTTCGGTGAACCCCACGAGCACGGGTTTGGTGCTGACAAACCTAGAAACATAATCGGGGCGAACCGGGATTCGAACCCACAATCATAGGTTTCTGACGTGCCCAAGGGACGCAACTCTAGATCTGCACAGCGAATCGCGACGCCTTAGACGACTGGGCCACCCGTGCCCCCGAATGTCAGTTTTGACATTGCCATATAGTTGTCCATAGGGACATAACTATTTCTTTCATTCCCAGTGCCCAATTTTCCCATTTCTTTCCAAAATTTTGGTGATGATAAAAGCAAGGCGAGGGATTCTTGTTTGTGCAGTTGATGCTGGAGTTTAAACGTCTTGTGGAGTTTATGATTCACATTTCTTGTGGCTCGAAAGTTCGGTTTCAGTTTCTTTCACATAGAGTTATAACTAATGCACTTTAGCCAGTTTCTTTCTGCAAGAAGAAGTTTATCCCAACTTTATTTTCCTGAAGTACTCCATTTACATAAGTTGTTTTGTGTCGCTTATGTTTCTTCAGTCTAATCCTGACTTGAGATTATTCGGGCTCGTTGATCCAGTTCTCAAATTATGAACTGTAGAAATTCATCATGTGCTGAATCAACAGCGATCTTTCAATATGATCAATAGTGTTTTTTACAGCTTCTTCAGTTTCAGGATCATACATAATATCACATCGGAAGGTGTCCAACCTAAATCCAGGTTTGAAAATAATGGTTTCAGGGTCAAACCTTATATTTTTATGGATGTTGTTGATATTTACATAGTAAGTGCGGCGTTATACAACAAACCAAATCCCCCCCCCCCCCCCCAAAGACTATGTGTCATCTTACCCATCGGATTATTGGTCATGTTATCAACCACTGGTTGACTCTCGATCGTAAATACCGTTGGCACATAGATGAACTGTGGCGTAAAATCACCCGGTGTTTGACGTTGTTCACAATACCAGCCACTGCTAAACCTGAGATATTGCTGACTACGGCATTAGACAAACACAGGAAAAGTCCATTACACACTTACAAACGTACAAACATACACACATGGGATTACCTCGTGAGCCAGAACGGTCGTAGGATCCTCCCTGTCTATACAATCTGTAGGTATGAACTCATAGAAGTTCAGACACGGCAGGATTGTGTATTCAGTCTTTGTCTGATCCTCCACGTGCAGGTTCAGACCGTACAGACTCTCAGACGAGATATGGACGCCGGAGGATGCCGGCACCCCGCTCAGGAAGTTCTTCTTCAGAAGCTCAGTCTGTTAAGATAGAATGAAAGACAAATAAAGGCACCTTCAAACGTAGCGTTTATGATACCAGGGGTGATGGTTTGATGAAAATAATGATGATTAAAAGAAGTCACCGAACTTGTGATTGTTCCATGGTAATAGTTAGCTGACTGCCATTTCAACTTCAACTGCTTTTTGGCATCGTATGGTTCGACCACGTTCTTGCGATTATCTTTAAAAAACAAATTGTTCTGGTACCACCTGTTCAGCTGGTACCGGTGATATCTTAAAGATATATTAAATAGTATCAATATCATATGTAGATGTATCAAAACATGCATGGTAGATCAGAATATATATACATCATCTATACAGTGTCATTGTTTCTTTTAATCAGAAGTACAGATTACTTTAGAGTGAGTGAGTTAGTATGGTTTTACGCCGCGTTTAGCAATATTCCAGCAATATCACGGCGGGGGACACCAGAAATGGGCTTCACACATTGTACTCATGTCGGGAATCGAACCCGGGTCTTCGGCGTGACGAGCGGACGCTTTAACTACTAGGCTAGACCGCCCAGATTACTTTAGAGGTCAGGCGGTGTCACTGTACCTAAACGTTTCTAATGACCACAGGTCATTCACAAGGTGCTTTAATTATATACTTACTGCAAACGAGAAACCGCCGGTTCCTGGAGCGTGGAGGGCCGCAAAGTTCGGCCATACACGCGGTCCGAAGTTAGAAGTTCCTTTACTGAATATGTTCCGAAGTTCCTCGGCTCTTTCCGGATTTGGGGTCAAGGACATCTGCATTTTGTGTCTCACGTCGGGTTCAAGGTCAATGGATTGGCTTATTGTCCCTGATTCTATATCCTCACACAATTGTTTCCAGTACTTCTGAATTGTTTTAAAGAAGTTAAGAGCAAGAGCGGTTGACACTGAACTGAAGAGAGTCACGTGCTTTTCCTTGAGCCCAAATAAGGAGTGAAGGTACAGTACCGTGTGCTCGTGTTCCATGGTGTACACTTCCGGTGGAGACGCAGAGAATGGACATATGAAATATGCCGATCCACTTCCGGCTCCCATGGGAACCCCTAGATCTGACTTGGTGATGGGCGGTTTAACACGGATGTCATGCCACAGCTGTAACTTTGACATGTGTTGAAACCGGAACAGTGTGGTGCGGAGATAGGCGAAATACATCCAACTGACCTTACCAAAGAACTTCAGGTCCTTTGGATGTCTCTTACTCTTTCCTGAAGTTGTTCCAGACGAGAGGACGATGTATTGAGGAGATCCCGGAAACATGACATCACGCTCCCCATGAAGAACACGAGACACGTAAGACTCATAATGTGCGTAGGTGGTTATTGGGTGTGTTGAGAGGAATTCTTCTACTGTCTTTATGGCATTGAATTTGAACTCTTTACCATACGCCACCTCTGCTCTTTGTTTGAGGATGTCTCGCAGGAGGTCAGTCTGTGTGGTCTTCACGTCCTGCATAGGAGCCAGAATCTTTGTCTTGAGACGGTAATGTTGGACAAGGAGCTTCTTGAAGCTGACGTATTGTTGGAGCATGGTACTCCATTTGTGGGAGCGCAGGGGCTCAGATCTGTATATGTCTGCAGCTAGAAGTGAGGCCAACATGAAGACAATCCCGATCAATCGTTCTGGAACAAAGAAACAGAGGCACGAGTAGCGTTTTCTTCCATTTTAATGGTTGACATCTAGCTTCCGTTCCTAGCGCTGCTTTATGATGAGACTTACAAAATCGAACAAGGACACATTCATCCTCACTGACAGTTACAGGTCTGGCGTTATGCCGCAGTCATATAGCTGGGATATTGCTGCGTGTGGCGTTAAACAACAAACAAACAAACAATTGGTGTTATGTGCAGAAAGGGAATTTCCTTATTACGTACTAATTATGTCACGTTTTACTTAGGTCTTCCTGTCTTTGGGATCGATGGCTCCCTTTAAGCAATATTTCAGCATAGTCTCCCTCGCTGGGATTTTTCCGTGGAAGAACAAGTATTCTTTATCTAAAAGAGCGGCTGATAGGTTCGGTTCGTCAGGTGTCAGGTTGTGGACGTTTACCCATGATCAAAGGATGTTGACAACATACACATGGTCGTAAGTAGCGGATCCTGTCAGCTAAGGTAGGCAACTCTGCACAGAGAGTTTTGAGCGTCTGACACACGTGTAATAGAAAGTTCAATAAGGCTCCTGTAATGGTCAAAATGTTTAATTCTATCTTTTATCAATTATGATAGCTTAATTGGTTAAGGAGGTATCAAATCTGGTTTCTAGAATTTCCACAAATTATGTATTACATATAACAACAGCAATATACAATATTAAATAATTGTTATGGTTAGGATGTTTATTTAATTTCCTGGGTTAGAATGTTATGTTTCATTTTTTGGTCATGTGCCAATTTTACATCAACCTTATTAAGAAGGGAGATAAGCACAGATTGGTGTGGTCATGTCACCATGTGCTTTAAGAAGCATGCATGAGGAAGTCATGCTAGGAGCCAGTGAAGTCTAAAGTAATGGTAAGGCACATTTAGTCACTCATATGAAAATTCATTAATAGGAATTTGTTTAGAAATGCATCTTCTTAGTTTCTACCATACACAGTATCTTAAATTTTCATAATTGAGGGTTTGTGGCTGGTTTAAACTTGGCTCATGGAAATACACCCTAGACTTCAACTTTGTTCATAAATATTCTCATGGCCTAAAGTTATGAAAGGTATATGAAATTGTAAGCTTCCTGTTTATTTATTGCAGTTAAGGCATTGTTTCTGTACATTTATTGGACTATTATGTACTTAGTGCAATGTCCAGGTTTGTGTTGTACACCTTATTCTTAAATGTTCATGCCTTTGTAAATTAAACAAGCCCAACTTAGTATAATACTGCTGTATTGTGAAGTTAATGTGTAAATTAATCAAATTGAAAAGCCATATGCTCAATGAAATCCTTTCTATTTGTTACAGTTAATCTAATGTTTGTACATGAGAGTTGAGACACAAGAATAAGAAAGAATAAAGAATCAAGATTGTTTGGAACTTCATGTTGTAATCAACAGCTCCACTCACCTATTATCAGGGCAATGACATTCTGCGACGATGATCTGAACGTGAGATACAAGCCAAGCACTCCAAGATGAAACCCGCCAATCAGCACCAGCAATGGGCTCACCCTGGGGACAGAAGGAAGCACCCCGGGGGTGGGGGGATACCGGGTTAAAACAGGTCCAACCTTACCCCGAACCTAGAGTGGCTCACTCACAGCTAATCACACAGTTAATAGAACAGTTGATGATTACCATAGCCAGCACCGTATCTGAGAGCGAGGTTCTCCTTTATAGGTGAGGTGAGGTGAAATTAGGTTTAACGTCGCGTCCAAGATTATTGCACTTATATAGCGACGTGCATGCACGTGTATGTGTGTGTGTGGCTGCTTGTACTAGTCCGGACTGATGCCGATTTATAGTGCTAGCTCACCGAGATACCATGCCGCAGTTTAACATTGAATACCCCACTCTGACACAGTATACTGACTCCGAGCCGACCAGTCCTTGTTTTAGCCCCTTAATGCCGAGCGCCAGACAGGGTAACAACAAGTACAATCTTTTAACGTCTTTTTGTATGACGCGGCCCGGGATCGAACCCCGGACCTTCCGCTCTCCGGTCTCCTTTATAGAGGGGAATAGTTCGCACAAACTTTGTGTTTTGTAGGTAACTCAACTTTAGTGATATGATGTATATACGAAACGCTCATGTGATTATTTCTTGGTTCTAAAAATATATAAAATGGAAAGAAAATATACATTGGCAAACATTTTCAAACATTTCATTTGAGAGACGACCATATGTTTGTAATACCACCAACACGTCTATTTACGATAAATCGATACCGGGTTAGAACCGATCCACCCTTTGTTTGTCATACGAGACGACTTGATGGATCGGGTGGTCAGGCTCATTACCTGTCATCATCATCAAGGGGGCGAAGCCCCCGCGGTTTGTCCCGACCCCCAAGGCATGCTCTGTCAACCAAAACCGAGGGGAAGTGTTTTTCCATACTTATAAACCGAAAAAAGAAACTTAAAACAACTTTTTTATGTTTTGAACATACTTTCCATGAACCTTAGGAAACGAGCGTAAAGAGACCAGTGTGGCTTATCAACACCTCTGTAGCCTCGTGGTACACTCACTTGGCTACAGATACGAAGGTTGCGAGTTCGATCCTCGGGAATATAAAGAAAACATTTGTCGTTTGATTTTACATTTCATTACATGTTACAATCTGAACGGAAGTTACATTAATAAAAATACCCAGGACATTATATAAAATCCCTGGGATAATATAGCAAATATGACTTGAATATCCTATAAAATCTCTGGGATATTATATAAAATCCCAGGGACATTACAACGTCCCTGTTTATGAGATTTAACCCGACTGGAAAGCAAAACCTCACAATAGGTTTTAATGCCTATAGAAAGAAGTCCTTTACTTAATAGCGATTCCAATGAATAGGTTTATAAGTAAGATCATTGATGTCTAGACGTCTTACCTTGAATCAAACAGGGCCATTCTTCCTCTGTGTCATGCAGCTTGGGTAGCGGGGGTGATGTGCATGGGGACACAGCAGAAGCAATCCTCACCCTGGGAATTTATTTCATTGGTTGACAGCCCAAGGATATATGTCATATATGACATATGGTCACGCGGGGGTAGAGGGGGATGATGAGAAATGAGGACAAAGCAGGGCAACCTCAACCCCAGGACTGTATTTGTTGGCAGCCCGAGCACACATGATCACGTGTTTCACCGTGTGCACATTTAAAATGTCAGCATGCAGTTCTGGTTTAGCCAGTTTCCTCTTATATATGTTTTCTCTCAGGGTCTTTATCCTTTGTGACTTATCAGAGCGTGAACGTTGGTGTTTCGTAAGTTAGCTGACAATGTATGTTGTGTTATATCTAGGATGGGCCTCAAATGAGTCGAAACGGTTTCATTACCTACAGCATATCGACCCGTGAAGATTCCGGGGTAGAATAGGTCATCAGTAACCCCTGCTTGCCGTAAAAGGTGACTAACGGGATCGGGTTGTCAGGCTTGCTGACTTAGTTGATGCATGTCATTGATCCCAATTGCGTGGATCGATGCTCATGATATCAATCACTGGATTGTCTGGTCCAGACTCGATTATTTACAGACCGCCGTCATATAGCTGGAATATTGCTGAGTGAGGCGTTAAACAACCAACCAACCAACCAACCTCGTCTGTATCAACACTTAATGGTGGTTGCACCGACTGTCCCGCTATTGACATTTTTCACTGAGTTGTTTCACCACCCCCCTTCTTTGGGCGTGTCGTTCTGACTCCCATTCCCAGGTATACGTTTTGTCAATGAATTGTTTATGATAAAACAATGATCAGACGAATGATAAAATATCATGTTGTTATTGTCAATAACTTAACATTTACACCGCTTTATATAAAACAAAGACCGCCTCCGTGGTACAAATATACACGTGCGTTTATTTTCATAAACGGATCAATTGACAGCGACGCCCGTTCATTTGAGCAATAACTAAATTTGACTTTCCAATTTCCTACATTCAATGGTATCCATTTTGATAATGTACAAACAGTTGTTAAATGTATTACAGTAATTGGGGAGGTCGGGTAGCCGAGTGGTTAAAGCGTTCGCCCGTCACGCCGAAGACCCGGTTTCGATTCCCGACATGGATACAATGAGTGAAGCCCGTTTCTGGTGTCCCCCGCCGTGATATTGCTGGAATATTGCTAAAAACGGTGTAAAACCTCACTTTCTCACTCACAATTACAGTAATTAACTAATCACCGATTTCAAACAAAGTATTTACCTCCCTATTATCCCTATTTTTAAACGTACGTATATTGGGAAAAAAATAAAAAATTATATTGATCGAGGTACCCATAGCCTGACGCGCATTCTGATTGGCTTGCGCAGTGTCGACTCATGGCGGCCATCGAGATGGGGACGAGCCTCGCTGTAGGTTATGGAAACATGCACATGGTGCATAAGCCTAGCAAACCTGTTCAGGTGAGCGTCAACAAGGAGAACTCTGAAGAAGAGCTTACCGCTGTAAGGAGCTCGAGTGAACATATGCAATGTTTTTTTTCCGAATGAAGAATGTTATGATGACAAATCCGCGTGTCTTGTGTCGAGCGACCCCCCCCCCCCCCCCCCCCCATTGATGCACAGCCTCTTGTTCTGCCACAGGCGTTGTGGTCAATTTACATCCCATCCCTGCATCCGACATGTTCATTGACAGTCTGGCTCATTTGTAGACGGTTGGTGACAGGGGTTTATCTCCTCAGATCTCTACCCTTAGTTAACGGGAGACGATGCGCCATGCTCTGTCGCCATTTCCAACCCAGCTATTGAGACATGTCTGCAACCTGGGTGTTCTTTGCAAGCTGAAAACTGACATACATGGGATTAAAGAGAATAGGGCTGGGCCGTTATAGTTTGTTCCTGAACTGTGTTCAGATGAGTTGAAATGGAGTTTAACGTCGCGTCCAAGATTATTGCACTGATATTGCGACATGCATGCACGTGTGTGTGTGTGTGGCTGCTTGTACTTGTACGCCTTTCCCTTCTCTAGCTCCCATTGTTCATATTCTGACACGTCATGCCCTTGACATATACATGTACCGTGATCACATTACTTCAGAACACTAATCGGCAATGCTTCTCACCTGCTTTGTATCCCCTTAGAGAGAATATCAAATATCGGTCGGCAATATAATCTCTTAAAAGCATATATGTGACCAGAAAGGGTACTGAAAGGTACGATGACTAAAAATCACACACACACACACACACACACACACACACACACACACACACACACACACACACACACACACACACACACACACACACACACACACACACACACACACACAAATGCATGACGTCACGCGCTATGCAATGAAACCTTTGCTTGAAAACTATTTGGATATTAAAGGGCTTGTAAAGTGAAAAACATGATTGCGAATATATAGATATATTAAGTCAATTCGCGAGAGAAACCAGTCATAACATTAATATGTGTATAACACCCTTGTATATATTATTGAGTCTGTGAAACGACCTCTGATCTTGACATTGTGAATAATTAAAAGAACAATTAATGTCTGTAACTAGCTTCTTATGACTAAGGGGCGGTCAGGTAGCCTAGTGGTTACAGCGTTCGCTCGTCACGCCAAAGACCCGGGTTCGATTCCCGACATGGGTACAATGTGTGAAGCCCAATTCTAGTGTCCCCCGTCGTGATGTTGCTGGAATATTGTTAAAAGCGGCGTAAAACCATACTCACTCACTCTTATGACTAACGTTTTTTGATACAAAAACCTCCTTCTACCCTCGTACCTATTCCACACAATTATTGCACGTCAGGGAATAATCTCCTGACAGGCAACTGCATTCGTGACCAACTCGTGTTATTCCGGGACAAGCCGAATAGCAGGTTAAGGAAAAAGGCGAGTGGTGACGAATGCAGACAACTGATGGCAAACGTCAGTGTTGTTACTGATAAGGCATTGGCCGCCTCTGTGGTCTAGTGGTAGAGCGTCCGCCAGGAGAGCGGAAGGTCCGGGGTTTGATCCCCGACCGTGTCATACCAAAAGACGTTAAAAGATGGTACTTGTTGTTACCCTGTCTGGCGCTCGGCATTAGGTGGCTAAAACAAGGACTGGTCGGCTCGGAGTTAGTATACTGTGTCTGAGTGGGGAATTCATGGTTTCTCAGTGATCTAGCACTTTAAATCGGCATCAGTCCGGACTAGTACAAGCAGCCACACAAACACACACACGTACGTGCACGTCGCTATATAAGTGCAATAATCTTGGACGCGACATTAAACCCCATTTCACCTCACCTCACCTCACTAATAAGGCATGTGTTGACATAAGTAATGGCGAAGGTAATAAAACAGATGAGCAGACAGAGAAACCCCGTAGGGGATGTTGGTAGACTGAGCGCCGACACGATCGTTGTAATTGCACAGCGCGTCACACACCAGGTGCCGAGTATGTCCCCAGATCTATGTTCAGCAGTAGATATGATTTTAATGAGAGTGACCCCAGTTTCAAATTGTTTCGTTGGGGATGAATTCGCCTGGCACATTATATTGTCTCTTTTACGTTATTTTCGTTTTTTAATTTCGATATTGGACAAGCAGTTGTGATATCGTACGTCTGCCCTGAAGTAGTAAAATCTTTAAAGTTGCCACATTGAGTCTATATGCTGAGTAACGTGCGCAGTCGACAATGGCCACGAACGGAGGGCTTAAAAGCTTGCTTCTTGTGCGATCAAGCGTACAATTTGGAAAGACTTCTGACATGACCATTTTAACATAGACATAGACATAGTTTATTTCTATAAATAATCACTCACAATGGTACATGGAGCTACATTCAAGAAAGTCATTTGATTAACAGAGGACACTCGCATAATTATAAGTATGAGAATATACACGTTTTTTAAGTATACAGGAGACAAATCTGCTGAGGTTTCTTAACACTTAACGCATTGCATTAACGATGTTAGGATCAATCCATTTCTGCAAAGCGGTACCTACCCATGGCACTTGCACTTAAAACTATACTTATCTATCTTACCTATAGGTTAACATTACTTAACAACCTTACCTATAGGTTAACATTACTTATCTATCTTACCTATAGGTTAACATTACTTAACAACCTTACCTCTGTGTTAACATTTCTTAACTGTCTTACCTATATATAAACATTACTTAACTATCTTACATATAGGTTAACATTACTTATCTATCTTAACTATAGGTTAACATTACTTAACAACCTTACATATAGGTTAACATTACTTATCTATCTTACCTATAGGTTAACATTACTTAACAACCTTACCTCTGTGTTAACATTTCTTAACTGTCTTACCTATATATAAACATTACTTAACTATCTTACCTATAGGTTAACATTACTTAACTATCTTACATATAGGTTAACATTACTTATCTATCTTAACTATAGGTTAACATTACTTAACAACCTTACATATAGGTTAACATTACTTAACTATCTTACATATAGGTTAACATTACTTATCTATCTTAACTATAGGTTAACATTACTTAACAACCTTACATATAGGTTAACATTACTTATCTATCTTACCTATAGGTTAACATTACTTAACAACCTTACCTCTGTGTTAACATTTCTTAACTGTCTTACCTATATATAAACATTACTTAACTATCTTACCTATATGTTAACATTACTTAACTATGTTACTTAAATCCAAGAGATCAGTCGTCTGATATGGACTATAGCTAAATCGTCCATAGAAATGTCAATTCATCGCTTTGAAATGCAGAAGAAAGATTGTGAACTGGCTGACCGTAAACCCAATTGAGCATTTCTCCGAGTGATTAATTCATAAGGACCGACCATGTGATAGTCTGTGGAGAGGGGAGGAGGGGAGGGGAGGGGAGGGGAGGGGAGGGGCTGGAACTTTGTATCGAGATTAAATTATATTATATTTCTCCAAGTGATGAGAATGATAATCAACGGTTAGATTGATTTCCTAAAACAGTTAAGTAGACAAACCAGTCACGTATGGAAGACGTCAATTAAACTTCCAGTGAGCTGGCCCCCCCCAAGTGAGTGAGTGAGTTTGGTTTTACGCCGCGTTTAGCAATATTCCAGCAATATCACGGCGGGGGACACCAGAAATGGGCTTCACACATTGTGCCCATATCGGGAATCGAACCCGGGTCTTCGGCGTGACGAGCGAACACTTT